TTGTGATAAATTTATTAATTCTACATGTGTTCCCAACGAATGGAAATATTTATAAAAACCTGTATGGAACTAGATGAAGCTTGTACGCCACGTAATATTAACATATTTAATAAATAAGAAAATTACAAATAAAAAAACATGACATGAAATTTTCTCAAATCATTCATATGTTATACTCACAGGGTTACCCTAAATAATTTGTGAAATTGTGAGGTGTGTTTAGAACTACATCATGTACGTTTAGCTTATTAAATTTTGGTAGTTACCAACATTAAAATAATTTTAATAACAAGTCAAACTATAGAAAATTACACGTATGATTGAATCTTATATGCTTTCTATCAGAGCTCCTTTTAATGAAGTGCCATTGACAAGAACAAAAATATTTTTAATTTATAATATAAATATTTTGTTTTAGTCATATTTAAGTGGGGTGAAACAAAACTAGTAGAGCTACGAAATCACATACCTGAGATGTCGCAAACATTTTACCTCCTGTCTAGTTTACAGTGATAAGTTTGATAAAATTAGATTACTAATAAATACTGCAATATTTAATAATTATTATGAATAAAGGTATGGTTTGGTTTGTCCTACTTAATTTATAATGTTTAATTATGTGCTATATGTCAATATTAAAGAGCTAAAAATAGAAACAAATATTACATTTATTTCTTTTATTTGTTTCTGTTCACATTGTAAAAGAATTAAAAAATTCCAATTAAAGGAAATATTAAAAGAGATATAGGCTATAAGCTAATCATTTTAGCTCTTGATCGCGACCCAAGAAAGTTAAATCTGATGTTCCTTATAAAACTGTGTCAAAGGAATTGAGTTTTTGCCACAAACTCTGATTTTCTAATTTTAATATCGTTGCAACCCAATGTCGTAGACCTTTAATATTTCAAACTATGAATGCTATTAGATCAAATAATGTAAGTTTGAAATATCAAAGGTTTACATCATACGGTTGCAAAGATATAGGTTTTACAAAAACTGAATTTGTGGCAAAGACTCAATTCCTTTATACGAAAATTTATATATGCAAAATTTTAAAATCTTAAACTTAAATCACATGACCAGAACTCCCACCAATGGTAGTGCAATATAGTGGTCACATGTCTCTGTCTGTATCACGTGACCAGTATTACTGCACTCTCATTGGTGGGAGTTCTTGCGACGTAATATGGACTTTTAAATAATATTAACAATTATATCAATAAAAAATGAAAATAGAAATTATAAAATAATAATTGGAGAAACCTCAAGTTACCACTAGGTTTCTCTTGGATATCTTCGTTTTCAGGTTAGTTGCGTGTTCGCTGAATATGATCTGTTTAAACCTCCTATTTCTGTACAAAATTGAATATATATAAATTTTTGTATAAATTTGACACAGTTTTATATAAATTTCTCGAAACAGAAATATCAGATATGACAATTATGGGTCGCGATCAAGAGCAAAAGCGATTAGCTTTCAGCCAATTTACAGAGTACATAATTTCAAAAATACAGAGTACACAATTTCAAAAATACAGAGTACATAATTTCAAAAATACAGAGTAGCATGCAGTCGAATTCACCAACGGTACCCTTTAAAATTTTGCCTGATTATCGACTACAAATATATCCTTATTTTTCTAGCTGCAAAATTAACAGCCGGGAAAATCAAGCAAATCCAAAGGAACTCAATTTTTACAGAGAAAAATAAGTTTATCACTTAGTTTTTTATCAAGACAAATTCCAAAAATGAATGGAGGACCACTTAAAGATTCGTTCACAGCCACTTTATGGAGAGAGAGAGTGGGGGGAGAAAAAAGGGAGGAGGGTTAGGGTCGGTTTATCTTTGAATCAATCAAAGAATTTAAAAATGCGATGGAATCTTTTATTTAGAAATATTTGAACCTATAGTTAAATTTACCCAAACTGACAGTGAAACATTTTTCTTCATTCATCACTAATGTTGTTCAAGTTTTTTATTATTGCAAGTCATGAGAGGTGTGTGTCCCTTCATACTTAGATGATAAAAATTAAAACAACATTTTTTGACAGATTTCGAAAAATGAGTTTTTTTAGATAATAATCCCCCTCCCCCCCCTTGTTTTTAAACCCTCTGTTTCTTTCATCGTTAAAGATTAATGACCAAGGCCCGAAGGGTTTAGTGGTAGGCAAACTCTGCACTATTTAAACCAGTTGATAAATACGTAATTAACCAAAGTCACGAATTTCTAACCAATTTAAACAGCTTGCATCGAATTTTAAGGAGCCGTCGGAGGTGTCAAAAATGCATTTTTTATGATATTTTAAGGGATCGTTCAGGTATTTACAGAATGGTGTAGGGTTCTAATTTCATTTGTCGGAGGTTCTTGAATCAAAATGTTTGTTAAAACTAAATAGACTTTTCTCTTTTATACTTTTTGTTGAAATATGCGTTTTTAACATAAAGTAATAGAGTTTTTGCCATAAACTCGCATTTTCTAATCCCTATATCTTTGCAACCTTGTGGTGTAAACCTTTGATATTTCAAACTTAGACTATTTGATTTAACAGAATAAATAGTTTGGAATATCAAAGGTCTTGGAAAACGGGTTGCAAAGTGATAAGAATTGGAAAATCATGCTTGTGGCAAAAACTCAAATCCTTTATATAAAGACAACTCGGTAGGTTTAAAGTTGGTTTAACTTTAGACCAACCAACACATGATTGAATTCAAGATATAGTTATAGTTCCTCGATTAAATTCAAATGCATTTCGCCCTGGTTAGTCTGGGGTGCCCCCCCCCTGCCCCCCCCCTAACCTATCATGCATCCAACCCACCCCCGCCCCTCACCCCACCACCAAAAATGGTGTCATTAAATTTGAATGTATTTAAGTAAGTTAAAATGTATGCAATTTAAAACTAAGAATACTTTTGACTTATCAAATATTAAACTTAAAAGAATAGATACAACATACAAAAAAATTATTGCAGAATGCCTTTTATCAAATATCAAAAATCAAAGTCGTCGCCCTGGGTAATTGATAAAATTATATTTAAATAAAATATTATATTTACAATATGTACAAAATCCTTAAACCAATTAAAAAAAATCCAAAATCTTCTGATTCTCCCCCTTCATTTTTCCTTTACAGTTCCTTAAAACATCTTTAATAAATTGGGATAAAATCAATTTAATAAGGTGCCTGTGATTACTTTTAACCTTTGTCCGCACAAAATTGATGAAGATATCATTGTTTACTTATCTGAAAAATGTTAATTGCCAATTGCAGTAAAAGTGGTTTTTTGCAGCAGAGACAAGGAATAAATCAAAAAAATAAAAGAGAGTAACTTCCTCAATTCCCATTGTTGCTCAGACTAATGTTTTAACGGTACCGTTGTGAACCGGACATGCAACCTTTTAAATGGAAACTCACGTGAATTCACGTCGAAGGTCTCTTTAAAGAACGCTTAATGTTCGCAATTCTGAATTCAATACATCATATTTTAAGCCCGCTGTGAATGAAATGTCTCTCGCCCCTCCCTGGTCCATTGTGCACAATTGAGCAAAGTGATTTAGAGGTTAAATACTTGACTTAGGGGTATTCAGGAGTAATTAAAGAATAAATACATGCAAAAAAAGGCGAAATATGAAAATAAAAATTTTGCATTTGTTTAATGCAAATATATTTCGAAAAAAAACTTCCAAGATTTAAAAATCATAAAGGAAAAATTCCTTCGACCTTCGATTTACATTTTTTTGGAAATGTAAACTTTTCCAACAATTCTGAATTCTGTAAAAGGGCAATTGCATGCTTTTATTAGGGTGGAAAAAAATAAAAACTATGTTTTGATATTGGTATTTAAAGATACGTGAGAATTTACTGAATACCGTCTATTTGTTTTTGTTTCGAAATCAAAAAATTATTTAATCTAATTTGTATTTGTATTGCTTCTAACATGATCAATCTGGTTTTGTATTGCTTTTAACACGATCAATCTGGTTTTGTATTGCTTCTAACACGATCAATCTGGTTTTGTATTGCTTCTAACACGATCAATCTGGTTTTGTATTGCTTCTAAAGGAATAGGGTTAAATTTTCCCTCAGACCCTTGGAATTTACCTTAAATCTTTTAAATTAAAAATTAACAAATCTGTGGCTAAGCGCCATCCCATTCAAAGGATTTCAAAACTAGGGGACATATAAATCGGATAGAAATATGCTTCCAGATATGTTTTAAGTCGTTTTTAAGTCGTTTTGTCGAAAAGAACAGATTTTCTTTTAATGATATAAGTTTCTTTATTTATAAACATGGATTTAAATATCTAAAGTTAGAAAATCTAAAGTTTTTGATTTCTTTATTGTTAAATTTCTAAAATATTTGTTTTACTGATGTTAAATTGCAATCAATAATTTGAAATTAACACTTATCCAAAAAAAACAGATATGTACTGGTTTGAATAATAGTCTTCCCCCCCCCCCAACCCCCACTCTTTTTAACATAGTATAAAATGTTGATAGATATTTATACATTGGAATTTCATTAGCTGCTGTTTTATTTCATCTAACACTTAAATGCAAATTGGTTAAAATACAGTTAAGATAGCTAGGAATGTATTTAAAAACACTCTCTTAGATCTAAAAGAAATAAAATCACCTTTTTAAAACCCTTTTAAAAATGTTCATCAAAACTCAGCCCCCTTCCTTTAAATTCCTTTAATTTTGGATAGTCGCATTCCCATGGTTTCATTTTCTAATTCATATTTGCAATCAAAGCAAATAATTAAATTGCAACCTACGTGCAGTTGTAGAAATTGTTTTTGCAGAAAATGCGCGAACGATGCATAAGCGCACACAATCAAACCACCAATAAACATGGCCGGCCTTTGTGCCGGACCGTATAACAATAACAATTTTAAATAAACAGGACAGGTTTCATTGAACACATGTCAAGCTTTCAGTGCAATATCTAACTTAATCTTATAAAAATTTTATGTTAATACTCTTTACTTTTCAGATAAATTGCATATGCAAAAAAACTGCAAGGTTCAAGCGTCTTAAATTTGTTTTAAGAATTTGAATTTATGCAAAGTAGACGATCTAACTCCAAGATTTAAAAATATTCTGACACCGTTTCTTGTGATATATTGTCACCAGAGCATCAGAGGAATCTAAAATGGCGGGGATTGGAAATGAGAAAAATGCGGGAGAATAAAGTTTGATTTGGTTTGGGAAAATGTGATTAATTGAAATGATATTACGTGGCGTTACGCGGAGAAAACATGGCGGCGGTCAGAATTCGCCAGAAAATGAGCAGCATTGGAATAGACGAAAGGAAACTTATCTCAACATTTTATTATATTAAATCCTTTGAATTATTTCAAGTTAAAGCCTTGTTAAGATCTAATTCACAGATTAATATTTAGGAACAAGTTTGGTCGACATGTTTTTCTTCGTCCCGGATTCTTTAAGAAATTTTTTTTGTCTCCACTTTAAATTCTTCTTGAAAAAAAACTAATTGACTTTTGATGTTTATTCCTACCTACGATATTTTAAAGTGTTTCATATAAAAAGCTTAAAATTTAGGATTACCAATTTTTAACGAAAAAAATCCCCAAATATTTGTGAGAACCCCTGAGATAAGGATTTGTTTCCCACACAGGAAAATGCTGAGATCTCAGTCTATGCCACATGTCATTGATATAAAAACGGTTATTTTTTTTAAGTTATTTTCAACAATATATTTTATAAAAGACCCCTTTTACTTATTTAAATGTTATTTGTATTAAGTAGAAAATTCTTGAAAATCTTTTGCGTAAAAAATACTAAAATTTGGGCTTATAAAGATCTAGAAAAAAGGGTTAAAACCTGTTTAAAAGGGACTATCCCTCTCCCCCCCTTGTCCTTTCTCTCCTATAATGATACATGAGAAACTATCTGTAATTAATCAAGCTGCAGGTTAATTTAATGGGAGGTTATTAAATCAAGCTAATTAATGGTAATTAATACTTTCAATCTGATTGGTGCAATTAATACCAAATACTTTTCTATGCAAATTTTCACCACATCTCAGGGAAAATATAACTAGTTTTGGATTCAAAATAGATGTAGAATTCTGTATTAGTACTATACTGCAGAAGCTGCGTCTGTTTAAACAGGACAGCACTGTCTCCCAGGACAGTAACTCTGGATACAAGGATAGCGGAATAGAAGGAAATCACGTCCTCAATATATGTCATTTTTATTATTTTTTCTTTCCGTCCTCTTTTTCTCAAATTCAATTTCTTCAAGAATTTTTTTAATTGTTATTAAATCCCCTCCCCCTTTTTTTTGAGTTTTTAAGTGCATATCTATATATTTATATAAAGTTGTAATCTCTGTATTGAGATTTACGGAATTTATATCATAATTGTTTTTTTAAGCCATAGAGTACGAATTTATACAGATGGAGCCCTAGATAGTCAGATTGGTAGTCAGCTAGGCAGTAACTTTGATATTCAGGCCGAATTTCCTTCACTTCCAAGCAGTCATGCACTTCAGCAGGACTACCCTAGGCAAAATCATGTAGAAATTACAAATCAGTTAATTAGATTTGAAATCTTTTAATTTCCTTGAAACGCAAATATGTTCGACAACATAAAAGTGAAACACACACAGCATTATCGCAGTGAAAAGATATCAAAAGCTTTTTTCTCAATTATCAATTAGTATATTTATTATTTTAAAAACTGATTATTTCCAATTGTGGTTTCTCTACAAAGTGACTTCATTAAAACGTATTTGGATTATCATCATTGCACACTTTTCAACCTAGAAAAACGACAATATCTTCGAAATCTTCCACATTAAAAAAATGCGTGTAACTATTTGTTTTTCAACTATAACACCAAATAGTCATCTATGATATAGATTTCTTAGATTTTGTCTTTCTATTTCTCACTGTATGTGGGCCTCACTGTATTTGAATAAAAAAGCGGGTTTTTCACACAATTTTGGAAATTAACAAACCCGACCCGAATTGTATTTATTCATTGGCGTCTGTTGTAAGAGGGGAGGGGGGGGGAGGGGTGATTCCACTTTTATTCATTTATTCGGTCTGAAAATATGCATGAAGTTAAACACAACTTTCGGGGTTTCTTTTTTCATTAAAATATACAAGTAACACTTTTTAGAAGAATTGTATTCCAATCAAGCTATACATGCTACACACTCAAATATTCCTATCTAATCCTCATATCTTTTCAACCAGATGGCGTACATCTTTCATATTTAAAACTTGCATTATTTCATCTAAAACAGACTTTTTGAATCGGGTTGCAAAGATATAGGGATTAGAAAATCTTGTGTTGTGGTAAAAACAATTTCTTTCTTCTTTAAATTATTATTACGGCAACATTATAAAACAAACGGTGTCCCTAAATACATTTGATTGGCAATAATATATTTTTATTTTCATTTTTTTTTAATGGGGGGTAACGAGGAAAAGGGAGGGGAGGGAAAGACAGTGACAACGGAGAAGGAAAAGAAGGGAAGGGGAGGGACGGAGAGGGTGGAATATGGAGGGAGGGGGCTGTAGGGGAAGGGAAGGGAGGGGGGAGGGGCGGAGAGGGTGGAATGGTGAGGGAGGGGGGTGTATGGGAAGAGAAGGGAGGGGGAAATTCCATATGTTTTGCCCTCTTTGCATCCTGTGTCTTGGGGCTTTTTCTATTTCATATCTTTCTGTATCTTAACTTCTTTTTGAATATTTCTTCTCGGGTTTTAAACACGATTATAAACTGAAATACCTGAAATAACCTTGCATGATGTAATTCTTTTTACATTTAACTTTTTATGTTTTAATAACGATTAAAATACGTGTTGGTTTCTTTTAACCTGTTCATGATATACTGTCAACTGACCTTGCTACTTTAGAACTGAATTTTTACTTCTTTTTTTAAGAATGTTAAACACCGTATACTTGATGCAGTATTGCAGTATATCGTGTACCGTGGAGTAAACATACGCTAAACAATAACATCCTGCAAGGAACTTAAAATGTCTTTTTAAATCAGATTTGCTCAAAGTTAAATTCATAAAGATACCCTTTAAACCTGTTTTTGGTCAATAATGTGGAAGATATCATCGTTTTTCTAACTTGAAAAATTCTCAAAATGTCCTCAATTGTTTCTGTAACCTCATGCTCAAGTCACTTTAAAATAACCAATTTTTGTAAAGAAATCATGAATATCTCTTAACGGGATCAGATTAAGCTTTTATAAAGGGCACTGTTGAGAATCAGACATGGAGGCAGAAGGATTTTACTAGCTCTCATAATAGTCAAAAGTTTCATACATTGATACGATTATTTTTAGCTTTTAATTTTTCATCCCGTATAACTGTCCTCATTTTATAACAGTTTTAGAAAAATAGTTTAGCTTTCAACTTTAATTTGGAAAGAACTTTACATATGTTATTTTCTTTTGCGGATGACAGTTATCCTACAGATATTGCAAAAACAAAAAATCAAAAACCTTTTTCATTTATATGCTGTTTGGCTTTCTGAATGTATACTTTATTGTTCTAAATTTTTTCGTTCCACAAGATAATTTTTAGTTATTTCAAATGTCTATTTCTTTACATATTTGCATTTATCTATTTCTAGATAAATAGATTCCTATTCAAATATACACTTTTCCATTTACTTTTTACAAGAATATTTCTTAAAGAGATTGTTTACGAGTTTGTTAAAGAATCAATCAAAACTTTTTAGCATACTTTTAAGTGTAACTTTCTCTAAAAAATGTCATAAACGATTAAGAACCTTGTAAACAATGTTAGAACCTGAGACTGCGGATTTTCCAGAAATTAAAACCGTGGATTTCTATAGCAACACAATTTTTGAAAAGGGCGCAATAAAAGTAGTCTTCGTTCATTCTTTTATTCAGGAGTTTCTAATCGGTATGACTGATTTACAAAGGATGAGACTCCATGCCCCTGTAAACTTGTTTCTTCTTTGTCAAATCATTTAAGTTTACCCTTAAAAAATATACTTAAAGGGAGTGACCGGCTATGTAAGGTAATTGAACTGAGTATGCAGTGTTGTCGAAAACTTCTTTAGGATTCATTTGAGACATATTTCACTTTTTAAAGATCTGTAAATCCTGAGTTTGAGCGCAAATTCGACGTTCAAAACTCCTGATTTTGGGGTGGATACGCTTTCAGAATTAGTTTTTTTTTTAAATTATTATTAAATTACTCTCTCGCAGTAAACAGAATGGAGTCTCTATATCAACTAATGTATTTGAGGTTTATATGTTTCAAGTTAAAGTTAATAAAAGTAATTACAATTCCTACATTGTTATCTATATCACATGATTAAGACAATCATGTTACGTATTTACAGCACAGTTAATATAGGCGCAATTAAGATGTACGTCATTATGTATCCTATGATTAAGCTAATAATGCTACGTATTGATTTAAAGGGTAGTTAAAATGAATAATGGGTTTTATGTAGAAGTTTACAAACGTAGATAATTAACAATATACAATGTAGTCCAGGTTACAGAATATTGTGTTACCCGATATTTATTACAGGCATAGGATAAAATTCTATCTTCATTTCGTCATAATTAAAGAGTTTCAGGTTGTCATTAAAGAGTTTCAGGTTGTCATTAAAGAGTTTCTGGTTGTCATTAAAGTCTCATCATTTGTGGATAACCCTGAATCTCTTAACTCTTTCGAGGCTTATTTTCACAATAATAACAATAATGAGTTAGAAAATTCAAAATTTAAGATATTTGAAAATGTTATCCTTATTTTTCTTAACATGATTTTTATTAGTGGTGATGATCTACCCAATGAACAGCACTCAGGAATTAAATCAATCAATTAGTCACTCAATCAATATTAAATCGCTAAATCAATTAATCAATTGATAAATCAATTAATCAATATATCGAAAAATCAAATAATGAATCAGAAAATCAGGCAATCAATCAATCAATTAATAAAACAATCGATCAATAATTCCATAAATCGATCTACCAATAAATGATTTGATAAATAAAAGAATCAATTAGTTTAATCATTTCTCAAGTGGTTCAATCATAATTCAATATGTACGCCAAATTTGGTTGTCTTGAAAGTGATGTCTGGTCAAATCAAAATAAGAGCTTTACAGTCGTCGTCGTATATATCCATACAATGAAGACGACTTTCTATTTGAATTTTGATTTTTTACCAAGCTATAAAACAGCTTAGATACTTAAAAAATGGAAACCAGGAGAGGCTGTCAGTGTCAATTTACAGAAGCTTTTAATGTTTACTTTTTAACTTATTAACTTATAAAAGCTTGTTATAAAACCTAAATCTAAATAGAAAAGTCGTCTTATTTGTATTGATGTATTCGCCAAACAATTTATTTAAACGTTTTATTTGTTTCGCCAAAACCTAGAGATATTTTCTAAAACGTTGTCTTGTCACGTCAAAAGCGAAAGATATATAATATTTCGAACGTTGTATAGTCAAAAATTTATCCACAATGAGATGAATTTAAATTTTCGAATTTTCTNAAAGAGATTGGCATGTTAAATCCTATTCTCGTTTTTATTAAAACACAAATACAAAAAAAACCAAGGTGATCCAAAATATCGAAAGCATAATATTACTTGTCTTTCAGTTTTTTTATGAGTGCAATAAACAAAGAAAACCCCTTTTTTAAACTGCAAGTTAAAGATTTTTGATATAACCCTGTTAGAGGAAGTTTATCTATCATCAGTTTAAATATGTTTAAGGAGTATGTCTGTCAATTTGTTTTTATTAAGATCTAGGATTCTTAATTTGTTTAGTTGATTTATATATGTTTAGATATTTCAGTTAAATCTTTGCAATTTAAGAAACTGCTTCTCAATCCCTACTTGGTATTTCTAAATTAGATAAACTTACAACTTTTAGAATGTATCCCCATTAGGGTTGTTAATTGTTTTTGAAAAAAGCGATTTCGTTTCTGAAAAAAACAATCGTTTTTGAAAACGAACCGCTCGTTTTTAACTTTCAAAAAACGATCGTTTTTAAAAATACCTGAATGTTTTCGGATTTTCTGACCAAAAATGTATTTTCTCTTTAAAAGGTCGTTAAAGAGGGTTGTCGTTAACGGTCTTTAACGAAGGATCGTCGTTAACGGTCGTTAACGAAGGGTTGTTTTAAAAAACTATCGTTTTTAAAAACTATAGTTTTTTAACGAAAAACGTTCGTTTTTAAAAGACTATATTTTTTTTTAGTTGTTTCCAAAACGAAACGATTGTTTTTTTAAATGGAAACAATCCATCCCTAATCCCTACTTAGCGTGTTTTCTTTCTTCTTCTTCCTTCAATCTCCATATAACCCCTACCCCTTCTATAATCTTCCTATAACCTCCTCCCTTCCTTCAATCTCCCTATAACCCCTCCCCATTCTATAATCTCTTATGGAGGGGGATAGGTGTCAACGACTAAAAAGAAAAGTTACAGCTTTGAGGACAACTTTTACAAGAAAAGAGAAACAAAAGATGGGAATCCTAGAATTTTGCATTTTATTTAAAGGAAAGGGGGGGAGGGCGGAAGGAATTGGGTTGGTGAAAAGGTAAAGAGTGAAAGAAAAAGGGGAATCGGGAAACCGAGGAAATGGGGAGGTGCTAAAAGAGCAAAAAGGAAGAATTAATTAAATGGATTGATTTTTTACTTGTCTTAACACGGACTAAAAATATTTTTAAAAAAATGTTATCTTAGTTTTTATATTATCAAATTGGATTGGATTAGTTTTTATTTTGTTTATATCATCTGCCCAAGTGAGAGTGGAACGCGTAACACTGTGAATTTTTTGTTTTCAAAATGCAAACGGTGATTAATATGCAGCATATTGGGAAATTGGACAGATATTTATATTGGGATTGATAAATATTAGGTTTTGCCCATGATTGATAGATTTTTTTTTTTAATACAATTAGAAAGTGATCTTGATCTGTTTAAAAAAAGTTTTTTAAATTTTTTGGATAAAAGGATAATTAGAACAAGAATCATTTGATATTGATTGAATAGATTGATTATTATTAACAAATTATCTTATTGTTTAATTTGATAAAATTTTTTACTGTTGATCAAATTTTCACTCATACATTATTAGATAATTCAAGCTTCTAAAATACATTATTAGATAATTCAAGCTTCTAAAATACATTATTAGATAATTCAAGCTTCTAAAATACATTATTAGATAATTCAAGCTTCTAAAATACATTATTAGATAATTCAAGCTTCTAAAATACATTATTAGATAATTCAAGCTTCTAAAATAAGTTTTTAAATATTTTTTTTATCAAACTATTTTTTTTTGATAAATTGATGGAATTAATTAATTGTTTTTAAAAAAGTGATTTTAATTTGATATAATATTTTTGATTGATTGGTTTATCGAGCAATCGATTAATTGAATAATTGATCTCTTAATTGATTGTCTGTTTCATCGGCTAATGGATTTAATGACGAAATAAAACATTGATAATTTTAGGAATTATTTATTATTCAATTGGTTGATTGATTTCTTAATTGATTTATCATTTGATTGGTAAAATAGATAATTTATAAATGTTTGATTGATTGATTGGTCAGTATGTACCTGCGACGATGCAGATCATAATCGGCAGCCTGATCAGGAAAATAGCAAAAACGTTAAATTAATCAATTATTAATGGGACTGTATGCGTAATCATATGTGACCCTCCATTTACATGGTTCGAGGTATATCCGACAACAATATATTCTGAAAAATTTGTCTTATTAAGTATGAATTTGATTTATCCATATTTTCAAAATTCAAAATCTAAAAAAAAGATTTAAATTAAGATATATTTAACAAGAAAACGTTGCTATACACAGGTAAAAGTGATCATCTCTAAATCAGGAAACTCTCTTGTGCTCGGCGCCACTGCTGCAGATCAAAAAATTAAAGAATTCAGGCAACACACAGTATCTAAACATATTTTAGTGTCTACACATCCAGGGAAATTGTACATCAACTCTTGAGACCGGGCCGTTATTGATGTAGATCTTAACATTAAGGCCCATATGGATTCTTAAAGGTACAACTTCCAAGCTACACTGTATTTCGGCCCACCAAACCAAACTTCCTCAGATTTAAATTCCAAAATACGGTTCTTTTTCAATAAAAATGGTATGAACTGTACATGAAACTGTGTATGTACAAGGACCCTGAAACAACACTACTATCCTGAGGGGGGATGGGGCTGGGTAGTGGTGATCACAGCAACTCTAGGCAAATTCAATTTAAACAATGTTTTTGGTTTAAATTCCGAAAAGGTATTGATTAACAGACGTATAATATATAATTAACAAGTTTTAAAATAAAACATTATCCTTTTTAAAAAAAGTTTTCATACTTCCTTTCTTTTTTCGACTTTTCAAAGTAATTTTGAGTGATTTCCTTTGTAACTGCATGGCAGTGTTTTTGCCCTAATATTTTTCGCTTTTTCATTCTTAATTTGAATTTTTATTTTATATTGATAAAATATTAAAAAGGGACTGTCCATAAAATTTCTTTTTTGCTCAGATAAAGGTGTACTGTTTCAAAATGGAGGAACACTTGTAAATATGGCAGCAGTCCCTTTAAAGAAAATGAAGGATTGAATTTGCTTTGTTTTAGTACAAACATTAGGATACGGAGTACAGATTGGACTAGCAGTGCTTTTCATTAGACATCTAGGAAAACTTTTCAAACAATTTTCGATTCTTTTCTGAAAATAAAAAAAGACTTTTACCCATTTATGATTTAGTAAACCCAAACCAAAAAGTATGCAACATTAGTTTCACCTTTAATCAAGTATTTAAAACATTTAAAGACGTTGAAATCACTTTTAACCATTGGCAGTTCAAATGTTTTTCTGGAAAATCTCATAATAAATAAATAATAAATAAATAAATAAAATTGAAAAAAGGAAGTTTATATTTTAGGTCGAATACCAAATTATCTAGTTCCTCTTTCATTAATCTGGAATCCTTCCACAGGTCACGAGCTGCAGAACTGTACAACAAACTGTACAACCCCCCCCCCCGGTTTATTACATGTAATCACATATAAACATNGTTATGTATACATATATGAAGCAATTCGTAGTTATGTATACATATATGAAGCAATTCGTAGTTATGTATACATATATGAAGCAATTCGTAGTTATGTATACATATATGAAGCAATTCGTAGTTATGTATACATATATGAAGCAATTCGTAGTTATGTATACATATATGAAGCAATTCGTAGTTATGTGTACATATATGAAGCAATTCGTAGTTATGTATACATATATGAAGTAATTCGTAGTTATGTATTCATATATAAAGCAATTTGTAGTTATGTATACATATAGGAAGCAATTCGTAGTTATGTATTCATATATGAAGCAATTCGTACACATCGTACGCAAAGGCCAAAGATCAGCCCAATGCTGTACGGTAAAAGAATACAACTCCGGTTCATTTAAAGTATAACCATACCGCCTTATAAGTACACACTAAACAGTTTACGAATTGAAAACGGTACATAACACTAACTGAATCATTCCCTTGTAGAGAGAGATTAATTTGAGCAAGGTACAGGGGACTAATCCATTACCATTGTTAACAATTGTGTACTGCAGTTTCGGGGAGAAATGTAAACAAATACGGCTCTAAAACTCTCCTTATATGCTTTCCAGAAACTGCAGTACTTTAACTGTAAACCAGCTGAGATCCTGACGTAATCCTGGGATAATATAATTAAATCAAGTTCTAATTGTTTTTTATTTCTATTTCAGGTTGGTTGGGAGCTTTATCTACTTGTACCTCACTATTCATTTCTCCTGTCACATTTGCTTTCTGCAGGTAGGAGGCATTCAGGGCATCCATCTTCTATTTCAACTTCTAGATATTGCTCTGCAAGGTTATAATTCAAGGAAAGTTTATTGTGCGGTTGCGTATACTCTGCGTACATATTGAAACCAGTTATCTCTGGGCGGAATTTGTAAACAAGAATAGATGCATCAGTTTCGTTTAGTATTCGAGGAGGTTAAAAGCATTAAATTTTTATAATTTTGATAATTCACATAATCGTTTCCTATGACCAGAATATTTCATCGATTTTTTATTTGAAAGATGGATCCCTTGTCAGGCTTCGACATCCGTCTTGTGTTTACATTGCCGCCCAGAGACTGCAGTATACTGCAGTACAAAAGATGCGTACACCTCTGAAATGTCTTTCCTTGCATTTTAACCTTGTTGCTCTATATGTGAGAAATTTTTCTTCATACATTATAAAACAATAACCAAAAAAAAAATCGGAGGATATAATATATATTCAGATGTTTTGTATAATTTTGTCACTAAAACTGTTTAAATTATCAATAGCAGCAAAGAAAACCAAAAGAAGTAAAAAGTTTTTCTAAATATCATTATTAATAAAATAATTATCATTATCTGGTAGGAGGAAATCTACAAGGTTAACTGCAGTGATGGGTGGACTAGTTACTGCATTAGGCAAAATTCATTATTTTTCAAAAGATGTCAAAATTAGTTTTTGAAAATCTTATCATTGATATTTCAAACTTTGTAGACAATTTCATAGAAAAGTAGTTTTAATTTATGAAAACAAATTTTTTTACTTTTGGGGAAAAGTAACAGGGGTAAGTGTATTTTTGATTGATTATGGTGTTGTAATCGATCATTGATTAGATTTCAAATGTTTCTTTTTTCTTTGGGTTTAAAAACAAGGAATTGTTTACCACTTAAAAAAGGTTTTAATCAAAACTTGCTGATGGCTAATTTGTAGCGATTATTTATAGTGATAGTGTAATTTTAATATCTTAAAAGTTTAAATCATCTGTATTTAAAAATTTGGAATTTATGTTAATAATTCTAGACTTAATCTTTATTTCAAACTTTATACCTCACGATCTTAATGTTTAACATATCATAACAGTTTTAAGTATAAATCTATGGTTTATTACAAGAGATGTACATNTTCTTCTTCTTCTTCTTCTTCTTCTTCTTCTTCTTCTTCTTCTTCTTCTTCTTCTTCTTCTTCTTCTTCTTCTTCTTCTTCTTCTTCTTCTTCTTCTTCTTCTGCCTAGAAAAAGAAAAGAGGGTCATGGTATAAAATATGTTGGCTAGATCTCCAGTTGTTTTCCAATATCAATTTGTATTCAACTTCCTTCACTATTATTTATCCTTTAATATCATCTCAGCGTTTCAAGTTTTTTTATTTACATTTTGATCCTTGTCGCCTTCAATGTCTGTTGTTTAAAAAATTAGTCTCTTGGAGCGCTCTGAACAATGTTGAAGCCGATTTTTTTTTTAATAATAAAAGGCAACATTTTTTTGGGCAACATTTTAATATTGACCATCCAAAAATATATGATAATCACTATAGAAAGATGGATCTATTATCTTTTACTATTATTATTTATTAATTTGAAAAATAATGATTTTATCAGGTTGCTTGTTCACATCATTTGCAAGTCAATTTCATCAATTGTTTTTTAGTTACGGACTAATTGTAGGTAAGTGTACTGTTCATTATTTTACGGAACAGTTTGTTATAAATACGCTTTACTGTACTGTACTGTTATTTCTTGAACTGTTCTGTACTATAGTGTACTGTACTTTACTGTACTGTCCTGTACTGTACTGTACTGTACTGTACTGTACTGTACTGTACTGTCCTGTCCTGTCCTGTACTGTACTGTACTGTACTGTACTGTACGGTACTGTACTGTACTGTACTGTACTGTACTGTACTGTACTGTACTGTACTGTACTGTACTGTACTGTACTGTACTGTACTGTACTGTACTGTACTGTACTGTACTGTAACTGTCCTGTACTGTACTGTACTGTACTGTAATGTACTGTACTGTACTGTACTGTACTGTACTGTACTGTACTGTACTGTACTGTACTGTACTGTACTGTACTGTAATGTACTGTACTGTACATTCCATGTAAAACACAAATTCTTGAAATTTTGAGTAATTTACTGCAAACCGTTAACCTGTTATGTTTAGGATGGATTTAATAAAAATCAAACAAATGAAATTAAAATGTCATCACTCAAAAATTTGGTTACAAATCGAGACCAGTCCTTTTATAATATTGTTACTAAAGGTGACATTATTTTCACATCAATCATTCTCAGAACACAGAATAATCATCTTCATATCAGTATTCTGATTCATTCTGTCATATCATTCTTCATTCATTGTCCTTCTTCTTTCTTCTTCATTCCTCATCCTTCTTTATTCCTTATCCTTCTTCATTCCTTATCCTTCTTCAATCCTCATCCTTCTCCATTCCTTATCCTTCTTCATTCCGTATCCTTCTTTATTCCTCATCTTTTTTATTCCTCATCCTTCTTTAATCCTCATCCTTCTCCATTCCTTATCCTTCTTCATTCCTTATTCTTCTTTATTCCTCATCTTTTTTAATTCCTCATCCTTCTTCAGTCCTCATCCTTCTTCATTTATCATCCTTCTTCAATTCTCATCCTTCTTCATTCCTTATCTTTCTTCATTCCACATACTTCTGCATTATTTATCCTTCTTCATTCATCATCATTCTTCATTACTCAATCCTTCTTCATCTTTCTTTATACCTCATCCTTCTCCATTCCTCAAAATCTTCTTCATCCCTCATTCTTCTAAAGTTCATCATCCTTCTTCATTTCTTCTTCATTCCTTCTTCCTTCTTCATTTTTTATATAAAAAAAGTAATTTTCAAGCCTGACCTGCATTATAGTGCATAGTTGTTATAAAGAATTTTTCCTCCTTTTCTTCCTTTTAATTCGCATATTGTCTAATCTGTGTGGTGCAGTGATGAATAATAAAGATCTATCCTATGCATATTAGAGACGAAAAACTAAGTTTATGCATGTTTAAGATGACGGATAGGGGTTGTAAGAAGTAGGAGCACAACCTGTCATGGAAAATACATTTTGCATTGATATACCTGTACATGTTAATCTTTAAGTATTGTACATGGAAATGTAATTAAGGTGTATTCTGAATTTCAAATATATAATTATTATTGATGGCATTTTTTAAATTTTTTTGTTTATGATTTGATCATTTGAGAAAAATGTTGTTTTTGATACATTCTTTTGAAAATTAAAATTTTTGCCAAAAAACATGTAGTTTTACTTTTCCTCCGATGATATAGTACCTCCGATGTATAGTATTCACCACTGACCAACCCTCCGATGAAAATGTTTTCCCTCCGTCGGTGGCCGCTGGGAATTTTTCCATCAAATATGATATTAAAAAAAAATATTTTTTTTCTTCTAGGAATAGGAGTAGGGTTGATAAGAGATACCTCTACTATTATGGTCGGACAATATTTTAAAAGAAGGAGAAACATGGTTGAAATATTAGTAGGTAGGAGAACAAAATATTTTGTACAAAATGATAAAATTTGTTTTGAAACAATTTTTTTTGGAAATACCAATCAGTAAAACATAATAAAATTTAGTGTTTTAATGCAAAATGATTTTTTAAAGTTTTGTTATACATGAACACTGAAAATAACCATTATTTCCCGTTCATGTCATGTGACCCTCTTTTAAACGAGTTCCATAACCGATTCACAACTGTTTTACTTCATCTGATCGAAAATATTAATGATATTGTTGTTTTCTAGCTCGAGCAGAATTTAATTCTGACAGTTTCCCCCATAGTTTCTACAAATCCAAATTTCACTTTTATAGAGAAACCATAATTCAAAACAATTAATTCTCAAACAGAAAAACTTCTTCTTGATCTGGCAAAGTTTTTTAATGGTGATGTTGTGAATAAGACATGTCACTCTATTAAATAGAAGGTGACATAAAACTAAGGTTGGAATTTAAATAACCTTTATTTAGTTTCCGGAAGTGGAATCGGTCTGAGTACAATGTCATTGTTTTTAAGAGGAGCAATCAGGTAAAAATTGTAAGAATAGATATATGTACAGTGTACGTAACTGTACAGTATGTTCATTTATTGTACCTCTATTATTATTATGCATTGTCTACAATGTGCTAGAAAAAAAACTGTCTCTAACTAAAATATATTTATCCAGAGCTGAAAACTTAAGAATTGTGGATATCGAAATCAATCAATGCGTGATCTCCTCTTTTTCTTATCTCCAGATTAAATAAGACTTGTTCTCCTCTTGTTCTTAATCTCCAGATTAATTCACCGATTAGGATTAAGGATATCCCATTCTAAAGTTTTTAGCTCAGTTTTCTTTTACTCTAAAGTTTAATTCGTCTGCTCACTGGTCCTCTAAATCTTAGGCTATCTGCTGCGTTTATCTACAAATTACGCTAAGGGAACCCATCAACAAAATTAGAAAGAGTCTATTGTATTGAACCAAGATAGCAGCCGCAAGATGGCGGGAAAATATCGCGTAATGGCGGATATAAAAAGCGAGCATGTTAGTTAGAATTATTCAGCAACTCACATTCATGAGTTCGCACCTTGTACGGCAGTTGTAAAGGGTAGTTATGAGTAGGGGGGTGGTCATGGATTTTTTTATTCTTTCGTCTATAAAAATATGTACGACGTCAAGACCGGAAATGTTTATATGAACAGTTCCACGCCCCACCGGTGTACATTCGAATATCCGAATGGGCCAACCTTTGCAGTCCTACTTTGGACTGTACCGACAATTTACAATTTCTAAAGCGCGGTTCACACAGTAATCAGAAAACAGAGAAATGATTGTTGTCTTTCTTGTATCTTATCTAATGAAATGATGTTGGAATTTACATGATCTTTTTTCTTCCAAAATACTAACTGTAATTTGTTAATTTATGAATATAAGTTACTTATATGTTTTGAAGATCCTTTGAGATCCGTTACTACAATTCTTGCTAAACAAAAACAAGTTTATTCTATGGGTTTCTATTTAATTCGATGTGCAATATATATATATATATATATACACAAATAAAATACATAACTAGTATTAAGATTAAAATAAAACAAAATTTAAATATACATTTTTATAGCAAGGAGCAATCTATAAAAGCTACCTATAAATTTCTGATATGAAAATACGCCATTATTTTTTTAATTGTTTGTTTCGTTCCATAATATTCATTTCTGTGAAAGAACGATCGTTCTTCAGGAAAGACGCCCAGCTCTATATCCAGTATTCAAAAATATTTTATTTAAGGGAGATTGGTTGGAGAATAGGATTACAAACTGTTACAGGGGTCGTATTCCTCACTTTTATTCTAGGTAAATATGTTTAATCTCTTCAAACTAAATTATAATAATTCATTACAAAATCAAACCTTCTTATTGAAGGGAAAAATCTTTTAAACAGTGTTTAAACTCAAACAGGATGAAAAGACATACTTAGCTAATTCATTTGATATATCAATAAATGATAGCATTGAAACTAAATTTATAACAGCCAAAATGTATTTAGTCTTTATTACAAACTCAAAATTATGGATCTTCTTCGCTGGATTAAATAAATTATGTTGGAAATATAAAAGGTTTACATCATGGGGTTTCGAAGGTATAGGGAGGGATTAGAAAATTGATTTTGTGGCAAAGTCTTAATTCCTTTATTGTGATTTTTATATTTAATGGTTTTCAGGTGAATTATTTATGTTTTATTGTTTATTAAAATGTTGTTTAAGAGTCTCCTAAGAAACTAAACATAAATGTTACAATTGTTACACTTTAAAAATCTAACATTTTAGAAGCTTTTTTTTGGAAATCTAAATAAACTAGGAATGTTTTACCGGTCTGCCACCCTTTACCACCCACAGAGAAGAGCAATTCTTCACTTAAAAAACCAAAAACGAAAAATCAAAGATAAAAACAAAAAGCAGGTAACAACAGAGTTTAAATAAATAAATTTATATTTTTTTTACATTGAATTGAACTACAAACAATCCTCCACCCTCCACAACGCACACATAGTTTCCTTTTCTCCACTTTGTTCCCCCTTTTGTCCCTGATTTGAAATCTACAAGCTGAGTTGTGTCTGATTTGTCCAAACATGCCAGGCTCCAGCGCCATATTTGGAAACAGCTGACATTACTCAATTAAATGGGTAAACGCGTCGCGGATTTTAGTCAAGTAAAATGTCGTCTTTCATTCTACAGTTAATACATTCTACAATTTTACACGTTAAAGTTATCAATATATGTTAATCATACAAATTTAGAGACGACATTTTTAATTTTAGTTTGTCTGTCTCGAGTTACAGACTATTCTAGCCTGCAATTCAGTGAGTTGACTTTGGAATGGCTGACGTTTTTTGATCCAAATATGAAGGGACGCTTAACTACTTCAAAAAAATTCTAGTCATGGTCTAAAATATTATATAATACTATTTTATACTATTTTTTCAAGGATTTTCAGGATTTTACGAAAATCGGAATTTTTTTTTTGAATGACACATGTTTGTAATTCTGGGCATCAAATATCCTTCCCATGGGATTATGTAAGTTGCCTCAAAAATGTTGTGCCCGAACTGTGTAGCCGTTCAGACTTTTATTGGACACAAACGGACAGACAGACAGACAATCAAAGTATGTGTATATATATATATATGGATGAAAGATAAGTTTTTAATAATGTTAAGTCAATTTATCATTATTTGTGATTTTATGTTTACAATCAACTAATCAATTTTAGGAGGAGAAACCACCATTCTTCGACACTTCTTGTCTCAAGAGCAGAACAGTTCAGATCCTTCTAGGCAGATTTACAATCAATCAAATAATAATTGATCAATAAATAATCGATCAATAAAATAATTGATCCATCAAGAAGTAAAATCAATAAAATATTAAAAATGTTAATAAAAATAAACATCAAGTAAAAAATCAAAATTATCGATTACAGATGCAAACCTTTACTAGATTCAAATCAATATTTTCAAAGCTTGCGATTTTTTATCTTTTACTGAACTTGTAAAACCTAAATACTTTTAAAAACTCATTCAATTTCATGAATATAAACATATTAACTAAGGAATTCAACGGAAGGATGAGAAATACGTCTTTTAACTTTTTTTAATATTAAATATAAACATTGCATAAATGTTTCACATGCAGTTCCTCATCAACTTTTGACCCCATTTGACCTTAATGCAATATCAATTTTTGTATTTCTCAATTCTATTTTTTTTGTTGAAGTTTAATGTATATATAAAAGCATAAAACCATGCGAATGCTAAAAGCTTTTAATGCGTTGAAATGTTAAATCAACAATATTTAATTTTAAAATGCAAAAAGTTTCCAAAAATACTAATTTTTATTTAAGGCGCATCAAGCGAGCCAGGAAGGGTTAATTGAAACACAAATTTTACTGTTGCAAACATATCTTGGTAAGCATATTATTTAATAAGTTTCAACTGAATACAGTGAGGCCTATAAAACTGAGTAAGTGTAATAGGAAGACGACATTTAATCATATGTTTCATGTGCATTTAATGTTTTAATAAAACAAATAGTATAACCTGAAGGTTCAAAATGCTGAAACGGGTCTGATGATAACCATTGTAAACTGCAGAATTGCTGTGTTACATGCTTCATGTTCGTTCAGCCGACTTTTCTAAATCATACCTTGTGTCTAAAAGTCGTCTTCCTATTTCACATTTTTAAGAGTACCATTACGTAAGGCATGTCTTATTCTTCAGTGAGAAATAAAAAATTTGTGGAATTCCAACTCATTTCTTCAATTTTGAGGAAATTGTTATTCCTCATTATTCCTACAAATGTCACGGTCCCTAGATAGTGGGATAAAAAGTTTCCAAAGTAAATAATTAGGAATTCTTCTCCCGGTTTTCTAGATTTTTATTCATACATTTTGCATATTAAAGGATTGGCCTGGGTGGTTGGATGCTTTCTTCTTGGTTCTCTAGTTGTTCAAAAATCAACTGATTGTAGGATAGGCAGACAGTATCTTTGTCAGGTATATACTGTACCGTGCAGTGCACTATAGGATAGGCAGACAGTACCTTTGTCAGGTATGTCAGGTATATACTGTACTGTGCAGTAAACTATAGGATAGGCAGACAGTACCTTTGTCAGGTATATACTGTACTGTGCAGTACACTATAGGATAGGCAGACAGTACCTTGTCAGGTATATACTGTACTGTGCAGTACACTATAGGATAGGCAGACAGTACCTTTGTCAGGTATATAATGTACTGTGCAGTACACTATAGGATATGCAGACAGTACCTTTGTCAGGTATATACTGTACGGTAAAGTACACTATAGGATAGGAAGACAATACCTTTGTCAGGTATACACTGTACTGAACAGTACACCATAGGATAGGGAGACAGTACCTTTGTCAGGTATAAACTGTACTGTGCAGTGCACTATAGGATAGGCAGACAGTACCTTTGTCAGGTATATACTGTACTGTACAATACACTATAGGATAGGCAGACTTTGTCAGGTATATACTGTACTGTGCAGTACACTATAGGATAGGCAGACAGTACTTTACAGTACACTATAGGATAGACAGACTTTGTCAGGTATATACTGTCCTATGAAGCACATTATAGAATAGCCTTTGGCAGGTGTGCTGTACAATGAATACTTTACACTGAACACCTAGTACAATCTATATGCTGTGTACTCTTTTAACTGTACACTCTGTACGTTTTACACGCTGTACGCTGTACACTGTACTTTTTTACCCTTAACGTTTTACTTGACACTGTACTGTGTACAGTGTGCATTCATTACAATCCATACACACTTTGAACTGTACATTGCAGTGTACTTTCTTTACAATCTATAATGCACTGCACTTTATTTACCTTGCCATGCACTCTAAACTTTTTACACATTTTAAAAATAACATATCTTTAAGCTAACTATATATTGTAGGCGTGTATCCTAATCTGTGGAATCTGTATCCTGGCTTTAACAGCAGTAGAAGGATATAATGGATATGTTATATTTGTCTGGGTGTACGGAGTCTTTTTAGGAAATTAAATCAACATTTTTTATATCTATTTAAAAAAATTTAGAAATTATGGAATTTTTATAAAACTAAAGACCCAAGCTTAAAAGTTTCTGATTTAACTTATCTTTAACCAAAGTTTTCAACATTACAAATATTACAAAATGTTGCCTAAATCAGGTGGTTATCACTATTCTTTAAAAATGTACGTGTTTGAAAAAGTAAGAGCAAGAAACTTTGGCAGGGCGTGGGGGTATATTCAGGTAACAATGTTAACAATCATAATAATAACTATTCACAGTTTAAAATTGTTAATGTCTTAAATGGCAAGGATTTTGATAATTTTAAAATTATGCCTGAAAATCTTGACATAAAATTTTAAAACACTTTTTTTAAAGCTTTGTTTTAGTTTTCCCAGGCCTTACCGATTGGAATTGGGATCCCAATATCAGGTTGGATAACATTCATTATTAAAAGTTTATTCTTTTGTAAAATTTTTATTTTATTTTTTTAGCTTTAGTTTTTATTTAACTTTGAATCTAAACATTTTAAATGTTGACTTTTTTGATTCAGTTGTTATAACTTTTAGCCTAAAAAAAGTGATTTCAAGTTAAAAATTAAATAAATGTTTAAACTTTTAAATTTTTTATCTAGGCTACATCAATATAGGATGTGGAGGGAAGGCCGGATACTATTTCAGGAATCATTTTGAAATTAAAAAGTCTAACATTTTATTTTTTCAAAGGAAAATTTATTACTCTCTATGACTTCCCTCAAAAAACCGATGATTCAATGAAAATCTGAAACTAACGATTTTAAATTGATAATGTACCAAAAACAACAAATTAAATTGATAATTGAGGATTTTAAATATCAAAATTCTTAAATTTTAGATTCTAAAATTGTCTTTTATCACTTTTATAGTGAAACTTTTATAATCACATTTTTATAATCTAATTTAACAGATAGAAAGTTAATTCATTTGTTCATTTCGTTCATTCACTCATTAACTTTTAAATCAATTCATGAATTTGATTTTTGAAATGTCATTGATGCCCATTCCAAACTTTGCCTGATGCATTCGCTTTTCTGCATCATCATCAAATTAGATCCTGCATGAATTCATTTTACTGAATATTGCATCAAATCATCATCATAAAAGAATGTTTGATTTATAGACAGTGGTTTCAAACAAAACTGTTTCTCTAAAAAGTATTCAAAAACAAATTTCGTTAGAATGGAAAAAATGTGCTATTTATTTATCTATTTATTTTGAGGTAAAAATTCCACTTAAAGAATAGTTTTTTAATAATTTAATCGGCCTTTACTGTAAAATCCTCTCATTGATTTTTAAGAAGACTAAGATTTTTCAGCAACTTAAAATTTAATTTTTTTTAAATCCTTTTACACTGAATTTGTTAAAATGATCTGAATTCTAGTGCTAGTTGTGTTCTGTTAGGAAGTTTTGCTTTGTTCCTAATTGACGTACATAAACGCAGGCTTAGGAAACGTCATAGGCATAGGCATAGAACACTTCATGGAACAGAATCAGGTTTACTATTCATTCTTTCTTTATTCATCATTTTATTTATTGGTCTATGTTGTTGTTTCGTATCTAACTTATTCAAACTTACATCTATGCATAGATAGTATTATCTAATACAATCTATGTTGTTGTCTCGTATCTAACTTATTCAAACTTACATCTATGCATAGATAGTATTATCTAATAGTATTATCTAATACAATTTATGAATCTATTCATATTAATTTTTCTATAAATCTAATTTATTTTATTTTCTAATCATCTAATTATATATCCATCTAATAATCTTTACATACAAATTATCAATTTATTTAGTTACCTATTTTTTAGCCTATCTATCTATCCATCCATATATCCCTACATCTATCTATCTATCTGTCTATCTAGCTATCTATCTATCTTTCTTTCTATTTATCTACCTATCTATCTATCTAACTAACTATCTATCTATCTATCTATCTAGAGCTAATCTCTGAGCGGACCAATGAGACGTCAATACACTCTGCTCCAGATAGAAAAATATCCTTCCCCGAAGACGAGGAATATATTCAGCCCCTTGGTATAGGGTTCCTAGCTAGCCAGAACTCATTAGATGATTTATTAGGTGATTATTCATTCATTTATTCATTCATTCTTTCATTCATCCTTTCCTTATATATTCAACCCCTTGGTATAGGGTTCCTAGCTAGCCAGAACTCATTAGATAATTTATTAGGTGATTATTTATTCATTCATTCATTTATCCTGCCTTTCATCCTTCCATTCACCCTTAAATCTTAATAAATTCTTCTGTTATAAGAACCAGAAATTATTCTTTCTTTTTATTACGAGCGAAGGCTGTTTTTTAACTTGATTTATATCACTGTTGGTACTGAAATATTTTTAGAATTTTCCCAGAGGCTTTCCCATGTTCAACTTCCAAAGTGACAACTACCAAGTGGGAACTTCCCAAATGTGCATTTTCCCAAGAAGCAACTTTCCAAAGGTTATGTTAGGCCTTTTGAGGCGCCGCAGGCTGCAATTGGGACCGATCGCTTGGGTTAGGAGATGGACTAGGGAAGTTACCTTTTGGGAAAATGCACATTTTGGAAGTACCTAACATCACGAAAATGATCAAAATAAGACGACTTTCCTTCCCCTGTTTACTGGTTCTCCCTGTACCTCTGATTGTATGGTGCTTAAAAATGATTGTGAAAAATTACATGTATTCTTCTCTAAATACTTTGTTTGGACTTCAACATAAATTCTTTAAACTAAAAGTGCAAGTCAGGGTTTATAAACATTTGGACATCTACTTGTAAAGATTGCCATAAGAAAAATATTAAAATAAAACTTATTAGTAAGAATTTTTCTTTTTCTTTTATCTTTAATTTTTTAATCCACGACCCCCCCCCCCCCCGGCCTTTCAGCAATCTCCCCGCAAGTCCGTATAAAGCCCCCATTAAGGTTTAAGATCATTCTAAAAGCGATGTTATGAACTGCATCCACATTAATTCAATGCATTTCAAATACCAAGCAGTCACCCAGTCGGATGCATATTTTGTTCAATCAATCCCTCCGTCCATTTATTTAATCTATTTCTGTGATTTAAATTCTTCACTTTCACACCAATATATTTATTTTAAAAACATTTTACTGGCGATTAAAAATGATTTAACTAGAGCAATAATTACACTGTAAGTGTAATTTCACGTGACCTTCAAACTAAAGAATTTAACGGCTCTCTACACTGAGATCTCTGTCCTCGATGATTAGTCAAAGGTTTAAAGGGTACCATTGCAACTCTGGGATGTTCCTTTAAATGGAAAGTCGCGTGAAATTACGCTTAGTCCCTTTAAATTCAAAATTTATGTCACGGTATACCGGTGTAAATGATTGGTTGAAAATAAAAGTCATGAGAAATCTTGAAAGATCATAAGGATCATATTGAATATATTTATTTTATATAAATTTAATTTTATTAGATTTGAAGAAACCTGAGTTGACTTGTATCTCTGAGGAGGGTATAGCTGATATGGATATTCCTGATAACCTTCTTGATGAACTAGATTTCCTGGATAACATTACTTCATGTGCTAAGGTATAACCTCCTTGATGAACTAGATTTCCTGGATAACATTACTTCATGTGCTAAGGTATCACCTCCTTGATGAACTAGATTTCCTGGATAATATTACTTCATGTGCTAAGGTATAACCTCCTTGATGAACTAGATTTCCTGGATAACATTACTTCATGTGCTAAGGTATAACCTCCTTGATGAACTAGATTTCCTGGAAAACATTACTTCATGTGCTAAGGTACAGACTACATCCCCTTTAAGGGGCTGTACGTGTAATTTCATGTGAACCTCATGCAATGTATGATAAATGTTTATAACTTTTATAAATGATTGTTTTCGATTGCGGATTCTCTACATGAGTGACTTGCATGTTTCTCTTATTAGAAGTTATAAAGGCCGAAATTATCAGAATTAAACACTTCTCTTTTAAACTTAGCAAAACGATATTATCTTGATCAGATAAAAGTGTTAAGGGTACCGTAGTGATTCGGGCATTGAAATCTTTGCATGAAGGATCACTTTAAATTACTCTACAGTCTCTTTGAGGATGATCCTCCTCGGTCTTACCGCCAGCAGTGCACCGAAGGAATTCCTCCTGCAGTGAATTAAAACAAGGCTAGGTTTGATATCTTCAAGAAGAGGAGTTAAGTACTGCTTCTTAGAAAATCATCAAATATAAGATCGCAAAAGTTTTCTGACCCAAGTGTACTAAATCAAGTTGTTCTAAAATATATGTTGGTAAAGCTAAAAATCTATTTAAATGGTTCTAATTCAAAGCTTGTATTACCTTTAAGAGGTTACAAAGGAATCTCATATTGTAAAAGTGCATTTTCTAAAAGTGTTATTGGATGTTGCAAAATGTTCATCTAGATAATGCATTATGCAAAATTTTCACCAAACCGAATTGACCATTTTTTTAATTTTTGTCTTTCATCATTTGGAAAAAAAAAATTTGTGCACAAAATTGTAAAACAAATTTTAAAGAATGTAACATTTTGAAGAAACGGAACGGCTCCAGAAAAAAACTGATCTTTATTTTAGGTTGAGAACTGTGTCATGCTGAGTGAGTATGAACAGAATTTGATCATGGATATGGAAGGACCGGTCAGGAAATCTAGAAAATGGTCACTTGTCAAGCAACCCAGCAGCCTTTTTCAAGGTATCTTTTTTCACCTTTGAAAAATAAAAGTTAAAGTTTATCTAGAAATCCCCGTAGAAGCACAGAATGAGCAGTATGGGCTTAGAAGTTTTGGATTTTTGCATGACAAAATTTTAGCTGAAATGAAAGGGAAGGGCCATACGATTTAAATTTAGTATTTATAACCCCTTTTAATATTCGCGAGTACTCCCTTTAATGTTTATATATTTTATCAGGACGGGCACTGGAAACCTTAACTGAAGATGTTGCCGTGAACCATTCTCTACCGCCAAATATTAACCCAGTTCCAATTCTTGAACGAAGACGATCTGGACTTAGAGAAGTTCCGAAGTTTAGGTAATGCGGCATTCTGGAAAATTTATTTGTTTTCACATATCTTTGAAAATGGTGGATTAGAATTGCTTAAAATCAGAGAGAAATTATTCATTACTCCAACAGACACAAAAACTGCATTTGGATAAAGGCAAAGCTACTTAACCATAAGTTTAGACGCTCTCATGTTTAGGGATCATTAAATAATTTGGAAATTTCAGAAATGGACCTTGGCAGCTGCTTCCAGGAGCTAACAGAATGATTACTACAATAGATGAAGCCTCAGGGTAGCTTCATAGCGTTAGCGCAAAATAAATATTTACTGCAGCTGTGTGTTGAATAGACAAGGGATAAGGGGCAGCAGCAACAATATTTATCAGTGCATTGTCTTCATGCTGTTACTGCTGCTAGTGGCATATGGGCGAAGAAAAGTGGTGCTGACACTATCCATTGATGCCGTATGGATTAGAATGCAATGTAATGCACTCAGGAACAGTGATACCACCTTTTGATGTACTGTTGCCATGCGCGCCGGTACAGATGGGTTCATGTGTTTCATTGTGTAGTCTAGTCTTTTATGTACGAGTGAATGTACAATTACAATGTAATATTGAATCCTTGTACCGGATCGGATCACACAAAAATTAGAGCTCTGTAATATCTTAAACAGTGGAAGGGAAGCCGCATCTACCACAGTGACTTTAGCTGTAGAATAAAATAGGAAATACAATACTTAATGGAGCAATCAGTAGCTTTAATCAACATAAATCATAATGAGCTGCATCAGTAATAAACCGGTCTTTCTAATACCAGAAAATGCTCGAAGAATTATTCAATTTTTACCGCATTTGCCATATTCTAAAGATACTCTTTTTGCGCATAAAAAAGTAAAGATTGCATTATAAAGCTTTCATAATTGTTTTCTATTTTCAACAGTATAAAAACTAATTTTAGACAAATATTTTGTGCCGAATTTAATAAAGATTAATGTTCAGCATAATCCAAAAATATAGTGAAACCTTTCTGGTGAAAAAAAGCATTTAAAAATGTGTGTAGAATTATTTTGATTTTTTACTGTTCATCTGTGATATTTGTAAACATTAAAACTAGTCAATAAAAAATGAAAAAAAATTTAATTACTCCATATGGAGAGAGAGAGACCTTCTCGACAAAATGTTCATACATTCCTTTGAGCAACAGGTTTTCAAGATAGATTAAAAGTAATAAAAGTAAGTATATGACTTTTGAATCTAAATTCTAATAAATCAAATTATTTATTTATTCAAAAATACCTTTCGAACATTTGATTTGATATGTTCCTTTTTTTCTAAAGTTTTCTGTGAAGCAATGAAAAAAACTTCTGTCTCATTTATAATAACTATATATTATTTGATAGAATTTTGAAAAGATACAAGGTTACCCACAAAGGATGAGACTTCAGAGACGACTGTACGGAATTAAAACTGTCTGTTTCTCTGGAACTGAAACTTGTTTCTTTCTTCGCGAAATCATTAAAAAGCCATTAACAGACTTTCTTTAACTTTTAAGGCAGAAGACTTAGTTAAACCTTGGATTCGTCATTGTTATTATTAAGGTCGTCTTTACAGTCATATTCTTTGTGGGTAACCCTGAAGGTGTTCGTTTTAACGTGCACAAACCCTCGGTTGAACATGTGTATATGAGATGTAATATTGCTATCTGATCATTTCTTTATACAATCCTTACATCAGAGATATCTTGTCCATCATCTAACTATCTATTTATTTAATTATTTATTTATTTATTATTTATCTTTACATCATCTTTACAGAGATATCTAGTTTATCTATCTATCTACCTATTTATTTAATTATCTATTAATTTATTTATCTATTAATCTTTATATCATCCTTACAGAGATATCTAGTTTGTCTATATATCTATCTATCAATTTATTAATCTTCATATCTATTTATATATTTGTATATCTATCTTTCTATCTATCTTTATATCTAAATATCTTTCTATCTATCTCTATATATCTATCCATCTATATATCTATCTATCTATCTTTCTATCTACCTATCTGTCTATCTATCTATCTATCTATCTATCTATCTATCTATCTATCTATCTATCTATCTATCTATCTATTTATCTATCTATCTATCTGTCTTTCTATAACTACGTACAAAACCTATGGGTCCTCAAACCTAACTACGCTTTAAAACAACTATGTAAAACTTGTAATTACGTTCATTAATTTAACCTCTACCATAGAACTCAAAATATACCTTAGTTGGAATAATACTCTTGATTAGGTTATTAGAGTAATCCATCCTTGTTTAGTAAACAAGACGGATCTGAGTTGTAACTTTATCTTGGTGGATAGATTTAGACTAGTAGAATACAGAAAGTGTTGTATCTGTATTGATACATGCTAAGGTATTATTGTAGACCAGTCAATTCTACAGTAGTTTGTAAATTCTAAAGTCCTATCCAGATTGAAAATGACAGAGTATATTGAGAGAACGAGAGAGATCTAGATCAGTCTGTTCCTAGGCAATACAGACAAAGTTATTGCTGTAGACCTGAGTTCTACAGAGGTTGTATCTGGATTGATACCAACCGAGTATATTGAGAGAACGAGAGAGATCTAGATCAGTCTGTTCCTAGGCAATACAGACAAAGTTATTGCTGTAACCTGAGTTCTACAGAGGTTGTATCTGGATTGATTGATACTGACTTTAGAAACTTCTTGGGTAAACCTGCAGTATGTTGTACATTATTAACTATTTATGTTGTAGACTTATACATAATGACATTATTTATTGAAACTGTGTTTCAATTGAATATGTAACATGATTAGATTAAATCATGTGACATACTTAAATTATGCTATTAACATATGTGGAGAAAGCTTAACTACATTATATCTATTCTCACTTATCTTATAAATATGTACATTAAACTTTAACCATGCAGTAAATATGTAATATAATTGTCTTAATCATGTGATAAAGATCAGCAATTGTAATTATGTCAATTCATGTTAACTTGTGACATGAGATATTAAAAAAAGTTTAGTTTATAGAGTAACTTAGACTGTTTACAGCGAGAGAGTAAACCTGAAACCCTGTTTTAATATGCAGGTGGGATTGTCCCAGGGAGTAAGGAATAGAAGGGAGATATAACTGACTCGGTTCACCCTACCATATGATTATACATGCTTTGCAGACGAGTACTCCATTTGTATAAGAAGTATTTGTCTGATGTACAATGTACATTTACTGCGGATACAATAACCTATTCTGAACATTTCATATACAAATGAAGTACTCGTCTGCAAAGCATGTATAATCCTATGGTAGGGCGAACCGCGTCAGTTATATCTCCCTTCTATTCCCTACTCCCTGGAGTGCCCCCATCATTTGGGATCGATATATAGTTTGTTGAAAGCTAGGCTTTTGTCCCAGTGCGGCAATTAAAGCACTGGACTAATAGATTGTTGGATAGGTATGCTAGTGTCCCTGTATAGCATTTAGAGCCTGGATTAATAGCTTGTTGGATAGTTTTCCTTGTGTCCCAGTGTGGCATTTAGAGCCAGGTGGGTTGTGTCCTGGTTGACTCTGATAGCCGACGGGTTGTGTCAGGATGAGCCAGGTGGGTTGTGTCCTGGTTGAACTATTAGCTTGTTAGATAGCTACGCTTGTGTCCCAGTGTGGCATTTAGAGCCAGTTGGCTTGTGTCCTGGTTGACTATGATAGCCGACGGGTTGTGCCATGATAAATATGTTAGAGAACTTGTTAGGGAGTAGGTGTTTACTATATATATATACCTGAACCGTTCAGTTAAGCAACATTTATATATATATATATGTATATACTATATATATATATATATATATATATATCTTATTATTTATCTTTATATCATCTGTCTATCTATCTTATTATATATCTATCTATCTAACTAACTATCTATCTATCTATCTATCTACAACTCTTCATTAATGGTAGCTTGCAATGAATCTATGTGCTACATTTGCTTGTCTTATTCTTTTTCTACATACATTTAATCTATTTGTAACTCAATTTTTAAGAATTAATTCATCTCAATTCAAAAAATTAAAATCAAGTTGATTTAAAGTGAACAGAGTAATTTCTTAACAAGCTTTTTTCATAATATCTCCCTTTAAACCAATTCTTTAAGAATAAATGAAAAAAAGCGTGGTTTCATTGTTTAAAATGTTGCAAGAAGATGATTTCTAAAATAGTTCCGACACATTAATATCTTTATTGTTTTCTAGATAAGTTTAAATAAGGGGAACCAAGGCATAAGTAGAAAAAGAGAAAAAAATTTACATTAAAAATCACAAAGTACAGGGTGCCCCAAAAAATAATGGAATTGAGTGACGGCTTAGTGATCGTCTTTGTTAAAAATAACATTTTAATAATATTTTTTAAGTTGAAAATTCAATAATTTTTTAATTGTGGCTTTTCCAGTTTTTTTAGTGTCGGAATTTATGAAACAAGACGGTTTATTTATCTATTGTTACTCAGATAGAGGTTTAAAGGGTACCATTGTGAATAATACATGTCAATTAGGATCACTATCCCTTTACCCCCCCCCCCCCCTTACCTCTCCCTCCCCAGGAAACAAATGAACAAGCTCAGACTGTCATCAGATTGATTACAACTTCGTGCCTGAATCATTATCAATTAAATGATGTAAGATGAGAGATAATCTGTTTAAAACATCATACAAACCGTTCAAAATAAATAAAACACAAGTAAATAAAATGAGTAAAAGTTTAAGAATTTAAAAATAAAGCAGTAATATACAATTGATTAGTGTTTATTAAATGTATTGAAACTTATCAGAAGTTGTCTCATATTAAGTTTGTTTGTCATAACTTAAAATTTGTTTTAAAAGGCTGTTGATAGAGAACCTCTGATCTATTTATAAGGGTTCTATCAGAAAGGAAATGAGTTTTGGCCACTAACTCCCATTTATCTTTGCAACCTGATGTCGTAGACCTTTGAAATTTCAAACAACGAATTCTGCATTTCATGTTAAGATGCAGAGGCTCAAGTATTGTGTCTGTGAGGCTCATGGCGGCGGGGGGGTCCCTCCCTTGTTTAACGTGACACCGGGGGGTCCACGGGGTTGAGGGGAGAAAAAACTGATCCCACGTGGTGCTAGTGATTACTGGAGTTCTCACCTTGCCAGCACTTGAAGGATTTGTACAGAAATTATGCCAAAACACAAAAATACCCACAAAGAATAAATCTTTAATGAAGACCTAAACTATTTTAATTAAACATTAAAAACGATAAGTTCGGCTTTATATCGTAAATATAGTCTTTTTAATAGTTATGAAATAAAGGGACTGTAAAGGAAAATGAAAGGGTGGTATAGGCTGAAACCTGAGAATCTCAAGAGTTGAACGATATATATGACATGTATCTGATGTTCCTGTCTCGAGAAATTGATATCAAACTGTGTCAAAATTATACCAAAATGTATATAATTTAGAAGTACATTTATTGCATATCTTTTATTTTAAATGCTAATTTTTAGCCACCAGACATCTTAAAGGAACCCTACCCTCTCTCCAACCTTTCGAAATCTAATTCTTGTGAAAGTTTCCAAGTTAAATTTTGTATTAAAAGACTGATTATAATTTTATAATTTTAATTTTGCATTTCAATAGATAGCATGGGTCTGAATAATTTTGTATGTCCATATCCGGTCGAAAAATTCAAACAATTCCAAATCTATTGTAATAAAATAATCAGATTAAGAAATTACTTAAATTTTTATAAAATTACTTTTTTATTAGGTTTCAATGTGTATTTTGTGCTATCTATCTATCTATCTTTAACCCTATCCCTGCTGGGGTACTTGAAAACCAGGATACGCTGGGGNTCTATCTATCTATCTTTAAAAAAATCCACCAATAGGAGAAAGTTGGCGGCGATATCTAATCTAACTAGTAATCATACTGAGGTGATCAAGTCATGAAACAATTTGTAAAGCTTTGAATCTTCATGAAAAAACAAATCTCAAAAAATAAAGAGGATTATCCCCAATTATCCCTGACTGATGTATACTTTTTAAAAATGTGGAACTGACATCTACTTTATTTAATTCATGAGAATTGGATCATAATCAACACAGTATTTCAAATTTGTGAAGTAACATATATGTTACAAAGTTCTAAAATGTTACAAATACTTTAAATTTAAAAAAAATCTTTTCTAATACAAAAAGGAAACGACAATAATATTGCAATTCCTCCAGATGTTGATTGTTGACTAATACGGTTCCATGTCCATTTCTTGTAGTTTCTGAACAGTGAACAAATCTAAACCTACATTGTTTAAAATGACATATTGACAGTGAGAGGAAGATAGCAAAATGAACTGAGAGTGTTTTTGCTAAATCTAACACCTTGACATTGTCCCCCTCCCCACCCCCTCCTTAGCTCTATGACATACATTGGAGTTGGACAGACATTTTTTTGCAATTTGTATTCATAATTGATAATGGTCAACATTTATAGTGTATATTGTAAGAATCTTTATAATTCATAGATTCCAAGTTTTAAGCATATATATTCATTTTAAAAAATTTCCATGAATTCAAAAATAATGTTTTGTAGGCTTTTGATGTGGCACTTGCAAGAGGATAATGCCGGGCCCGGACTAGGTTTAATTTTTTTAAAGCTCAAATTTTTCCCTCCTCCCCTTGATTCAATTTTGTATATGCTCTATGTTTTAACCCCGTAAAAAAAGATCATTAAAAAACGGCAACTTGGTTAAGAACAGATTAAACCCATTAACTGAATTGAAAGGAACGAACGCGTCTATTTGATGAGCGCCTGCTCGTTCCGTTAATTATCAAATTATTAACAAACGCAAAAAAAAAGTTCGAACGTGCCCAGTCATATTTTTATCAGTGCTTGGATATTGCTAAGAAAATAGTGTCTTGTAAGCGCGTTCTTAGTTTCTGACTTACATGCATCTTGTAGAAATAAAGTCTTTGGTTTAATAAGAAGCGCAGAGATGTATGATGTTGTCAACAAGAAAGGGAAGCTTTTCAGATCAGAGTCCGTTTTAGGTTGGACACATTTTTCAGGATTAGATATATTTTAGACTGAAAATTTTCTAGGATTAGACATATTTTAGTCTGGACATTTTTAAGGATTAGACATACTTCAGACAAAGTGCAAAGGGTTATGCTGTAAAGACTTTATTTAAACACACTCTCAGACAACAATGGAAAAAAAATCTTTGATGTTAATTCTCTTGCCCTGAAAATATTACTCAAATTATTTAATATCCACAAAATTGATAAACACAATTTCTGGTTCAATACGCTCAGGTAATAAAAGTGAGAAATTTCCCCAAGTTCTCCAGATATCCCAGATATGGTGACTTGCTTAGAAGAATTTCCGGAAAATTTCTCATGAACAGGTTCTAGTGACTGATCCCTCTGAAATTCTCGAGAAATTCTCCGGAGTTGATCCCAATTTGAGAGATGTATTGGGGACCAGAGTTTTGTGACTCAGTTTCGAAAAATTCCTAAGATTTTCTCGGGAATATTTCTCCAGAAATTTGTGAGAAATTCTCAAGACTTGGTCAACAATTTCTTAGGAATATTTATCTGGAAATTCCTGAGAAATTCTCAGAACTCCATTACCCATTTTACAGAATTTTTAAGTTCCGTTGTTCTCCTAAAGATTTTCTGAGCTTCCCTTTTATTATACACTGCCCTAACTAGATCTTTTCTTCTTTGAATCTTTATTGATGAAAAATGATAATTAACTTTAGAACCATCTGTTGAAATTTCTTTTTGAAAAGAGTATTAAATTCTTCATTAGTTCTCGATAATTCAGTTGTCTGAAAATACAAAATACAAAACAACTTCAGTAAGATCAAAAGCAACTATAACATTCTGACTCTGAAATTGGTTAAACTTAAAAAAAGTTGAAGGGGCAATATGTTAGTTATTAAGATGTTCACTACTATTAGGCCGAAGTCCTGGTTAGTGATTTTACTCACGAATATGCGGAGAATATCTCAAGATAATCCTGAGGAACTCTTGAGAAAATCTTGGCAATAATTCCTAAGAAATTCCCTGGAATTGGTTCTAAAGAACTTTTCTCAAGAAATTCTTAAGAATTTCCCCAAATTTGGTCGACATTTTCTCCAGTTATTCTCCAAAATTGGTAATAAATCCCAAGAAATTTCTTAGATAGGGTTAAGAGAAATTCCTTGGAATGTGCTACAAGAAATTCCTCGGAATGGGTTCCAAGAAATTCCTCGGAATGAATGCAAGAAATTCCTCAGAATTGGTTCTGATATATTCCCAGGAAATATTCACAAGAAAATCTTCAGTCCCGTCCAAACCCCTGTCACTGTATGGTATTCATCCCAATTCTCAATGGAAAGATTGCTGGAAATCTCCGCTGATTCCGAGGAAAGATTCCTGGAAATTTCCGCGGATTTTCCGCAAAATTGTTACCTGGGCGGGGGATGACATTAAGTTTGTAGTCTTTAGTTATACAAACTGGAACTGGAATTGTGGAAAAAAAACCGATTTTTTTGCCTTTGTTTTCCCAAAATTTTATATATATATATATATATATATAAATTTGAGCGAAGAGCTTTATTATATAGCTGATATGTAAAACATAGTAATAACATTACAATATATAGTAGTTTTGATTTGAATCAGAAGTAACCTTTTGTTATTGTATACAGTTGTAGTAAATGAAAATAAAGGATTTTAAAAGCCACAAACGACGAACATGCTTAGGTAGGAATACTTTTCGTATTGTATGCTTATGATGCATGTGTATTGTAGGGATGGGTAACTTTACTAAAGAATGGTATGTTTTAAAAATTAACAACGGAAGTTTTTGTCAATGAATGGAAAAAAATGTCCACTTTTTTACTATTTTTCTGAGCTAAACTTACCTAGAATAAACTATTTTTTTTATTTAAACCCAAAAACCTTTTTTAGAGATAGAAGTTAACTTTTGTTGACTCTTATTAAAGAAATTGAATGCCTATTTGAACAAAACACACATTACCATAATTTTCAAATTTAGGATCGCAACTAAGCCTATCTTACTTCTCTAAGATGTTCCTAAAAGCTGGAACACTCAATTCTCTTTAATTATGATACAATGCATTGTGCATCATTTGTGAATTTCAAGCATTTTTGTTGTAGATTGGAATTGGACCAACGAATAAGAAAATGTTCACTGTTCAAAACACAAAATTTAATAAACAGGAGAGCCAGAAAACTCTGGAATAGGAAGACAATTAATTAAGACTTCAGGGGTCAATCGTTAACCCCCCCCCCCCCTAACTCTCAAATCAAACCATTAGGTCACGTGATCAGTTCCATCTATCAACCATAGGCCACAGTAAACACTTTCCATACAATAAAGTTATAATAAACCACGAAACATTCAACAAAAAAATCACACTTTTGTTCCCATTTGATTGTTATACAATTACAATCTGCTCATGTTATCTATATCGTGTGTTAGGTAAGGTTGGATTATATCTGGGCCAAGCGCGCTGTGGCCATTAATATGGGCCGAACATTGCAGCTATTTAACACTTTGTTGTTGAAGTTTGCTAACATTTTCAAAACTCTCAAGATCATTAATTCAGGATTAGTCTTTGTTACCCAATTACAATCCAATTACAACCTGCCCATGTTATCTATGTAGGTGGGTAAGGCTTCTTCTGCGAGGCTGGTCGTGGTTTCGTGAATTCTTTTTAAAAATATATTTCGGTTGTAGGCCAAAATTTGACCTGGGGCCCTACTCTCAGAAAATAGCGACGTCAGTTTTAACTTCTGACGGTACAATAGTTTTGACTTTTAACGATGCACAAAAAATGTTGCCGTCTTCCTATTTCAGTTTTCTGGTTCTCACTGAAATAAAATAAATTAAATCTAACAATACAAATTAAAGAAAAAATATTAAGTAAGCAAATCTCAGTTAACAGATTGAAATCCATTCTGAGACCAAAAATAACTTATTTATCGATAGTTTGGAGGTTTTTTTGGCTTAGGTTTCATTTCTGATAAACTTTTTCTTGTAAATATATCTAAAAAATTAAAAACAACGTTTATTAGATATATATTTTAACTTTATAAATCAATATGCGAAGGAAAGTTTGAGTTTTGATCATAGCGGGCCTCAGAAACATCTTTAATCTGCCAGATAGACTTATATTGTTTTAAAATCACAAAAATGTTGATATTATCAGTATTTTTAAGTAGGTGAAAACTCTTCTTTAACAAACTGAACCGTTAACAAACATTCCAGTTAACAAATGTGATAAATATCTTCCATTAACACGGTTAGAACATCTAAATCATTTACAAATACGTTAGATTGAGGAAAGAGAAAAAAGTTAAGTGTACTAGCTAAAAGTTTTTAAAAAATTAAAGCGTGCCCAGCTCTATGCATGTGTAAAGAATGGCTAGAATGGATCTATTATTTCTTGAATGATTTAATGGTTGAGGACAAGAGTGTGGGGACAAGTAGTAATACAATGATAAATTGTTTAGACACGTGGGAGGAATGTTTTACTGTGAAAATATTTGCCACGCTGCACATTCAAAATTTGATAAATCGTCTTTGTTATTTTTTAACTCGAATTCTAAAGTGGATAACCTGAAACTTTTAATACACCATTATAGATCTGCTCTGCTTATCTAAACGTTCGTTACTTTATCCAAATCAAAAATTAGTAAATAAGAAATATTAAGATTGTACACAACCTATTGTAAATTTTGATATTATTTTAATGCCTGAATTCGACGGATATCACTTCGTTTGATTAAATTAAACTTTTTATTTATGATTGGTAAACGCATGAACTGCGCCTATTAAAATGTCATAAAACTTTGATTTTAGAATTTGAAATGTCTTTTAGAATTGACGACCAAATGTGACATTAAAGAACAGTGGAATAGAATTAGCTTATAGGGATTGCAGGTGTAATTCTAAGTTATGTATGATTCATAATTGACCCATTAAATATTTTACTGATCAATAATGTTGAAGATATCATAGTTTAAAGAGCATGTGAAGGTTTAATTTAAACATTTTCTTCGTTGTCTCTGTAGTGAAAAGTACTGAAATCATCAATTTTCAAGAACATGAATATTTTATTCTTATCATGCAAAGCTTTTAAGATAAATTTTGTAAAGAATAATTCTATATCTAGAGAAATCAGTGAAATACAAATATTTCTAATTTTAACAAATAATGGTTTCAATTTAAAAAAAAAACAATTTAACATTTTTTAATAATTAAAATGTTAAAACATATGATTGATTGAGTTAGGGGGAGGGCAGTGTAGTCTATGGGATTGGAGTCGTGTATATTATTCATCTATGACTTTAAAATCATGTTCTTCTTTAACGTTCATCTTTAACCTTAAAGGGACTGTTGAATAATTTCTAGTTAAATTTATTTTTTACAAATAAATTTAAACTTTTTCCGGAAGAAAGTAATAGATTTAAGCCTAAAGAATGTTCTGCTTTTCTAAATAAATATTCTGAACTATTTGCGGATTGTCCCTTCAAATATTTGCTTTTCATTGATGAGCGGAAATATTTAGTGTTCAGTTCTTTGTTTTAATATTTCCTTTGTTGGTTTAACAGTAGATAAATTGTTATCCTCAAAGCAAATTGTGAAAGAGTGGTAGGAAGGGGGGGGGGACATAATCATAACTGCTCTGAAATAAAAGTATACAGGCACGTGGGGGTTGGACCAAAAATTTAAAAAATAAGGTCTTGAAGAGAAGTTTACAACATTAAGGGTTACCAACAAAGGATGAGAAAGTAAATTATAAATATGAGCTGAAACTCTTAATTCATATGACGATTCACGATTGAATATAATATTTTAATGGCTTATTTAATGATTTGACAAAGAGAAACAAGTTTACAATTGCAGGGAATCATGAATATTGAGTACTGTTGTGTAGTATGGAGTTCCTCTTTAACCATAGCTCAGGGTGAGGCCCTAGAAAGGGTTCAGAAGGTGTCCCTAAAAGTTATTCTATAAAAAAAAAAAATATAGAAATATATTTTAATTATGCCTTATTCTCTGCAACTTTCTAGATGCCTTAATGGCATTGATATTCCATTAATTACATTACAGCACTTTTAACGAAGTTATAATGAGAGAAATTTTATCTCCACTTTTTGCAACTGATCTATATACTAATGTTGATTTGTTTTTTGAATACGGTTGTTAGGAAGAAGATTTTCCCTTTAAGAACTGTCGACCTAATAAAGATATTTTTCCACCCTTAAAGAGATAAAAATTCTTCGAAATTTCTTTATTGTCTCCGCATTTTCGCATTTCCGCTAGTCACTTTTATAGGATTACGCAAGAATCGTACATACGTATTGTACTTAGTAAAACAAGAAAATTACAGTATACAAACAGAGTAAACTTATCCCTCTTCACTGTTCATCTTGCGGAGACATTATACACATCTTTGCAGTCTTTTACCTTTTTAATAAAATAAATTCTAACAGACATAATATTTTGGCTTTTAAAATTAGGTATTACAATGCTAATTCATAACAAATTTGATATCGAATTCGTCACTGAATTCCCGTGTTTATTAGGACACCAAAGTATGTGATTGTAGTTGTATTGAACGTATAAAGTGTTGTGTTGAAAAATGAAAATTAAGAAAAAGTATTTATCGATTAAGAATATATGACGGACCCATTTTAAATAATAATTCTCAAACCTACATTTTAATGTGAATTTACATTTTGTAAAGATGTAATTAGTATTCAAAATATGAATATAATTACGCTTGAAAATACCGCTTGGCATACAAGATACAAAACAACATGACAATTGAATCTTCAACAAAAATATATTTTGATCAAAACAAACATAGGACCAAAAAGTAAACAAAAACATACTTTCATAGGAAACAATAACTGCGGACGTTAACAGCCTCCCCCCCCCCTCACCCTGCAACTTTAGCTCTGTCGATCAACCATTCATGTTTTGTAACTCCCCCCTCCCCCAGTCCTCTATATTATATCTATAGTTTTATTCAGGTGTTCAAAACAAGACTACATTCTTAAGGTTTACTTTTCTCATAAATGCTTTTTTAACACAAATTTTGTAATAAATCTTCTTTACTTTATAATTTAATGGTCAAATCTTGTAAAATAAAATAAAATATAATTTAATGGTCAAATCTTGTAAAATAAAATAAAATATAATTTAATGGTCAAATCTTGTAAAATAAAATAAAATATAATTTAATGGTCAAATCTTGTAAAATNTTTGTGAAGGTCAAATCTTGTAAAATAGAATAAAATATAATTTAATGGTCAAATCTTGCAAAATAAAATAAAATATAATTTAATGGTCAAATCTTGTAAAATAAAATAAAATATAATTTAATGGTCAAATCGATGATGTTTTCATTTTTATCTTTAAATGTGCAAAATCTGAAAAAATGAAATTCACTCTGACGGAGGTAAAAATATGAATTTCTAGTTTAATTTTTCAAAGATAATCTTTGCCAGAAAAAAAGCAGATCTGAATATCCTACTTCCATCATCAAGATCACCTAGCCTTTATCTCTAGAACATGATACCTTATTTACTTGCATACAGAATTGTACGAATTTGCAGCAAACCAGAACTTAGGGAATCAACATTCTTAAAACTAAGGGATTTTCTTTTCAGCAGGGATTATAATTCATCAATTTTCGACTCCATGTTATGGTCCGAGCCAAATCTATACCAGAAAAGTTGCTTCAGAGAAAGTGGAGAAAAAGGAGAAACCAGATCGAGTTATAAACTTATAATCTCTATCTCATTTAATTTACAACTGCCTTGTATCTCCTCCATCATACAGAAACATTGCAGAGAACCATTGTATACAGGATCCTTGGATGAAGGAGTTTTTTCAAAATCCACCTTTGGTTGCCTATAGGATTGAGACCTCTTAATCAGATATCTTTCCAGGAAAGATATAATGCGTAATCCACTCTTTTTCTTAATATCGAGACTTACCTAATCTTGTACTTGTATCCTGAAAAGTGTATAAAATTCAACCAATCAGAGTCGCGAATATGAAGCCGATAAATTTGAAATTTTGCGCGCCATTTAAGATTATATACAGAAATGGGAGGAACTCTCTAATTTAGAAAAACCGGGTTTTTATCTTTCTCTGCTATATCCAAGAAAGAACGGTTTAAGATTAAGTAAGATTAAGTAATCAGCTGATTAAGGATATCTTATTTTAAAGTTTTCAGTTCAGGAAAGGTATAATGATTTCAACTATCATGCAAGAATTTAATGATATAATTTGTTTTTTGTATTGTACTGACTAACAATTTAAATCTATATTTACTAAATGTTCCTTGTTTAGATTATGTCTTAATTTATTAAACCATTTTTTGTGTGCAAAATAAACTTTAATAATTAATAATAATGTTCCAAAAAATGTGTCGCACATCTGTGAATTCAGGGGCACCCTAGGGGGGGGGGCAAAATAAACGTTTAAAGATCAAGATTATTAAGAATTAAATTTTAATGAAGGTAAGACATTTTTCATTTTTTAAAATATAGTGTCAACATATAATATACATATATATATATACTAGAAATTCAAGGCGCTTCGCGCCCTTCTTTCTAGCCTAGAATAAAAGAAAAAACGCTCTTACTCGATCACTCAGTTTTAAATTTACTCTGGCCTGGTGAATGGTGATTGGATTTTGACAATTAGGATAAATGTTTCATGTGAATTACACTAGTTCCAGTCTCACCATTACCTGGGGATTACAGATTTCCACAAAAAAATTCATTTTAAAACTTTTTTAGTTAAATATAGTGCAATTTTTCGGTTATGGGCGCCCTTTGAACTTTAAGAGTATAAATGCAGTTACATGGTCCATCATTTTTACTACAGTTTATAATGTTTTAAAAAATTAGATATTTTTAGAGGAAAATTGAATTTATTTTTGGGGAAAATAAATTTAGCAGTTAACATAAAAAGGAATAGCTATTATTTCAATTTAAAACTTAAGAATGATGTTATATTAAAGGTGAAATATCGATTGCACTGATGATCGATAGGACTAACGTAGATGATCGTACTAAAATTCAATCGGACTCTTCGGACTAACGCAATCAATTTGAATATAGCATCTTATTAATAAACATTCGGAATTTAAAAGACGACATTTAGTTTAAAAGTGACGTGTCTCTTTCCGCCGGCACAGGTTTTCATTGGTCCAGATAACAGGGCCATCGACTCGCACTTTTAATATAACATAAATTTTAAAATACACTCAATTTTAGTATATTTAAAATCAATTTTTAAATTACGAAAAGTTAAAGTTTTTTTCTTATCTTTCTCTTTTAGCGTCGCATGAGTGGCCCTAGATTATCAGGAATGAACCGAATGACGAGCGATTTCTCCGAACATTTTTACATTTTAGGCTTTAGAGTTTAGTGAATTTTAAAAGGGGGTCTGTCCTAGTATACGATTTTTGGACCCCCCCCCCCTCCTATCAATTTTGCACATGACCATTTATTTTTCAGCAAATTTATTATTTATTTTTTTGTTATTTAGGGTTAGGTTAGGTTAAAATACTTTCTGGGCCGAGCGCTGCGGCTAGGATGGGCTAGGGGGCCGAGCGCTGCGGCCACAGGTTNTTTGTTTAGTATGGTCCAAAATCTTTTCTCTAGGACAGACCCAATTTAATTCGTTCTTATCAATTGGGTTTTACCTTTTTAAGTCGATTGTGGTGTTGACTTTTGTTAATTTTCAGACAAGCAATGTTGCCGAGATGGTTATGTTTGGTCGTTGTTTGTGTTCTTGGTGTTCGGAGCGAGGAGGAGGAAGCGATGAGCGCCCTGGATTTAGGAGAGTCCAATTTTAAAGATGAGGTATGGAAATTTTTGAAGCTTTTATTTTAGATTTCAAATTTACCAAATTGGGTAGGTCCTTTAACCGTTTTATTAAAAAATTTTCCTATCTTTCATTTTACTTTGCAATATTTTTAACTATAAAAATGGACTATCCATGGTCCATAAGAACGATCGTGTCAATACGTTCGTTTTTGGGTCTGTTCTAGAGAACGAATATAATTCAAAAACAAGTTTATTTCCAATATTTCGNCCTGGATATTGGGGAAATTAATAATTTTGATGCCTTGGGGGAATGAATAAATAAATGGACATCCCTTGTTGATATTTATAATTACCAAAAAATCATTCATTGTCCCTAATACAGCTAGTAAACCGTTCATTACACCTGGGGATAAGTAATTTTCAAATGGCGGGGGGGATTTTAAATAAGAAACTGATCCTTGGTTGGGCTAAAACAAATTACTACTACCTAATAGGCTTATGACAATTAAAGGCCAGATTATTTATCTCCCAGGCTAGCAATCCCCACCCCCAATCTTAGTTTACTCCTTTTGTTGACAACATGATTTTTGTTCAGGTTGGGTCAGGTCCTCATTTTATAATGTTCTTTGCACCTTGGTGTGGACACTGTAAGAGATTAGCCCCAACATGGGAGGAACTAGCGGTTAAATATAACCAGGTGTGTTTGTTAAATTAATATTTATCTTAAAAAATTAAGAAACAAAAACATGCTAACCAGGATAGGGTTAATGAAATGCTATTATCCCTAAAATTTTATATTTAACTAGTGCTTAGGATCCATTTAATTTTTTTGCGGATGCGGATTCTGATCCGCAAACAGGTCATGAACATTGTTTAAGGATCTACTGATTTTCTGAACAAAACAGAATTTTGTATTATTTTTTTTCTTGTTATTTTATTTTAAAACTTAATGAACCATTCAGTAATTTTAAGTAATCTCTTTTTTTAACAGTTCAGATTTGGAGTTTTAGAGCAAAATATTTTTGTCTGCAGTTTATGGTTGACACATATTTTTGCGTCTCCGGATCCAGAAAGCCAAAATGGTGCGAATCTAAAGGATCCGTATCTGGATCCTAAGCACAATTATTAGTACAGGGTGTCCCACATCAAATTAGATCGCGTCAATGGGTCTAAATTACGATTTGGGTGACAAATCATAAAATTTAAGAAGAATGAATCATTTTGAAAAATTTAATAAGGCTAATAGAATTTTTTTTTTTGCAGAAAATGTTAGATTTTTCGAGCATTTTGTGCGTATTTAGGTGTTATAAAGATTGGAGATAATCTAATTTGATATGGGACGCTCTGTATATGAAATAAATTGGTGCAGACAGCTAAGGAAGTCATATGTCGGTGAGGTGATAGGATGGGACAACTAACTTGGGGTTATGAAAGCTCCAGTTTTTTTGTTATTATTGATAATATTATTTAAAAATATTTGAATTATTGTAGGCTGAAGAGAAGAGTGTTGTGATCGCCAAGGTTGATTGCACAAAGGAACGTGCTCTTTGCTCTGCCCAGGACGTTACAGGATATCCCACTCTTAAATTCTTTAAGGTATGTGCACTGTTCTTATTTTTTAAAATTTGTTAGGAAAGTTTAGGCCTTCAGAATATTTATTCAGATTTCTAAGCCTCGTAAAAATAAGTCGTCGGTAATGAGTTATGAGTCAGCACAGCGGAAACTTTTTGGGCTTTAAACATACTCCCATTCAGAAAATTAGGAATTTTTAATGTTAGAACATTTTTACTTCAATTTAAAGGAGACCAATTACCCTCAAAATTAAAAAAAATTATTAAAAAATATCAAAAACGCAAATTTTAGAAACAAATGACTTTATATTCCTAGAGTTTAATCTATTAAAATTGGACTGCTTCCTCCTCACAATTTCCCTTAAGTATGGTATGAAAATAAGACACTTCAAATATCAATCTTATTTTGAATTTTCAACAGAATTTAATTGAAGATTTTTATCAGCAGAACAAATGTATTAATTCTAACACATGCTATGTTTGCAAAAGAACCGAAGAAAGTAAAGCCGATTATACAAAGAAAAGACTAAAAAGTCTGAAAGGAGTAAAAGATAAAATCAGACATAAAGGATGTCAAAAATCGGTGCGAATTAAAAAGATGCTTTAAAATGCCCTTTTTGCTCAAAAAACTATATATTTTCACAACCCATAAAGCCTATTTTATTTTATTTAAACATAACAAATAAAAACAAATAAATCTATCATTTTTATTTGTAAAAGTTGTCAGTTCATCGTCGAAAAACACTAACAATCCACTACTAGTTTATATTAAATATAATGTAAACAATAATCTATACAACTTTCCTTTCCCTTTCCTTTCGTTTTCCTTTTTTTTATTTTTTATATTTTTTTTAGAATGGGGGGGGATATTCCCACAACCTCCATTTTTGGAGGTTTTCAAATATTTTCTCCTCAAACGCTTAATTTTGAATGTTTTTGTTATATTTCATAAATAAATACTTACCTACTTACTTACTATGTTAAGGGGGTTTTATTCACCGAAGTGGAGAAACCACAGATAAAAATAACCGATTTTTATAGAGATTCTCGATATTTTTCTTACTCTGAATAAGCGAATAATGGTACCGTGTCTCTCTAAAAAATACAGATTCACTTTAAACCCAACTACATTATTTAAATTGTTCCTTAAATATTCAGTCTGGGTTTGAGAAGGAGGATGGAGAGAAGTATCGAGGAAATAGTCGCTTGAATCTTGAAATTTGTTTGGTTTGAGAAGGAGGATCGAGAGAAGTATCGAGGAAATAGTCGCTTTAATCTTGTAATTTGTTTGGTTTGAGAAGGTGGATGGAGAGAAGTATCGAGGAAATAGTCGCTTAAATCTTGAAATTTGTTTGGTTTGAGAAGGAGGATGGAGAGAAGTATCGAGGAAATAGTCGCTTTAATCTTGTAATTTGTTATTTAGTCTGGGTTTGAGAAGGAGGATGGTGAGAAATATCGAGGAATTAGTTCTTTAAGTATTGAAATTTGTTCATGTTTAGTCTGGGTTTGAGAAGGAGGATGGAGAGAAGTATCGAGGAAATAGTCGCTTAAATCTTGAAATTTGTTGAGAAGGAGGATGGAGAGAAGTATCGAGGAAATAGTCGCTTTAATCTTGTAATTTGTTATTTAGTCTGGGTTTGAGAAGGAGGATGGTGAGAAATATCGAGGAATTAGTTCTTTAAGTATTGAAATTTGTTCATGTTTAGTCTGGGTTTGAGAAGGAGGATGGAGAGAAGTATCGAGGAAATAGTCGCTTAAATCTTGAAATTTGTTGAGAAGGAGGATGGAGAGAAGTATCGAGGAAATAGTCGCTTTAATCTTGTAATTTGTTATTTAGTCTGGGTTTGAGAAGGAGGATGGTGAGAAATATCGAGGAATTAGTTCTTTAAGTATTGAAATTTGTTCATGTTTAGTCTGGGTTTAAGAAGGAGGATGGAGAGAAGTATCGAGGAAATAGTCTCTTAAATATTGAAATTTGCTCTTGTTTAGTCTGGGTTTGAGAAGGAGGATGGAGAGAAGTATCGAGGAAACCGAGACAAGGATGCTCTTCTCTCCTTCATCAACAAGAAGCTAGGAAACGAAGAAGCAGAGGAGAAACCAAAGGTCAGAATTTCAGAGTTTCGTCTCAAATTTTATACCAAAATGTTAGGTTTTGGGTTTTATTCGCTGCATTGGGGGAAATTCGGACAGGTTTAATTAGATAAGCTTTCCTATTACGTGCAGATTAATATATTTACGGGGAAAACTATTTTGCAAGTGAAAATACTATAGTAGAGTCTATAAATCTATATATATATACATAAATACATATGTACATATATATTTCCATATATATTTAAACTTCTAAAACGTATATTCAAACTGAACAAAGTTAATAATACTATCAGTATTGAGAACTTTTGAAACCCTTGGTTTTCTACAATTGAAGAATATATACAAATATTTATATATATATATAAATATATTATTATGAGCCTATAAAATCGTCATTTTTAAATCTAAAAGCCTAAAATTGGACGTAATGAATCCAAAATTGTATAAAGATTTGAAAAATTGTCTCAACCTTGAAAATCTGATTACTAGCAAGTCTGTAGACCCTTATACAAAATTGTGCAAATGGAGATTATCTTATTTTTACAAAATTACTCACTCTAGTTGGAAGCTTTAGAAGCCTATAAAATTGGTTTTTTTAGATCTAAAAGCCTAAAATTGGGCTTATTGAATCGGAAATTGAACGTAGATTTTAAAAATTGTCTGAATCTTGAAAATCCGATTACAGACGACCCTGTAGACCCTTATTCCACGTTTTTATTGAGACCCTGTATATAATAAGAAAACGAGTGTTAATAACACGATTTGAAGATTTACTGTATCAACATTATGTTTCATGCAATGCATTCTTCAGGATGTAATATATATTAAGGTTGAAGAATCTGGTGAGGTTGTTGTAAAGGAAGGTCTTCATATCCTCACTGCTGCAACCTTTGCCAAGACTGTGGAGAAGGGGGACACCTTCATCAAGTTCTACGCTCCCTGGTTAGTTTGCTAATTTCTCTTTAAGGGACCCTCTCATTTAGGGACAAGCCCGATTCACAGTGTTTCTAAATGCTGAGCTCACAAAATCAATGTTATATTTTACTGCTTGTTTAATCCTTGCGACTATTTATCGTTAAAACTCTTAACAATTTAAAACAATGTGTGTGTGCACATTGCATTATATTTTACTGCTTAATCCTTGTGGGTTTTACCGTTGAAACTCAAATGTAAAACTTCTAGGTGTGAACATTACAGTATATTTTACTGTTTGTTAAATCTTTGCGACTTGTTATCTCTTAAACTCTAAAATGTAAATCTTCTAGTTGTCAACATTGTATTATATTTTAATACTTGTTTAATTTTGAACTTTTTATTGTTAACACTCTAAAATGTAAAATTTCTTGGTGTATACATTGTATTATATTTTAATACTTGTTTAATGTTGAACTTTTTATTGTTAACACTCTAAAATGTAAAATTTCTTGGTGTATACATTGTATTATATTTTAATACTTTTTAATCTTGAACTTTTTATCGTTAAAACTCTAAAATGTAAAATTTCTTGGTGTATACATTGTATTATATTTTAATACTTCTTTAATCTTGAACTTTTTATCGTTAAAATGTAAAATGTAAAACTTCTAGTAGTGGACATAGCATTATATTTTAATACTTCTTTAATCCTGAACTTTTTATCGTTAAAACTGTAAAATGTAAAACTTCTAGTAGTGGACATTGAATTATATTTTACTCCTTGTTTAATCCTGAACTGTTTAACTTCTAGGTGTGGACATTGTATCAAGCTTGCCCCCGCTTGGGATGAACTAGCTAAGGTAAGATTTTTTTTTTAATATATATTTTGTCAGTGCTAAGGATCCATCTAATGTTGATGCGGATGCGGATCCGGATCCAGGTTATTTCTTTAAAATTTACTGAATATTTTTAGCAAAGCAGAATTTTTATATTATTTGTTGTATTTTTTTGTCGATTATTTTTATTATAAAACTTGAACAATTAAGAAATCAGATTTGGGTTTTGAGAGTAAAAGATTTTTTTTGGATTTTTTTGTGTTATTTATTTCTTGGATCTGCATATTTTTGTGGATCCGGATCCAGGAAGCCAAAATCTTGCGGATCAGGATCCTAAGCACTGATTTTAAGTTCTGCAAACAAGATCACTTTTTTAAATTGAATTTTGCTTATTAAAAATTTAAAACAATATATAATAATAATAATGATATAAAAATATAAACAATGATAAAATTTCGAATAGAACGTTTGATAGAAAATGTTAAATTGAATAATAATTAACTTCAGGTTTTCGAGAAGGACGAGCAGGTTAAAATCGCCAAGATTGATTGTACCGAGCATCAGTCCATCTGTCAGGAACATGTAAGAAATATTCTTAAAAATTAACCCTTCGTACAAATATGATAATGCCCTACTCCCAGCGACATATTTTAAAGCTACTGTTGAAAGCTGATTATTTGCTATTGTTGTTTCTCTGCAAAAGTGTCGTGCGCATTTCTACTTGAGGAAATCATAAAGGAATTATGATGTTAAATTCATCATATATAGGAATCATCAGATTTAACACTTAAGCGTCATAATTCTTCCAAATAATTTATCAGAAAGGTTTCTAGGGAACTGTTCTAAATAAGGCATTGCCATTTTCAAATGTAGGGTTACTTGACTTACCTTGTCTTTGAACTATGTTTGACCCAGTAGTGTATATTTTCTTGAAAAATCATTAACCCCCTCCCTCCCCAGCCCCCCTTTTAAAAATTCTTTTGTTCACAAAAAATAAAATTTTTAGAGTTTTATTCACTGTTCTGTAGAAAATAGATTATTTCTGGGGGAAATCAATTAATTTGTGGGTAAAAAGCATAAAAAAGAATGAAAAAAGTTGCTTTCTGATTTCCAATTTTTTTACTTTCCCCCTATAGTTTTTTCCACCCCATATCACCACAAATCTTTCTCCTTTCCACGGGGGGGAGGGGGATTACTTCTGAAAAATATACACCCTTGTTTACCCCCCCCCCCCCATCTATTTTACAGCACTGAATTCTTAGAGGAATTATTTATTCAAATGTTGAAAAGGTATTTGATTGAAAAGTTATCATTGTAGTCTGTATCTGATGTATTTTCACTTGTAAGGTTTGTTTTTTGTGTTCTTACTTACCCATTTATTTAGTATTTTTATATGCGATTTTTACATTTTTTTGTTTTGTTTAGAATGTGCGAGGATACCCTACTCTTGAGTACTTCAGATCTGGACGTAAACTTGAAGCATACAAGGGAGCTAGAGCACTTAACGACCTCAAGGTAATTAAGTTCTAAATCTAGCCTAGCTAGGGTACAATCCGGATCCGATGGATCGGCAACTATTCAACTTCCCGGATCCGGATCCAAGGTGGAAAATATCAACCAAAAACTGTTAAAAAAATATTTTGCTCTCATAACACTAATCTTTACTTGTAAAAAATGAGATTATTTAAAATTGGCTTTTTCTGAAATGTTCATAAAGTTTCAGCATGTAAATAAGCGAAACAAAATTACATTCTTAAATCAGTAAAAGAAAATCGGTAATTCTTAATTAAATGTTCAAGGCTAGGATTTGTATCCGTTTATTTTAAAGGTCAGATCCTGGGTCCGGATCCGCATCAAAATGAGACGGATTTTAGCAATGTCACACTATTTTTTATTCAAGAGAATGAATACCGTTAATTTTTTATATGTTTTATCTCGGAATAAAACATTTACCTAGAACCTATTCTAGGACTGGGTGAATGAGCAGAAGGTTGGGGCGGGAAGCGCCGCTACTGAGGATGGAAAGGTCCCTGACGCCAAGGAGGAGAAACCAAACGCTGTATTGAAACTCGAGAAATCTAACTTCGACGAGAAAATTAAGGAAGGCGTTGTGTTCGTTAAGGTAATATCTAATATTTTTTTTTTGCTTTGTAATATTTCCTTTGGAGTTTGGAGGTCTTGTATTGTGGATATCAAGATCAAGGCTTAAATCAATATACCGCATGGTAACTGTATAGTGTACACTCTGGAGGATTAACTGAAATGAGATAAATCATTACTTCTCAAATTGATATCGAGATCAATTGATCGGAACTGAGTATCAGATACAAGTTTACAGCTCTGAAGTCAAAACTGTGCTTTGAATCTCGATCAAGCATTGACATCCATGTTCTGCTGAATCGCGATCAAGCATTGATATCCATGTTCTGCTGAATCGCGATCAAGCATTGATATCCATGTTCTGCTGAATCGCGATAAAGCATTGATATCCATGTTCTGCTGAATCTTGATCAAGCATTGATATCCATGTTCTGCTGAATCTCGATCAAGCATTGATATCCATGTTCTGCTGAATCTCGATCAAGCATTGATATCCATGTTCTGCTGAATCTCGATCAAGCATTGATATCCATGTTCTGCTGAATCTTGATCAAGCATTGATATCCATGTTCTGCTGAATCTCGATCAAGCATTGATATCCATGTTCTGCTGAATCTCGATCAAGCATTGATATCCATGTTCTGCTGAATCTCGATCAAGCATTGAAATACTATTCACAATTTAATAAGCGCGATGGGATATCGATTTTTGACCTCGTTTTGTTTCTGTGAAAATGGTTAATTTGAGAAGGAAAGATTTATTACCTGAAAATTTAAAAAGAGAATTGATTTATTCCTTTGTTAGTTGGAGGGTAGAATACTGTTATTTGATACGGTTATTTACCTACCCCCCCCCCTTGCCCTGAAAATCTATATATGTCATTGTAATGGGTATTATTAAGTGCGGAAAAGTTTTTGCCAGGATTTTTACTTTTTCTAGTTTGTTTTAGATTAAAATTAAAGTATTTTCACACCGAAGGTAGTTAGAATACCCTTCAAGTCGGATTTCTAAAGGTTATTTTCCAAAGCATCAATTATTTAGATGTTAATTGTTATTTTATCTTTTGATATTTTATTTAGTTCTTTGCCCCATGGTGTGGACATTGTAAAAGACTTGCACCAACTTGGGAACAATTGGCGGAGGAATTTCAAGGTAAACTCGGTTCTTCTCCGATATAGGGTTAACTATTTTCATTTCCTCAGTCCCCACCCTTTTCAAAAATCATTTTTCCCCCCCAGGGAGGGATCGTTGGAATGTAAACTCTTCGACTGATACTGTTATGAAACTCAATTTTGAGGGGTATCTTATTAAAATTGTCGCCCCCTTCCTTCCTTTACCCTTAACCCGATTTCTTAAGTTACAGGAAAATATTATTTTGTCGGAATGTAAGAAACAGAAAGCTTAATTAAATNTTTCCTTCACGTTTGTAGGTTTTCTTAACACCTTTGCACGTGAAAGAATATTAACTTGTTGTTTTTAGCCAGGGATGACGTAACTATTGCTCATGTGGATTGTACCGCTGACAACAATGTGAACAGGTAGTGTATAGATTTTCATAACTATTATAAATAAAGCAGTAATCTGTGTTTATCTGTTTATTTGTAAGTCATGTACCCCATGACCGATTTGCCTTAATTTTAATTTAGTATCTCATGAAAATGTTCTTTAATACACACTTAGTCGTTTTCTAGAGCAGTTTTATTTGAAACTAGCTTGGGAACCCAGCGTTGCCCAGGTTACTCATAGTTGCTCTCGCCGTTTACCCGCACTTGGTCGGTTTTACCGGGAAACTAAATTTACGCTCGAACAACTCATTCTAGAATATCAAAGCCAGTCTAAAAGCAATCCCGTGACTCTCCCGAGTTCCCTAATCAAAATTTGAGGCCAATCGGTCTAGGTGGTCTTTGGTTATAAACTTATGATCGGACAAACAGAGGTCACCTTTATAAATATTGAAAAATACGTCTTTATTTAAGGGTGATTTGTTTTTCGAAATTCACAAAAGATCTAAAATTATAGTGAGCCGAATTTCAGGCTCTTAGGGCTAAAAATGTGACTGCATTGATATAAGCATTTAAAAAATTAAATAAGTCCCTTGCGAGTAAGAAGAATTATTTTACATGTCGATAAATTCTGATAAAAAAAATCGTGTGCAGTCAGTAAATACTGATGTGTTTTGGTTTCGATATTCTTTTTGTATATCATTAGTAAAGTTATCAATAAGTTTAAGACTTCAAAAGTTCTGAATTCAGTGCTTCACTACTGATCCTTTTATATTGATATCGATGTATTTAAAAGAAATTTTTTTTTGAATTAGCTAAGTTGGCAATTTTAATTTGCGCAATATTATTCTGACTGATGTTTTAATGTTCAAAACTAATATTTTGCACAGAAAAATAGTAAAAATTGATTAACCCTAGTCTTAATATTATATGTGCCGCAATATGAACAACAAATTATTAAGGCAGAGTATATTAGGATTTATGCTGGGTTTGTTAAAGATTAAGAATAACGTTTTATCTTCAAAATATTCGAGCCTTTATCTTTTTTCAATCCAGATGTTTGTTTCAGAGAGCTGTGTGACGGACAAGGGGTTAATGGGTTCCCTACACTTCTCATCTATAAGAATGGAGTCAAGGTAGTTCATTTCTACAATAATCGAAAACAGAGTGCTGTTGGATCCGTAATATTTTGGCTTCCCGAATCCGGAAACAAAATCAACCAAAATCCTCAAATCTAAATATTTGGCTCAAAACACAAATATCTGCAGTTGAACAATTTCCTAATCTCTGGATTGTTTTGGGAATGTTTTTTTATTGAATGCTTATCACTCCATCGGAGGGATGTTATATAACACAAAAGACATTAATTACTCCATCAGAGGGATGGTAAATAACACTCAAGAGACTCCATCTGAGGGAATGTAATTAACACTTGAACACTAGTTACTCCATCAGAGGAATGATATTTAACACTCGGGACACTAATTAATCCATCGGAGGGATGGTAATAAACACTCATGACACTAATTACTTTACTGGAGGGATGGTAATTAACACTTGGGACACTAATTACTCTACCGGAGGGATGGTAATAAACACTCATGACACTAATTACTCTACCGGAGGGATGGTATTAAACACTCATGACACTAATTACTTTACCGGAGGGATGGTAATTAACACTTGGGACACTAATTACTCTACCGGAGGGATGGTAATAAACACTCATGACACTAATTACTCTACCGTAATGATGGTAATTAACACTTGGGACACTAATTACTCTACCTGAGGGATGGTAATAAACACTATGACACTAATTACTCTACCGGAGGGATGGTGATTAACACTTGGGACACTAATTACCATTCTTCCGATGGTGTAATGAAGTGTCCTGAGTGCTAATTACTATCACTCTGGTGAAGTAGTAAGTGTCCTGAGTGTCAATGACCATCCTTCCAATGCAGTACTTTGTGTCCTGAGAGCTTATTACCATAATTTTGGTGAAGTAATAGTGTCATGATTGTTGATTACCATATTTCTGGTGGAGTTGGTTGTTCCCTGAGTGTTCATAACCATCATTCCAATGCAGTAATTTGTGTCTGGAGGGCTAATTACCATAATTTTGGTGGAATGATTAGTGTCCTGATTGTTGATTACCATCCCTCCGGTGGAGTTATTATTGCCCTGAGTGTCAATATTCATACCTCCCGGTGAAGTAATTAGTGTACTGAATGTTATCATCCCTCCTTTAGAATTTTAAGCATTCAATAAAACATGTGTATTCCCTCCGTTGGAAATAATTTCCCTCCGGTGGCCTCTGCTCCATTGGAAGGTACTTTGTTAGTAATCTTATACCTATAGCTGAGGTTGGATCAGTTAAGTATTATTAGGCTTGCATTTTTGACCTTGCTATCGAATGTGGGCACTTAAAATTTTGAGGATAAATCTTCAATTTTCCCTGCAGGGTATGACCTACCACGGGACATCGAATTAAATAAATACGTCTGAATATGATCCCGAGATTTACAATACAAGTTCTGAAACTTAATTAATAAAGTTTTTACCTCAATTGATATCTTAAAATGTTTATTGTTCCAATTAAATATTTTATTTCTCTAGGTTGATGAATATAACGGGAACAGAGAACTGGCTGATCTTCAAACTTTTGTCCAGAAGATTGTAACCGGGGAGAAGGATGGAGAGCAGGCAGAGAAGGACGAACTCTAATCAAAGTAGAAGGTGGAGAATGATAAATCTAATCCGTGGAGAAGGTTCAATCTAATCCGTGGAGAAAGTTAATCTAATCCTTGGAGAAGGTGGAGATGGATCAATCTAATCTGTGGAGAAGGATCAATATAATCCGCGGAGAAGGTTTAACTCAAATACATTCTATCTCTATCTGCTATTTTGGTTTGTCATACTTCCAATTATTTTTAACCAGTAACGGGTTGTAATAATAGTTTTTGCTCATGTTCTCTATTTTTTACAATGTAACAGTTGATATGTCCCAACTGGTGTTTGTTATCTTTTTGTGTCTCAAACTGTGATTTATGACACTTCCGTTTTGATATATTGCTTGATATTTGCATTTATTTAATAAAACTAAAACTTTTAATAAGTTTAAAGTTAAATAGATTATGGATAGTTTTAACTTATTGTGCATGTTTTGTGTTTATTTCTTTAGAAAATGATTGAAAAAATGTGACAGACAGAGATGTTAACTTCAAACAATATTCATCAATAGGTTGAATGAATCTACAAATCTAGAGAAATGAACAAGTCATAAAAAAAATTGACTTCTGGTCTGATTCGGATAATAAACGGAGTTGTTTGGAATAGTTCAAAATAGCATCTGGATTACATCAACTTCATTCAAGGTTAAGAAATATTTTTAGGAAATATCAAACCAGGGCTCGTGATGAATGGAATGTTTTTTATTCACATTGAATTTTATACTCAACGGAGTTTTATTCCAATTAACATTTTTAGCTTAACTCTAATTTTAAGCAAGGTAAATTTTATACAATAGATTCTTGTTCTTTTAGCTTTATGCAATGTTAGTTCCTATTCAACATATTAAGGGAAAAATTTAATTAGTGAATACTTTTTTATTCTGGAATTAGTTTTTGGCGCATTTTCAAAATTTTACAAAAATCGAAAACTTTTTGGACATAAATTTTTGCTATTGAGTATTTATAAACCTTCCCTTGAGTCATGTGGGGACCTACACAAAATTTGGGCCTGATTGGTTTAGCTGCTTTGATATCTATTAACCTTGTCTCTTAATTTTCCTTCGAAGAATACTGACCTGTTCATGGGTGGTTTGAAAGATTAATATTATTCCTGGTTTGGACATATATCTGAATATCTAGGGTTTAAAAGGATACATTTGATGTTCATGGTTATTTCGGAAGGCTCTCTATCGTGAAATTGTATGCTCAGTCTAACAAAATTACGAAATTTTCGGTATCTCCCTTATATCTGGAACTATTTAGTAATAAATACCCTCATCTTTCTGTCAATTAGGAGTTTCAATTTATAATTTTACAATTTCACTCCTTAAACTGAATGATAAATCAAGAGTTAAAATGTGACCAAGAATCATAATTTCCAATAAATTATTCCCAAATAATAAACTTGAAATACTTTTTTCCTCAATATTTTAAAGAAATTTAATCTGAAGCATCATAACAGTTCCAGTAGAATTGTATCACAAATGGGTATAAAATTTAAAATTTTCTCTGAAGCTTCCAGGATCACATTATTAGCACAATGTTATTGCTAATAGAAGGAAAAAATTAAGCTTATGTAGCTTTGCATGCATTTCAAGAAGTTAAAATAATACATTTTACACTAAAAATGAAGTTTTTCATTTATTGATTTCATACATTCTTTTAAATCTATCATTTAGATGATATTTTATTGAAACAAATTAAAAGTCTTTTCTAATCACAGTCATTAATCAAATCAAATTACATCTAATCAGAAAGATTAGACTTGTCATATTCTTTCCATAACAAAATAATATACATATCAGTAAAAAGTTATAAAATGCCTATATCTAGTACACAAGATTTTTTGTGTTAGAATTAGCCAACATCATAATTAAATGTGAAATTCTCCTTTTTCGACTTCTGATCTTATATTGCTGAAAACATCAGAATACTGAGAGCTCCTATAAATAATACTGTTTAAACAATCTGTTCATTATAATTTCTTTTACAGCTCCATCCTGGCATTGTTAGATTATTACCTATCTAGAGTGCCATCTGGGGTCTTGTTCCCTGGTGTCTTTGTTCCTGGGCTGTGGTAACCTGATTCCTTTCTAAGTAAATGATAATTAACACATAATTATATATCTTGGAAATGTACATAAGGTGTTAAAAACAATTACTTTTTGATGCCTTTTTAACCAATGTTCAATTATTTGGACATATCTGATATCTGAGTAGAATTTTGACAAGTTTCTTTTATTTTAGCCATTGTCACTGGCTCTTTCTCAGTCGATGTGTAACATGTTTTCTTTTACTAAGCAGGGGTCTTAATTTTTGTGCAAAAATGTTTTGGTTTCAGTGAATCATTTAATTTATTGACATTAAGGTGAACAAAATTGATGATACCTCTAAAAATCTTAATAGTATCAAAAAAGGTGTTATTTTCCCAAGGCGGCAACTTCCCAAAGGTTATGTTAGGCCTTTTGAGGTGCTCCAGGCTGCAATGAGGTCCTGTCACTGCAGCTAGGATGGGCTAATTAATTCACGTAATTAGATATGAATATATTCAAATTTTGTACTTCAGTTCATATTTTAGGGTCTGGCTGGCATTGAGTAAGAGTTTTTTGGAGACATCCTTTATTTTCTAGAATTGTACCTGGTCTTGGTGGAATAAGAGGAAGAGTATCTAGTTGATGTTGCTGAACCTCCTACTGTGGAGCTGTTGTAGGTAGAAGAGTGCCTAATGCTATTGTGTGCACCCTCAGGCTCTGGATCATAGTAGACCTTAGTGTTGGACTCCCTCTTGTAAACTGGACCAGAATTATAGGTACTTCGTCTCTTTGATGTACTTACTCTTGCAAGGCTCTGTTTTCCAAACTGCAATTAATTATAATTTAAAATAAGACTTAACTTTGAATAATTCTGTCAATCTTACCATTGAAGATGCCAGACGTTGTTCTTCAAATTCAATGAGTTTTCCATAGATAGCAATTTCAATCTGCTCTTTGCACCAAGCATTAAAATCTGCACCATATCTGGCAAACCAAGACTAGAAATTAATAGTTAAAAATTTGCTAGTGTGTCTTCATTATGTTTTGATGCCATTTAGAGTTATACTTTAAGATACCTGAAGGTCTAACTCAAATCTTCTTCTGAAGCTCTCAAATTCCTCATGCTTTGACCTTAACTAGAATAAAAAATGTTTAATATTTTTCTAAATGGCTCACTTAAGGTATTTAATAAGTACCTGAAGCTCAAATTCAGATTGCTTATGATCATGCTCAACTTGAAGTCTCTCCAATTCAAGTCTGAGCTTTGAAACTTCACCTTCAACGCCAGAAATGTCACTTCTGTAGTATCCAATCTTTTCCATCATGCTTGTCCTCCTATGGGCTTCTAGGCTTCCCTTTTCTTTAGCCATGACAATGTTGTCATACATAGCCAAAATCTTTGTAAAACTAATGTCAAGTCATGTACAGTTGTAGTTATTAATGTGATATTCAGATTATAATATTTTACCTGCTTGGACTCAATGTGAAGTTTTCCAACTGACTTAATGTAAGTTTTCCTTTTGGCTTCAAGTTCTTTAAGCATCCTAGATTTAATTCCATTAAACTCAAGTTTGTTTTTGATAAACAAATCATTTTAAAGTATCATGTGTGTACCTTTCTTTAAACTGGCTGTAGACGTTGATGGGTAGTTGTACCTCAGAGACTCGCTTTTCTATTTCTTCCTCAGTTTCAACTTGGAAGCTAGAATAGTTATGAAACTTTATTTCAATGTCCAATAAAAAATACTTGCAGACAATAAGGATTCTTTTTTTGGTTTTTACCTGGCTTGCATAGATGCTCTCTTTAAGTCAATGTCTTTTTGATACTCCTTGACATCAATGGATTTCATAGTGTGTCGAGCCTCATTCATTTGCTCTAAGTAGTATTCTCTTTCTTGATCCAAAGACTGAAAAGGATAATCGATTTGGTTTAAAATTTCATTCAAATTGATAGGTTTAATATTACCAACTCAAGTTCCTTCATTCTTGTAACCTCATGTTGGATCATTGTGCACTTGCCCTGTAGAGCCATTAGCTCATTTTCAAGATTCCAAATTGAGCGATCCTTGTTTGTCAGTGCCAAAGTCAGCTCCTCATATCTGATAACACCATATTGTTAATCAATGAATGATGTTAACATTTATGTTTATACTTACTCTTGATTCATTCGTCTATTTTTCCCCCTCAAACTCTCAAGCTCATCTCTTGCCAACCTTACTTTTTCCTAATAAGAAAATGGCGTTTATAAAATGAACAGCAGGTATTAAAAGGTCGAAAGCACCAGTTGAAAATTGTCTACATCCCTCAGAATTTCAAGACGAAATTGTACCTTGGCTTGTGTGATAGCAGGAAGAAGAAGATCATGAAATTGAGAGTTGAATTCAAAATCATTACTCTGCTTGCTGTTCACATTCTCCTCTCTATATAGAGAAAATTCTATTAGAGGAATCTTAATAACACCTAACAGAAATTTATCTCATATAAAAGGTTTTATAATTACTTACAAATTGATTCCATCTGGGATGCTTTGCCCGATACCATAGGCTTGAGCCATGATTCTTGCTTTTTCAATGTAGCTGACCAACTTGTTGTTGTTGTGACGAAGTGAATTTCTAAAATATGTTAATACTTGATTATAACTAAACCATTTTCTTTTTTATCCACTTATTGTAACTTACCGGCCATCCTTATCATCATCATCACTTGAGCTTGAACTAGAGCTTGAAGAAGACCTAGATCTAGGTTTTTGCACATGCTTGACATGGGATGTTGTGACATGGGAGACTTGGGAAAACCTCTGGGAACTATTACCAGATAACCATACCTTACCACCTAAATAGGCCTATATACTTTTTGAGTATTTTTGGAAAACTTAAATTGCAATCTTTCATACTTTGTTTAGATAGATGGTATGGAATATCCCTAGAGGTCTTTTTGATGGCATAAGTCATGATGTCCTTAACTTCAAAAGGCTGAAAAAAAGTCAGAAAGTTATTACATCAAACATATACTTTTTTTTTGATTTTTCCTCACCAAACCATGAGTTCGTCCACTGTAGAGAGGCACAGTAATCTCAACTTCTGTGGACAAGTTGAAAGAAGACATGGTAAAAGCAACCTAATCAAGTTGATCATTATTATGTAATAGGTTTAAAATATCAAAATTTAACGTACCCCAGCTAAGAATTCATCTTTTCCGAAGTCATCATCCCAGATTTCAATGATAGTTTTCAAGTTTCTGATCAGTTGTAAATTCATCTAGTATAAAATTGTTGTTACATTGACAATGTTACAGTCTGTTTTTCATTATTATTTGATTTACCTTGAACTCAAAGCTCTCAAAGAAGTCTGGATTTTGGGTATTCTTCTTTGTTTTAGTCTTTTTCTTCTTCTCATGATCAATAAATGCGGTTCCAGCATCATCAAGAAGGTAGATCTTTGCATATGGGTCTGATTTTCCGATAAGATCTTTGTCAGGAAGTCCCTACATTAGTAACATAAGTTGATAATTACAGAGCATTGCATTAAGGTCTTCATTCTTGTTTTATACCTGAGCTCTAGTCAAGAAGATTTTTAGAAATCCTGTAGGATCAAAAGAAACCTGAAACAAAGGTTATATAGTATTTATGTGAATCCTGCAAGTGTCAAGTAAATCTTACCGTGAAAGTCACAGACGCAGCTAATCTCTCTAAAACAGACTTTGTCCTCTCTTTGATAGCCGGGGATGAGGATGAAGAAGAAGATGAGCTGACTGCAACAAATCAGATAAAGTCATTTTATTTTGGAATTTACGTTAAAAATTGATCATAGCTTTTAAACTACATATGCAAATATTTTATAAAAGGTAACACTTGATCAGATTGTTTTCCTGAGGCTCTTTTCATTGAAGTAGTCCCTTGCTGGTTAAAGAACTGTGTCACAGTTGCATGACTCACTTCCAAAGGCTAAAAGTAAAGAATTAAAATATCTTTAATGCAATTCATAATAAAGAAATGTAAATGATGTTAACCAGCCTACTTACATGTCCATCTGTGAAATGAGGTTGAAGATCAGCCCAGAATTGAATGCTCAAGTGACCTTTTCCATCGTATGCAAAATGATCCATGGAGACTCGGATCTAAAAACATATTTGTTAAAGTTTTTTTTTCATAACTGCGTAGTTAAAAACTTACCCCACACATGTACTCATCTTTTCCAATCATGTCCTTGTCCCAGATAGATATCACAAGCTTGGAGTTAAACAGGGTAGCCTTGTCAATCCCCTATTCATTTAAAAATATTTAGTTCATGTTTTCTAATTTGATCAGATTTTTTAGATGGTTACAAATTCAATACCTGGAACATGAAAGTTTCATTGAATGTTGGATTAGGATTGTTGTTGTGGGTTTTGGTTTGTTCATGACCTTTTACGAACAAAGCTGATGGATTGGATTGCATTAGGTAAACCTTAGCATAGGGATCAGAGCTTCCAACTAGGTCTTTAGAAGGCAGTCCCTAGAAGTAATAAACTATAAATGTCATTATTATTTCTGAAGTTCTGTGGTTCATGGCTAGTTTCTACATACCTTAGCTTGACCGAGAAACACTTCAAGGACATCCCCTTTGTATTTTATCTAGTAAAAAATATTGATAAATTATTTATAAACCACAAGGCAGAGTTTGGGATACAGATCTGAAAGGAGTCTTTGCCACAAACTCTGATTTTCTAATCCCTAAATCTTTGCTACCCAATCTCGGAGAGCTTAGATATTTTTTTAAACTAAGAATTCTGTTAGATCAATTAATCTACATAAGTTGAAATATTTCAGGTGTACAACATTGGGTTGCAGATGCAGAGATATAGGGATTTAAAAGCAAGGACTTAATTCATTTTAAATTGTCAATTCAGTTCTATTATAAAGATAGGGTAAACAAAGAAATAAAAAAAACAATTAAAAAAATGAAAAACTGAAGAAATATTGTTGAGCTCGAGTAAATCTTTCACAGGAAAGATCCAGGATTTGGATCAGGTCTAAATTAAATGGGTTTTAAAATTTAATAATGGTTGCAATGGTTATTTCTTCTTTGTTCAAATAACTACCTGCAGCTCAAGTTTTCCTAAATTTTCCACTTTAGAGCCAAAACTAGTTCTTCCAGACTTGGCGGCCTGAAACATAATATCTTAAATCTTTTCATATTAAAATTATTGATTTTTTTTCCCATCTAAAACCATATTTATGCATTACCATACACTCCAGGTAAGAAGCAGAAGTTTCTATTAATTGTAATAATTTTATTATTTTTATTTATATTGGTAAAATTATGATTTTCTACCTTCTTTGAAAGTCGTTCAGCTCCCGCCTCCACCTTTCGAATAATTCTGTCTCCCATTCTTTCTAAAAACAAGAATATAAAAACCAAAAGTAATACAGACGATGTTTTGTTTTTATCCCAATAATCGGATTCGTTTTAATTCACAATGTTTTCTGACTGTTGGCCATCATTAAAAGAAGAATAAGTTTTAGGAGATTAATAAAAAGAATTTCAAATACACATTTTCCAAGATTTATCAACTTTGGAAAAAAAGTTTTAATTAGTTTTTTTTTTCTAAAAGCTTTAGGATATCACTGAATTCTGGGGGTAATCCTTGATAGGCACCGACCAAGCTCAGCTATGATCTCAGACTGTTTAATTTATGATTGAAGCTTGTACTAAAACTTCTTATCTGGAGCAAACAATGACTTTACCTTGGCATTCTTGGGTAAATAGAAAAACACAATCTTGGCTTTTTAATCTCCCTTTTTCTAGAAAGGTACAAAAAATAAGACACCCCCCCCATTATGTTTGTACGCATTTCCCTAGTTCGCCAAAACAGCAAACATATTTTGCTGAAGAACCGCATTGGCCGTTGGCACCAGGTTTTCGTAACAAAAGAATTTTGCCACAAATAAGTAAAATAAAGTAAGAAAATCACATTATAGAGGGTCGGAAATAATTTATCCTTGATTTTTTTTATTTTTATAAAAATAAGATATTTTAGTTGTTAGAGCAACACAACTGATGGTAAAACATTCTCTGAAATACAAATAATTAACTTGGTGTTATCTTTTTACAACGATTGGAACTTTTTTAAATCCAGAAATTTATGATCTGTATGTTTTTGATTTTCTTATCTCAAATATTTCAATTCTGCTTAATCTAGAGCTCTCAAACATATTTTAAAGGTAAATTAAAAATGTTCTAGCCAGGGATGGTAATGTTTTACTTCTTTTATTTACTTATTTTGTTAGTTTACACTTTAGATAGCCAACCATTGAAACAGATTTAAGAAAAGCATGAAAAGTTGTGTGTTAATGTTCAAGGGCTTTTAAGGCTTGTTTTGTCACTTTAATACACACATGACTATTTTGTAAAACATTTCAAATAAGTTTAGTATGATTATCGTTAACAAAAAAAAAGATACAATAAAAATATGTTATTTGACACCATTTCTAAGGTTGGGAAGAAACTTTTTTGTTTGTTAAACTAAAATTTTAGGAACATTTTAATTCCTTTAACTGGGGATTTAGTTTCTCACATTCAGCAATACAAAAAAAACTATGTAAAAAAAAAATCTTAAAAATTCCCCCCCCCCTCCCTCCCAAAAAAAAGATTGTAGTGCAACAAAAATGTAAAAAGCCTAAAATGCTAATTACAAATTTCCCCACAACGTAAGTGCGAAATAAAATCCCTCCCCCCCTACCTCATAGATTAAACATCCTTGAGGCAAACGACGTAATTAAAGAATTAGATAAACTCGAATATCGAGTATCATGAATGCTGTAAAGACCAAACTAAACGAGAAAGATAAGACAATGTTTGATTTTACTTAGGAAAAATAACATTAGGATAAAATTATCCAGAGGTTGGAACTTTTGAGTAAAGTTGCGTAAATTTTGAACTCTTACGAGTACATTTGTTTGGGGGGGAACTTTTTGCGCGCGCGCACCAAAAAATTTGTGCCCCCCCTTAAAAATCCCTTTTTTGAGAGCATTTTGATAACTTTTTTAACTATGTAAACTATTCGATCATATACACACTTCCATATAACAAGTGTTAATAAATTATTAATGTAATTTTCTTAATGGACTCATCAGACACTTCCTCTTAATACTGTGGTGTAACTGTAAGCTTCAATGGGTGAAAAATAGAGATGGAAACATTTCTTTAAAAAATCTAGATTTTCATAGAGACTAAACATGTATAATTATTATAAATAATGATATCAAATTGATATACTTACGCTGAAGGCAGTGTTGATTAAAGCTTTTTAATGAAACTTTTTTAGCTAAAGGCAAAAGTGAAATTTTAAAGTATTTTTATATGGGTGTCCTCCCTCCGGGGGGGGGGGGACGCGAAGAGGGGGGTGGCCCTCCCCTTGTACGTCCCTGTAAGATTGGAAATGTTGCCTGATTCCGAGATTAAAAACACAAAAGTTCTGACTCCAGAATGTTCTAGATAAGCTCTAAAGTTCAATATTATTAATTTCTATAATATCTAACTGCATGCAGAATAGATTATATACATTGCATGAGCAAAATGCTTTTTCCTACATTGGTAGGCGATTATATCAATACAATGAAGACGACTTTTTATTTGAGTTTAAATTATTAACACGCTTTTTTCGAGTTTACTAGTAATCAAAGAGAAGCTTTTTTATTGACATCTTCACTTAGCTTTCAAGTTTATGTGCATCCATGCTGTTTAACAGGTTGATTTGATTAAAATTAAAATTGAAAGTCGTCTTCATTGCATTGATATAATTGCTTATAACTGTATACGGCATTTTGTAGTTTATGGAGAATAATTTCCAGTTATTTTCAGGAAATAAAAAGTATATTTTTTCTTTTTCTTTTTCTTTTAGGACATGCCGGATTATATGCCGGATTACTGGTCCTTTAAAAGGTTGTCAAGTGGCAAAACTAATTTAAATTTTTTTATTTCTGCTTTGTCAAATAGCAGGAAATATCTAGAAATATTTTATTATTTCTGCTTTGTCAAATAGCAGAAAATATCTAGAAATATTTACATTTTACAAAGATTTGTGCAGAAACATTTCATAACAATACCTATTACACTATTATTTTGACATGGACAGTTAAATTTGATCTCTGTAATCTGTGTAACATACAATCCCTTGATATCGTTACAATCCCAGACATAAATCCTAGGGAAATCAAGATCAATCGTTGTCCCCCATCTTTGAGGGTTAATGCAAGACTTCACTTTCATTCCCAGTACCAGTTCATAATTCACCCAAACCTCTCTTCTTGTGTATAATATCTATCTCTCAAGGTCTTGAATAAGTGGGTGGTTTAACATTACACATTTTATTGGTACAAATATATCTGTTAATATCTATTTATATTAAATCATATTTCATATATTTGTAGAGTTCTGCAGTGGTGAATCCAGTCTCCACTAGCTCTTATATAGAAGAGTCCCTCAGCAGTTAAACAAGTCTCCACTAATTCTTCTATGAGGAAGAGTCTCTCAGCAGTTAAGCAAGTCTCCACTAACTCCTAAATATGAAGAGTCCCTCAGTGGTTAAGCAAGTCTCCACTGACTCTTGTATATGGAGAGTCCCTCAGTGGTTAGGCAAGTCCCCACTGACCCTTATGTAGGAAGAGTCCGTCGGTAGTTCATCTGAGCATCTGTTCCCTGATGGGCTAGATGTGGTCTCAGCTGATCCTTCTATAGATAATAAAACTGGTGATCTCCTGATCAATCCTAGCTATCTATCAATCTGCTACAGACCTATGATCTTCTCCTGTGATACTTGTAACTGGTGATATAAGATCATCCTAGTTCTCTGTCAATCTGCCGTAGATCTATGATCTCATACTTGCAGTTCTCCTGTGGTTCATATAGCTGGTGATCTTTGTGATCCATCCTAGCTCTCTATCAATCTGTTCTGGATCTCTAGTCTCCACAGTATCTGCAACTTCCACAGTATCTGCAGTATCCTCAATATCCGCAGTATCCACAGTATCTGTAGTCTGCTCTGCATCTCTGTTGATCTACAGTCTGCTCTATATCTCTGTGATCTGTTGGATGTTCTGCATCTCGATTGATCTCCCATCTATTTGATATCTCCTTGATCTGTAGGATGCTCTGCATCTCGGTTGATCTCCCATCTACTTGATATCTCCTTGATCTGTTGGATGCTCTGCATCTCGATTGATCTCCCATCTACTTGATATCTCCTTGATCTGTTGGATGCTCTGCATCTCGATTGATCTCCCATCTACTTGATATCTCCTTGATCTGTAGGATGCTCTGCATCTCGATTGATCTCCCATCTACTTGATATCTCCTTGATCTGTAGGATGCTCCGCATCTCTGTTGATCTCCCATCTAATTGTTATCTCCTTGATCTGTAGGATGCTCTGCATCTTGGTTGATCTCCCATCTCATTGATATCTCGTTGATCTATAGGATGCTATGCATCTCGGTTGATCTCCCATCTAATTGATAGACCCTCATGATCTCCTTTCACCTGGATTCATTGGCCTGTACTATCTTCTGAGTCCACAGTGTTTCTAACCATAGAAACACCTGGAATATTAGAGGGTTTAGGGAGTTGAACCAGCTGTATAGAGGTGGAACTACATTGCTCTGATTCTATTATCCATTCTATAGTTCCAGCAATCCTCGGAGCCTCCAGTGTTTCTAACCATAGGAACACCTGGGATATTAGAGTGTGTAGGTAGTTGAACCAGCTGTATAGAGGTGGAACTACATTGCTCTGATTCCATTGTCTGCTCTTTAGTACCAGCGATACTCGGAGTCTCCAGTATTTCTAACCATAGAAGCGCCTGGAATATTAGATTGTGTAGGTAGTTGAATGAGCTGTATAGAGGTGGAACTACATCTCTCTGATTCTCTTGTCTGTTTTATAGCTCTAGTGATCCTTTGAGTCTTCAGTGTTTCTAACCATAGAAACACCTGGAATATTAGACTGTGTAGGTAGTTGAACCAGCTGTATAGAGGTGGAACTACATCTCTCTGATTCTCTCGTCTGTTCTACAGCTCCAGCGTTTCTAACCATAGAACATCTTGAGTATTAGAGTGTGTGGGTAGTTGAACCAGCTTTACTGAGGTGGAACCACATATCTCTGATTCTACTGTAAACCTGAGCTATCTGTCTCATCAATGGTTTATTGTATTCCTGAAGATATGATCATGTAAGATATAATCATGTAAGTCCACATGTTGTAAGCCTTCTGAGAGCTGTCCATGAAGTGCCCGTCCCCCAGCCTTGGTTGAACAAACGGAGCTTGGCTCATACGTCTGTTCTATTCAAGGATCTGGGGTGCACTGTTGAATCTTGATGAATCAGTTCAGGTTAACTACTCTGCATTCATTAAAAGAACAAAGAGATAAAGGTGTGAGGCTGGGGGAGGTTTTTAGCATGAGTCACCTATACTTTAAATATTACATAATTAAGCTCCAATACTTGTCACATGAAATTATTGAAACTAATATAAAAAATTAATTGTTGATCTTAAAAATTTACCTAGTTCCAATTGTTAATGCTTTCCTAAGCTGCACAGTAATATCAAGAGCTATGGCTGATCTTACAAACACCATAGTTGCATAGTTCAGTTTAGCCCTGGAACCAGTTTAAAGTATAGTTTTTATCCGTTTTTTAACATCCAAGGGACTGTACACGGAATTTCTGAAGAGCTCAATTTATACAAATTATTCTCTGATCAAGGATGAATGATCGATAGCCTTATGTTCCAGGTGAAAATTGATAATTTACATCTGTGGTTTCTAGATAAACGGGACAATGTTAAATTCTGACAATTATACTTTCAACGTGATTCTGTAGCAGAAACTCGTAGAATAGAAGTTAGAAAGAACAATTATGTGAGTAAGTGAAATATATTTACCCCTGATATTTTTTAAGGCTCCGATGTATTTTTAAAAATATTTGGAAAAAATTGATTTTTTTTAAATTGTAAAATCTATTCATCCCTGTTTACTTCAGAAATGGTCTTGTGTTTTTTTGGCGTCGGACGGCGGGCGGTTGACAGCGGACGGCAAAACACACGGCGTTCATGCAGAAACGCGAAAGTAACAATATAAAGAAAAAAAATGAGAAACTCTCTTTAAACTGTGTTTAAAGGGAGTGTTCAAGAAAAATGAAAGGAGGTACAGGCTTAATTTTCGCCGCAAGTCTATACCCCCTTTTATTTTTCGCGAATAATCCCTTTAATTGGACATCTTGAAATTACAGTCCCTTTAAATGTATTCTAAAAACTGTGCCTGGGAGGTGATATATATGACCCATCAGGTTCAACTTGACTGTTCTTACTGAGTAGAGCCGACAGGGGTATTCTATACTTTACAAAACCAAGATATCCATTATCATTCGCATTCATACCAAGCTAAACAAAATATTAGAATTTTTTAATATTTTCTAATATGTATATAGATTTTCAACATTAAAGGTTCACTCGCACCGCAAATTACTGTCAACTGGTTCCAATATTTCAAAACTCTATTCTGTAAAACTTTGTTTCTATTAAGCTTTGCTAAATTTTTTTAATTTAAGAGAAAAAAGATCCAAAAAATGGTTTTTTGTATTTGTTTTTTACATATAACTTTGAATTTTAAAACTTCTTAGATTTTGTTGAACCTTTAAAATTGCCATAATGATTAAAAGTAAATAGATACTTTAAAAAACTTGGTAAGCGCATCCAATTAAACATTGTCATCCATGGAATATGATAATACTCTGCATAGCGCTGGCGAGAATGCATAATCTCTCATATCACTTGTGCTACGATGATTAAGTATATTCAAATCAGTGCAATATCTTGTTTGACACTCATTATAAAGGGAAAACTTACCTTAGGACCTATTTCTCCGACCAGAACTCCTGGGAAGGGTTTATAAGTTTTCTCATCTCGAATTTGAACCAAAAATGGATGAACACCGCGCTTCTTTCCCTGAAACAGTCATTAGTTTTTAAGCCAGTGTTTTAATTAAAATATCTTGGATTTTAGGCAACCTAGAAACATGTGTCACATCTTATTATTTTTCAAAAACGCTTGTTTACACTTTTCCAACCTTTTTCTTTGTCATTTTTTAAGAACCTTCTTAGCAGAAGCACCCTAACCAGTAAAGTTAAAGATCTAATTTCTATTGAATGAGCTGGGAATATGAAGATAATTCAATATTGTGGGCTTATAGTTATGCAGTTCTCTTCCCACAATTATCAAAAAATATTCTTATAATAAAAAACCTTTAAATAATAAAGCTTGACTTTTGATTTACTTACCTATGGACCATGCTTAAAAAGTATATTTCCTTTAAAATCTTAAAGTCAAGGTTTTTAACCTACATTTTTAAGATACCTGAGTTGTAAGTTGAGCCATAACAACAGCATGTGTTGCTGTTCTACCGAGGCCTCCAGGCCACCATTTAAATGCAGTTAAGCTGGGAGAATGCAACTCAAACTCTTCTGAATCTGCATGATACTCTGCCTGAAAATAGTTTGAAATCAGAATTGAATTTTCATCAATTCTCTCTAAAAGGGCATATAGGTTCGTAAAATTAACAAAACGGAAAGGCCCATTAACCACGACACAAAGCAGACAATTATATGCATATTTTTCTAAAAACAACTTCAAGGTTCTTTCTAATCGAAAATAAAAACAAAAACATGTTTGTTTCTGCAGTGCTTAGGATCCGCAAGATTTTGGCTTCCTGGATCCGGATCCGGATCCGAAAAATATGCAGATCTATGGATCCGGATCCAAGGGGTAAAATATCAACCAAAACTGCAAAGAAAAACTTTTTTACTCCTAAACCCCAAATTTGAACTTTTGAAAAAAGAGAGATTATAGAAATTACTTAATTTCTGAATGGTTCACCAAGTTATAAGATACAAATAAACGAAAAAAAAATGAAACAAAAAATTTGAAAATTATTTTTTGTTAAAAAATTCAATAAATCTTAGAGAAATGACATGGATCCGGATCCGGATCCTAATCCATTTTTTCCAGTGTGGATCTAGGATCCGGATCCGGATCCGCATCAAAATTAAATGGATCCTAAGCACTGGTTTTCTGTAAGCCCCATCTACGGTTCAATATTAGAATTCATTCCATTTGTGAATGGATCATTGTCCATCCATTTAAATTTTTTTGATAATGAAATTTTTCCCAACCATATTTACCTCTTCATTAGTTTACAATTTACCTGAAGTTCCAGTCCTCTGATAAATGTTCCATGACCTAACTCCGTTTGGGCGTAAGTTCCAACTATATCCATGTTCCAAGCTCTTCCAAGCACCTAGATTTAAAAGTAAGTTTTAAAGTGATTTTTGTGTATTTGTATTCGAGAAAAAGAAAAACTGTAAGTCGTTTATTGAATAAATTACTTAGTGTGGTCAGAATGCTATGTAGAGTATAATTTTCCCACTAAATTATGCCCTTTACTTCCCAACCCCCTAATGGTCGGAGAAAAAATGTCAGTGATCTTTTTGAATTTTGTTAATAAAAAATTTAAAATTTAAAATAAATTGTTAAAAAAAAACTTCCCAACCCTCTCTTTATCAACTTTTCCAATGTTTAGGTCAATTTTCCCTAAGTCAGATCGGAGGGATAGGCACGTTCAGACTTTATTCAAGCAGCTCGTTGATGATTTGATAAAATAATAGAACAGACCCACATCTGAAGAAGCTAGGAACTGGCCGTCAACGAACGGACCGTTCGTTGACGGTATTTTTCGTTCTTTCTCAAGACTACAATGCGTTAAAAATCACAGTTTTATTAAATGTGTCAACGAAAGATATTTAAAAACTTTAACAGCACCAGCAGTTAAACAAGCCTTTTGATTTATTTTAAAACAACTTTAAACCTTAAAAAAAAATTTTAAGTTTCCTGCTTTCTGGATAAAAAAAATTACGGAAGTTGCTGTTTTTTCAAACACATCCGTTCGTTCTTTTTTTGTCCCCATTCTTCTTTTTTAAGAAACAGATATTTTTATTTATTAACGATTTCAAAATTATTGTGTTTACGTCTTTCTTTATCGGAACCTTTCATTAGTTTTCATAAACTTGCCGTCGTCAGTAGAACGTTGGCCAGGCCTTCAAGTACATAGGATAACATTTTTTCATTTTATTTTTTTTTACAATAATTTGGTCTTACATCTGAGATTTGATCTGGTGTTCCTTGTCCCATGAGTGTTGGAAGAAACATCACAAAGTGTAAATTGATTGGATTTCCATCCGGTAAATAAGCTGCTCCTAGTCCAGCATTAAACATACCTCTACACATGTCAGTACTATTTTATTTACACGTTTCAGTGATTTGAAATAAGAATGGGATTTAGAAAACGAAGATTTACTGGATAATGGAATAGTTCTTTATTTATAATTTTCTCTAATATTTTTTTTTAATTATCTAATATTATGCTTTACGAGTTTAATTTATATTACCTAATTGCATGGTTATGACCTGCATCTTCTGCTTCCTGAGCCACGATCATCAATCTAATAAAAATAAATTATATTAATGGGACTTTTAAGCAAAATTTTAAGGATGTTATTGCCTGATATAATACTCTACCCTTAAAAGCTGACTGGTCCTTGCAAGGCTAAAGAACTCTGTGTGATTTAATATCTCATCATCATGTTAACTTCAAGAAAAAGGTAGAATTTTATTTCTAATCTTATACAGTCCTCAAACTTTGGTAGCCATCAAATGATCCCCCATGCAAAGATGGCAATGCTCATTTACAGAGGTAACCCTACATGTTTTGTCTGATCAGATTTAAATAATTACGTTTACTTAAACTGCATGATTTTGTTTCCGGTTTTCTAAAAAGTTATTTTCACATTTTTTTGCTTACAAGAAACAATCGGGAAATTCACAGAAATAAACACTTTTCATTGTAGAAAAAATTTATATAGATTAATAATTCGATTTCTAGGGAACAGTTTTAAATAGGGAACTTTTATATTTGCATAGAGGGTCAGGTTACGCTTACAGTCCCTTTTAAAAACTTCAAATTGCGATGTTTATAATGGATAAGTCCTTTATCAAATATTTACCTACAAGCTAATTCTAGTTCATAATTATATCTGTCCTCATTACTCAATGTCTCAACAACCAGAACCTTCCTTTCCTACATTATAATAATATTAATAATAATAATAGTAATAATAATAATAGTAATAATAATAAGGGAAATACAATTGTAAATACCTTGAAAAGTTTATGATTCAGAAAAAAGTTTTCTAACTCTCTCCTTTCCTCGGTTAATTGTTTAGACCCATCCAGGAAATAAGTCAGCTCTTCCTGCAAAATCAATAAAAATTTCATTATTTAACTTTTAGTATTTTTCTTAGGGATAGAGTATGCAGACTTGAAATATTATTCTTTTTTGCCCATTTGTATGTACTTAACTCTACTAAAGCTTCATTTTTTACGTGAAAGTGAGAATGAGTGTACTGTTAGAAACTTTAAAATTCTATGCTAAATACGGAACATACCAAAGGTAATTAAAAATGTTGATCACAATTATAAAAACTCGTAATTTTAGTATTTCAATATTTATAATTCGAACAATATTTTAGAGCTGTTTGTTTATCTATATTATACAAAAAATAGCCCAATCGGAATATGATTTACCTGTTTAAATACAAGGTTTGTTCTTTCCTCTGCTAAGTCTGGATTGACTCCTGGTGGTTTAGAAAACATGGAACAGGACATCTTGCATCTAAGACCCTGAAAAACTCATTATTTTAACCTCGTATCTGTATTTTATTTACATACAGTGTAACCTACAAAGAATGAGACTTTAAAGAGGGTGTTCACGAAAAATGAAAGGGGGTATAGGCTTATGGCGAAAAATAAGAGCTTTTGATCGCTACTAATCATACTTCTATCTGCTGCGTCAATCAGGAGAAAATTTTTAAAAACGACTCATACCCTGAAGAAAGTAGCGTCCATACAAATTTCAGAAAGTTGCAACATTCAACTCAAATCGTAAAATATCAATTTAATTCCAAACAAATCAATAAGATATAACAATCAATATTCATCGATCATTTTTCAACGTATTCGTATATAGTTGATATTTCATGATATTTTTATTTTTTATGATGTAAAAGTTACTTTTAAAAACATTTATTTTTGTTTCGAGGATTTTTGGCAATGAAGACGACATTTTCATATTTTCCAGAAATGTTCGAAAATCCAGCGCCAAGCCAAATATTTTAATAAAAAAAAATAATCAAAAATATCATGAAATATTAACTATAAACGAATGCGTCGAAAAATAATCGATGACTATTGGTTGTAATATCTGATTGATTTGTTTGGAATTAAATTGATTATTTTACGATTACGACCAAAAGCACTTCTTTTTCGCTTTAAGCCTATACCCCCTTTCATCTTTGCGAACACTCCCTTTGAAGATGATCTACAACTCTAAAACAAAAACTTTTCCTAGAGTTGCAAGAGCCATAAATGTAATAAAAAGACTGAGTAAATACCGTCTGGACGTCTCTGAAGGCTCGATAACTCTGTATGTACATTTATAGGACAATTACTCTGCATGTAGATCATTACATGTATAGGACGATAACTCTGTATGTACATTTATAGGACGATTACTATGTATGTACATTTATAGGACGATTACTCTGTATGTACATTTATAGGACGATTACTCTGTATGTACATTTATAGGACGATTACTCTGTATGTACATTTATAGGATGATTACTCTGTATGTAGATGTATAGGACGATTACTCTGTATGTACATGTATAGGACAATAACTCTGTATGTAGATGTAAAGGACAATAACTCTGTATGTAGATGTATAGGACAATAACTCTGCTTGTAGATGTATAGGACGATAACTCTGTATGTAAATGTGTAGGACAATAACTCTGTATGTAGATGTATAGGACGATAACTCTGTATGTAGATGTATAGGACAATAACTCTGTATGTACATGTATAGGACGATAACTCTCTATGTAGATGTATAGGACGATAACTCTGTATGTACACGTATAGGACAATAACTCTGTATGTACACGTATAGGACAATACCTCTGTATGTACACGTATAGGACAATAACTCTGTATGTACACGTATAGGACAATAACTCTGTATGTACACGTATAGGACAATACCTCTGTATGTACACGTATAGGACAATAACTCTGTATGTAGATGTATAGGAAAATAACTCTGTATGTACACGTATAGGACAATTACAAGTTCTAAATGTTACTAAAAAGTTTCTAAATTTTATTGTTAACTATTCATGACACTGTTATTTTGGTTCGCTGCAGTGTTATAAAGATTTTGGACAGAATTTTTTTCTTTATCGAGAAGGTTCAAGCTCTTTTAGATTTAATTTGGCCCAAGTATTTGCAAGGGACAAAATATTATCTAAAAAGGCGAGAACATTAGAGATATAGAGACAATTTCCAAAAACTTTATAGCACGTCGTGCCAAAATAATAGTGTTCTAGGTAATTTTTATGAAACGTTTCTGTACTTGTCTTATTTCAATGGCTGTTTCTAGATCAAATAAGCTTTGAAACAAAGCAGAAGTCAAAATATAGTTTTGATTTCAATTTTGTTTTCATTTCAATTAAAAAGAAAATTTTTTAAGTATAATAAATTTTTCGAAGAAAATCCGGGAACCAATCAAAACTTTTTAGCACACGTGCTATACTGTACTGCATATTTAACTTAAAGTACACAATAGTTTAATAAATAGTTTAATTAATTGATGTTCTTGATTTTAGTATACAACTGTTACTCTGAAAATCTAAAGTTTTTTTCAACCTAATTTGTAGTTGACTGTAACTACATAGATTTTGTAACTAACGTCTTTATCTTATCTTACAATGTGTACTAACTAGATACAGGTTGTCTTTCTTTATACAATTCAGATACCTCAATTTATTTTATAATCAAGGACACATAAATCATTAATACACAGCATATAAAGCATCTGTAAAAGAAAAATAATTAATTTGACATATATTTCAACTATATGTATATCTATGTATCCATTTACATATATACATTATATATATGTATATTTAAATCGATATCTTCTCTTATCTTAATTTCTCAATGCATCTTCGGAATTTTATTTATATTTAATTGAAACAGTATAAACAATAACTACTCCTCTACATATAAAATGGCAATTCATTAGTAGCTGTTTTTTTAACAACAGTTTCCAATGTTCAATAAAGTTAATATTCTAAAGGAATTGTTTATACATTTAGGCCAAGTGATGGCTACAAAGTACAAAGACATACATATGACATAGCATGCTATAAACAGCCATGCGGCGAGCGATGCTTTGATACTTTTTAATTTGTTTTCATTCTCAATCCAAAGTATTTCCTCTACTCATTCTCCCCTTTAAAAACTTAACTTCCTCCCCCCCCCCCATCCTAGTTGGCGTTGGGACATTTCCTAATAAGGCATTTTATAGATAACAATATTATATATAGGACATTTTACAGAAAGGACATTTCATGCATAAGACATTTCATAGACAGAGAAGATTTTTCATAGACAAAGGAATTTTTTTTAAAAAATGATATTTTTTCTTTTCTTTTCATATTCATATTTACCTTCGTCTATATAGCTATGAAATGTCCTATCTATGAAATGTCCTAGCTATGAAATGTCTTAGCTTTGAAATGTCCTATCTATGAAATGTTTTTCTTTTAAATGTATTTTTAAGAAATGTCCCAACGCCCTTTAGTTGTTTTTCCTGGCAATCTTATTTTTTACACTATTACCTAGAAATTTTTAGGCTTTTAAGGAATAGTAATTTCCATAGATTCAGATCTCATAATCTTTATTTTAAGAACGTTAAAATATTGTCGCACATTCTTATAATAATATGAAATTAATAAACACGGTATGATGTTTCTATGATGTACAAAATTTTTTTCAATAAAAAAAATTTATTTGCTTTATTCTGATAGAAAAATTATGAAAAAATTTATAAAACTAAAAATGAATAATTGACAATTTCAATTGTCCATCAACAATTCTAAAAAGTGTAAAAAATTATGAAAAACACCTTTTTTTCCTTTTTAAATAAGATACCTTATTTTAAAATTTTGTTCAAAATATTTAATTTAAAAATAAAATGTAAAAACTAAGATACATCTAAGTAGTGTACTTGCTTGTCTGTACTCTTTAAAATCAAGAGTAGCTTTTCCAGGTAAAAAAACTAACAAAGAAAATTGCAAAGTTACTATTTAGGTAATTTTTAAATAGTGTTTTTCAAGTCGCTTTATTCCCCCACTGTGACCACAGTGAACAAGAGAGGAGATGACTTCCTGCCTCATAAGCCTGCAAATAATTTTGAATGTAAAAGTTGTTACAAAAAGTTAGTGTTGCGCTGCCCCCCCCCCATCCCTGCTCTTGTCCATGTTGTTAAAAAAACATGTAAATTTGAAAATCATGTTAAGTTTCAGAGCAAACCATTAAATTTCATTTACGATCCCTTTATTAAAAAAGTTTTTAACAATTAAATAACTTGTGTTCAATTGTTGTTTTTCTATTGCACTTTTATACGTATACAGGGACCACTGAGCTTTTTTTTACCTTATGTGGGTGCTTAAAGTTCTTTTCCTGTAAAAGACTGCAGAAGAAAAAACTTTTCTGTTATTTGTTCCAAAATTTGATTTTTCAATTATTATAAAATTCTAAACTTTTTTTACAACATAACTAAATAATGAACATGATAGTTTTTTCCCTTAAGAATTGTATTGTAGACTGCAAACAGGCCGGATTCTTAATATTTCAAATTAATCTGCAAAGTATAGAATATTTCCTGATAAGATTAAATTTGTCTTTCCATTATAGTGATTGAAGGGATTTTTTAAATACGCATCTAAATTCTATTTTATTAGTCTAGGTTTAGATAAAAGATAGACATGCTGATGTTCCTGATTCGTAAAAGTCGGGGGAGCGTTTTCTATGATTTGAAAGAAAAAAATGTATTTCCATTAATTTCAAATTAATTCCTTTGTTTCCAGCTGCTTTCTCACCCGTTCCATTAGTTCCTTAACCTGCAGATTAAATATTTATTAATCTTTATCATTTTAACTAATCCCTTTATCTTTATCCTAAAATCGCGTAATTTTTTTGTGGAGTATTTTTAATCTTAAAAGTCTGATCTCGAAATTCAATATAGGCAATTTTAAATTTTTAGGATCAATTTCTAGGATCACGAAATGTCGAAGATGAATTAAATTAATCCGTGAGTTGAATAAGATGCTTTATCCCAAAATTGAAAACAGAAAAGTTCAAACTTCTGATGATGTAAACTGTTTATATTTATATTTTTTATTTTTAATCCAATAAATTAATTTTTCTAAATATAAAAGGTTACGTAATTAAAGTTGGCAAATAAATAAGGCTATAGTGAAAAACCATAAAACTGTGGAACAGGAGGACGACGTTATTGCAACCCTAACATACAGTCTAATTGATGTGTTTCAAAGAAAATAGAGTTACACGTAAATAGTAATTTATAAAATCACTTATGAAATCATTACATTCTGTGTCTCATGTTAATTGGACAAGTCATAATTTGAATCTAAAAGTCGTCTTTCTATTCCAGAGTTTTCTAGTTCAGATCTTTATGTAAATACTTTTTAATGTTCTTTTTAAGAATGCTGTGAGGCAATGGGTGCAGTACAGTACAATTGTGTTTATGTACCTGTTTGCTAGTTGTACTTTCTAGACCTGCTAGAACTGGATAGTTTAGTGTACATGCAGTGCATTTACAATCAAAGTTGTACCACCTAAATAATAATGATTAAGGTACTAAATCAATAACAATCAATAAATTAATAATTAAAATAAAAGGATTAAATATTGTTTTCCTATTTTAACCTTTTTATTCTTCTTTTTCGTTCTTTAGTTTCCAGTGATGTATAATGAAAACCATAACAATCTGAAAAAAACACCTTTTTTGTCTTAAGATGACATATTTCTTTACTAAACATTTTCGATCTATTGTTTACAAAAAATGTCGTTGAAAACATTCCTCCATAAACAATTGCACTAAGAAAAAAAATTTCTTTTTAAAAAAGGGACTGTACGTGTCATTTCAAGTGACCCTCCATTTATAGATGGCAATGCCTGATCCACTACAGTACCATTTTAAAGCTTTGCACTTTCAAGTATGAATTATATATCAATTTTATAAAGCTGCTTACTTTAAATTGGGGGTCTTGCGCATTTCTACATATTTGAACTATCATAGTTCAACACTTTTAACACTAGAAAGACGACGACAATATCTTCCAAGTTCCACATTATTGAAGAGAAAAAGGTTTTAAAGGTACTGTTGTGAATCGGGCATTGCCATTTTTATATGGAGGGTCACTATAAATTCACGCTTACCCTCCCTTTAAAATTAGTTTTCCAGGTTCTTTCAACAGTTATTTTATGAATTTGGTAATTTCTTTGCGTGTGTTGTTAAAACAATTTTAAAATCATTAATAATCCCTTTCTTGAATAAATGAATTGTTATCCCTGAAGTTATTGACCTGAAATCTCCTGATTCTGAAATATATGTCGTCTTGATACTAGGTACACATCCTTTCCAATATTCAACTACGAGTAAACAAATGTATAATTAACTATTTTTCTGCAATCTGATTTTTCTTCAAACAATTCTTTGCAGTCCGCTGTAAACACTAAACATATCTTATTAAGGATAAAGCTAACTGTAGAGGGACTACACGAGTTACCTACCCTAACTGTAGAGTGACTACACGAGTTACCTACCCTAACTGTAGATGGATAATATGAGTCCCTACCCTAACTGTAGATGGATAATATGAGTCCCTACCCTAACTGTAGATGGATAATATCAGTCCCTACCCTAACTGTAGATGGATAATATAAGTCCCTACTCTAACTTTAGATGGATAATATGAGTCCCTACCCTAACTTGTAGATGGATAATATCAGTCCCTACCCTAACTGTAGATGAATAATATCAGTCCCTACCCTAACTGTAGATGAATAATTTCAGTCCCTACCCTAACTGTAGATGGATAATATCAGTCCCTACCCTGTCTGTAGATGGATAATATGAGTCCCTACCCTAACTGTAGATGGATAATATGAGTCTCTACCCTAACTGTAAATGGATAAAGGGTGTGGTCATAGTTTCACCAATTACGTTTCACTCAATTTTAGGTAAAATAACGTTTCACCCAATATACGTTTCATTCAATTCACGTTTCACCCAATACTACATTTCACCCAAATTATGTTTCACCCAACTCAGGTTTCGTCCAAAATACACATTGCACAGTAATTTATTGTCCAATTTCCGCTCAAAACTCATAAAGCCTAAAGGATAGATTTGTCTCAAATTTTGATTGGGGAACTCCGGAAAATCATAAGAAATGTTCTTAGCTTGATTTAAACATCTTAATCTGAGTTGGTTGACTTACATACAGTGAAACCCTTAATAACGAATACATCGGATGAATTTATCAAATGTCGTATTGACAATTTTTTAATGAGTTTCATACTATATTTCGTAAATTTCAGTATTTGCGAAAATAAATAAATAGCCATGAATATGTGGGAACAGTTTTAAAGAGTTCCATAATCGGAACAGTTTTAAAGAGTTCCATAATCATTTAATTAAAAAACTAAATATCTGCAACATTCCATTATCAAAAAGTGAAGAATACGACATTTGATGAATTCTTTCGATGTATTCTTTATCAAGGGTTTCACTGTATACAAACAAAGCTGGGTTCCCGAGCTAGTGATATATATTAATGCAAATTGTTGTAAATCCACAACTTTTTTGTTCAAAATCTGCAAACCACACTTAAACTCAACACGGCGGCGCAGTTACATGTAGCTAAATACATAAATGTTGAATAATATGCTGACTCTCACATTATTTTGGGCAAGGTTAGGTTAAGACAATTTCTGGGTCAAGCTTTGCGGCTAGGATGGCCTAGGGGGCCGAGCGATGCAGCCTCTAAAATGTTTATTAATCGGCTGTCCTTCACATTATTTTGGGCTTGGCTGGGTTAAGACAATTTCTGGGTTGAGCGTTGCGGCTAGTATGGGCTGAGGGGCTGGGCGATGCAGCCTTTTAAATGTTGAATAATGTGCTGTCTCACCAAAGAGAATAGAATATACATCATGTAAATGTTCACAAATTATATGCAGTATAGTACATTAATACAGTATGCTCCCAAGACTATCCATTTCAATTTCTAATTTTTCTAAGCTTTTTCTAATTTTATATTGAATTAGGTGAATAAAAAACATCATTTGATTTATAGTTATAACGGAAAATCATCGTTTGTAAAATGAAAGGCATAGAGTCTATGTGAAATGGTCATAGGTCAATTATGAAACCAGCCTATTTCATAATTTGTTTTTTTTTAAATATTGATTTTAAGGTTATATAGCACAAATATGTGAAGTACACCTGCAGTATGGAAACAGTACAACAAAATGGCCGTTTTACACTTTTTTCTAGTAATTCCCCTCTAATATATATTCTATTCTCTTTGTATCTCACGCATTTCTTGGGGTTAGGCTTGGTTAGACAATTTTTGGACTAAGCCCTGTGGCTGTGAATGGGCTAGGCAGATAGTTCATGCTTGGACTCTGAGAAGATGCCTAATTAGTGAAACGTTTCGGGTGTAACGTGATTGGGTGAAATATGATAGGGCGAACCACACCCGGAGAAACAAGTACCTAAGAGTAAGACTGATAAAGGTGTACCTACCCTAACTGTAGATGGATAAAAGAGTACCTACCCTAACTGTAGATGAATAAAAGAGTACCTACCCTAACTGTAGATGAATAAAAAGTACCTACACTAACTGTAGATGAAAAAAAGAGTACCTACCCTAACTGTAGATGAATAAAAAAGTACCTACCCTAACTGTAGATGAATAAAAGAGTACCTACCCTAACTGTAGATGAATAAAGGAGTACCTACCCTAACTGTAGATGAATAAAAGAGTACCTACCCTAACTGTAGATGGATCACATGAATGATTGCAGGAGGTTGCAATTCTAGGATAAACAGCTGAACCAAGCTCTACAAGGTTTATGTGGGAATCAGGCCTGAGGCAAAAATAAAAATAAAAATTATAAAAATTGAAATTTTTCTATAATAAATTATTCACCTGATAACTCCAGTTGCCTGTAAAATTGTAGAAGCATTATTTCTTAATCAAATTTAGTTTTTCTAAATAGTTTAAATTAATTTTGGATTTTTATATTTTTTTTTTATTCTGTACTGCAATGTTTCTTTCCTGATCAATTGGATGAGTGTTGTACTGTACTGCTTGGATTGTTTTGTAAACAAGTTCAGCAATGTCTAGGTTCTCATTGGACACTTGAGGATTACACAAACATTAATAAATTTGTGAAATAATGTAGTTAAAGTAGCTAATTTTCAACTTTATCAAAATGTGTTTAGAAATGGCCTATTTAAAACTTTCCAAACCATTTTCCAATTTTTAAATGATTATAAAAGATATTTGAAAATTAAATTTTAAATAAAAATGTTGTAAACGTTTTGTTTGTATATTCCTAGGTCCCCGTCTAAGTATCCACACTGCAGCAGAAGTTTAATAACAAATGTCGTCTTCAAACAAACAGATAGAAGGTCGGCTTTGTTTCTAACTTCCTTATGCCGAACCATACCAAACACGGTCTGAAGTATAGAAGATTTTTCTACTTAATCTTTCGTACAAATGCAAAAATTATCGATACAATCTCAAAACATTTAGGAAATAAATGTGTCAATGAAATAATTTAGATTTCAAATTTGTCTTGTTTCTTTCATTAGCATATATAGGGTTTCCATGCGCAAACACATTTTATTCAATTTCAGGAAAGTTTACAAAATTAAAATAACTCCCCTTTAATAATGATAAAAATATGTTCATACATGTTAATCATTAAAAATGTAGTTTTGAGAAAATGCACGTCTATTGCTATGCAAAGATGCGCAAAATTAGTATTATTCTTCTGAAATCCATAACAACAGAGACACTGGAAAATAAGTTTGTGTCCTATCATAAAAAAGATTTTGAATGTGTACAGATAAGTTAGGCAGCAACAGTTCAAGTTTTCTATTATAACACATATTTCGAATGGAAATCCGATCAGCATAGATGAACCATCTGCTGATAATGTTATTATGTAAGGTCAGGCTATAACGACACAGTATTTTAGTAAAAAGGAACATTTACACAACAATCTCAACGTTTTTAATTCATATTTTCAACAACAATAAAAAGCCATATAAGTATAGCAGGCAAACAGATTGCAAAATTCCCACCGTAAAACCAGAATCTGTCATAATAAAATGTCACAATTTATATAAAAAAGAACATTGGCATGCTGGATTTACAAATTGGATTTTCAAAGAAGAATGTTAAATTTTGAAATATAATATTTTAAAATTTTTATAAAAATGAACCTGAACTCTTTCAAGCTGACTGCTAAACTCTGGCACTAGTTTTTCTTCACTTTGCAACTAAAATACAAATTATTTAAAAAATCATTAAAATTATAGATATATATATATATATTTGTGAAGCAAAAGGCGTATGGATTTATTCATAGATATTTTTAACAAATTTCAAAATGGAAAAGAAAACTTATGTTGTGTAGAGATATTAAATCTTGAATCCCTTGATCTCGATATCCAAGGTGGACTCTTTTAAATTTGAGAATACATGCTTGATCCTTAAATTAAAGTTATTGTTGCAGTGTCTGTAGAGGAATTAAACTAATCTATATCCGAGTTTCACAATCACAACCCAAATGGTCAAATTTTTAAAAAGAAATTATAAATTTTTCGGGCAGCAATATTTTGGGTACCATTGTTGGTTGTTTAATTTTAGTATATATATTTTTGATCAAGACAAGTTAAAGAATGTTGCCATTTATATTTTTTAGACTTTATATTTTGGGTGGTTGTACATTTGATGGATTTATTAATATATAGACGTACTTTAATAAATGTCTGTTGAGAAAAACCGAAAAAATAAAATCACGTTTACCCAAATGTGAGAAAAATCTCTGAAATCCATGATAACAGTAAAAATATCCTACCTGCATGAAAAGATGTTTTTTATGCTGTGTAAATAATCTGAGAGTTAAAAGTAAGCCACCAGATATTTCATCACATCCTAAAATTTATTAAACTGCAATTCATATTTACCATTACCTAAAGAAGCTGTAGACTAGACATAATTAACTGTAACGCTCCATTTAAAAATTCCCAGATGACGGAAATATCCCTTTTTTCTTAGCTAACAATTGAGTACCGGGACCAAGTTTCTTTAATAAGGTTGGTTACTTTGGATGCGCAAAATGTCCAGGACATGTTGTCTCCTTAGCATAGATAGATAGAATTTGAATATGACGTCACTCTCGCCTCTGTATTAAGTGACGTCATATGCGGATTCTATCTAGCTATGCTAAGGAGACGACATGTCCAGTACATTGGAGCACATCCAAAGTAACCAACCTTATTAAAGAACCTTGACCGGGACACACTAGTGTACAGGGACATTAAAATGAGGATATCGAAGACAATCGATAAGAAATATAAGAATAAACAAAAATAAGAACATCCTTGTCATTTTAAAAGACAACTAGCTAAAAAAAATTATTTCCGATTTTAAGATATATTTACCGAGCAATGTGATCTTTAAAGATAAAGAATGTAAATTTGTATAATTACACATATTATTTAGTCTAGCTTTGTTTCAGTATTTAGGGCTGTATAAACAAAAGAAAACTAATAGAAGCCATCACATGATATTAAAAAATTAATAGTCTTATTAAATTCTTAAACAATCCCTTTTTTATTTAAGAAAAAGTATCTTTCTTCACCTTTTCCTTCATCCATTTGAAATATTTTCTTAAGGTTCAGTTTAGACTCCCATGGCAGATAGGTATCAAGGGCCTAGCAAACACTTAGATTAAAAATTTATAATTTCAGAATTTTATAATTTTAGAAGTTTAAGATTTTAGAACTTTAGAATATTTTAGAATTTAAGAGTTTTAGAATTTTTGAAACAACCGTTTTAAAAAGTATCGTTTTTAAAATAAAAAAACGAAGCACTAGTTTTATTCTCTAAAATTCGTTGTTTCGTAAACGAAAATAGGTAGTTTGTTTTTTATTTTGACGATCTTTAACGATGGTTAACGAAATTAAATTTACCTGTTTCAGACATGTCAGGGAGCAGAAAAGTGCAGGATCAATTCCAAACAAAGGATTTGGATAATATGGCCTTTAATGTACATAATATTTGATGTATATTGGGTTTTGACTTTGTGTCCTGACGTTTGAAATGAAATTGGATTTTTTTAACATAAAAGAATTTTTATGAGCTTAAGAATTGTCAGATAGGGGTTTCAGCTCCTTCCGGTTTCAACAAAACTGCAAAGTATCGTAATCGCTTCTATTCTTTTTCCTTGTTCATCTTAGTTTTTGGTAAATAACTTCAGCTGAAGACAAATTCCAACATTAGACACCTCGCCCCTACTTTGATTTTCTTTTCTTTTTTGATGTTTTCTTTCTCATATCCTGTCTCTTAACCCCCCCCCCCCCCCCCTCCTCCTCTGTTTTCGTTTCTTTTCTTTTCGTTTCTTTTCTTACTTTTTCTTAAACTTATCTATCCTTATCCATTTTTTGTTAAAACCTTTCTCGTTCTCCTGTTACTGTACCTTTTGAGAAACCAACTCTAGGCCCAACAGAAGTTTTATCTTTTTTATTTATTCTTTTTATTTTTTTCCCTTTCTTTTTATCTTTTTTTTGGAACGATGTTTTTTTTTCTTTTTTTGTTAGTTCCTTTTTTCTAGATCTCTTTCGTTTTATTCTTTTATTCTTTTTTATAATTATTTTTTGTTTTGATTTAACTTAATCTTTTTTTGTTTGTTTTTCTTTTTTTCCCTCTTTTTTGGTGGGTTTTTTCAAAGTTAGTTCTTCTCATTGGGGGTTTATGAGGGTTTCCATTTCCGGATTCCCTGCCTGTTTCCAGACTGACTGAATTTTCCTTCTTATTTCTCAGGTTTACTAAGCTTTTCTTCTTACTTTTTATTTTTGGTTTACTGAGTGTCCTTCTCACGTACCTCTGCCCCTTTAGTAAAAGTAAATTCAACATATTTGAAGCATAAAGTCTGACCGTGTCAACCTTGTTGCACTGGCTAGTCCTGTTGATTGTTTTCTTTATTAACTCAATGTCTGTGCGGTGCAGTACAAACTGGGACCGGAAAGGTTGACTCGGATCGGAAATTCAAATGTACTACGGCTGCCTGTGCTCTCAAAATATATATGTTGCACCATTTTGTCTCTTTCCCTTATTACGCTATTTCTTACTTAACCTTGCATTATAAACTGCATCTTAATGACCTGGTGTTGCAATTCGCATAAAATGAAAAAGGATTAATTAAGAACGAAACAAAAAGAAGCAAAAATATGCATAAAAAGTTGTTTTATGAAATTAAGGAAAGCGAAAAAAAGAACATTATGCAAATATATAAAGAAATTTCTAAAGAAAATTAAAACTAGAATGTTCAAGTATTTTCCTGTTGATTGTTATTGCAGTACAGCAGTGTGTACAGTTTGTTGCAGTACAGTTGAAGGACAGGAACCATGTGACAGGGGTATCCTTCAACAATACACAACCTTAAAAGTAAAAAAATAGCAAAAATTATGTTTTGATCAAGAATCATAAGAAGAAGAGGAACCTCGATATTTTTGTTTAGATAAAAATGGAACTGCAGTGTTTTTATTCCTCCTAGAAACTGTAAACAATGATATGAGAGTGCCTACCCTGGTACAAGGTTATAATGCCAGGAAAATTATTGCAGAGGTGTACGCATCTTTTGTACTGCAGTGTACTGTGTCTGGGCGGTAATGTAAACACAAAACGGATGTCAGAGCCTGACACGTGATCCATCTTTCACATAAAAAATCAATGAAATATTATGGCCGTAGGAAACTATTATTTGAATTATCGAAATTATCAAAATGCTATGCTTTTATCCTGCTAGGATACCAAACGAACACTGTGCATCATTTCTTGTTTACACATTCCGCTTAGAGAGAACTGGTTTCAATATGTACGCAGAGCATGCAATTAACTATCCTTGCATTATAACCTTGCCCTGGTATATCTTTCAGTTTTATTCATGCTTGTTTCAGCAAATTTAATTTGACTTTTTTGTGCTTTTCTGACAGTTAAACATTACTTATATTTTTGCAAAAGAACTTTTGTTTCAAATTAACTTTATGGTTTAAATTTTTTTATTTTTTATTTCCAAAAATTACCTGGGAGAATGTTATCTTGTGTGACTGTAAACCTTCCTTTTTCCTCAGTATAGTTAACCTCTAATGCTTTGTTTATATTCTCACACTAAAGATTATATTTTTCATTAAAAAAATATGATGACAAAAAAACTTTAGACAAGCTTCCAGAACCTTTAATTTGAAGTATGGTAGCGTAATATTCCATTCACACCGGCGCCCTCAAAACTTTTTTTCTGACCGTAAATGATTGAATTATCCTTTTTTATCAAAAATGATAATTTTCAATTGCGGTTCTTTATTCAAGTGACTTGCGGATGTATACACTAGGAAAGGGTAATTGTCAGAATTAAACACATTTCCGATAGAAAAAAAACAACAATATTTTTCTCATTGTTGATTAGAAAAAGGTCTAAAGATTACTGTTGGTATTCCGAAATCCACTCTTTAACAAATTATAGGTAAATTGAAATTATGTCTACACTCTACAGTCTCCATCGATGGTACTTAAAAATATTTTGTTCCTCTGGATGTGGGTCTGTAACGGTCAACTGCTCTTTAGATTGTTTTTTGGTTTCTTTCTTTTCAATTTTCTTGTTCAGCTCAACCTGTACCCCTTCTCTAGACCAATACAACCAATTTATTTACATCTTTTGTTAAGATTGTTTATTTAATATGCGTTTGTTCAAACAAGAACCAGATTTTATGAATAGCGAGGCGTAGTTGAACCAGGTAAACTACTTTGAACCACTAGGCTAAGCTTTCTCTGGTGCTCAAAAGAAGTGGGTTGTCTATAGTTTCGCTATTCATTAATCTGGTCCCAGGGCTTCACATAGGATATGTTTTATAGTAAAAGGGAAGAAAAAAGTCTCATTTTTGTTTGGGGCCAGTTATATATGTCCCGAATGGACATGCCTTCCAAAAAAATATGGGCAAAATTTTTGTTAACACTGAACACTGTTCATTTTGAGGATATTACAATTTTTCTAACCTAAAAAGCTGGAATATTTTCTCCCATAGAATTTGACTTTCTCCTGCTAGGATTTTTAAATCAAGCGAAGAACATTCCCGTGATTCTATCTAGTTCCTTAACAAATTGGTCTAGGGGTTTATGAGTTATGATCACACATACAAACAAATAGAACTGACTTCTTAAAAGAAAACAGACAGTTAACTCAAAATGAATGCAGGGTTCAGAAAAAACAAGATTTTTTTTTATAAATAGTTCTCCTTGTAAAAGTGGCTAATTTACAAGAACAACCCTTTTTTTCAAAATTAGCCAATATATGATTGAAAGATGTATGAAAGATGAACAAGATGAAAGCGAAGAAGAAATATAGAAATATCAAAATACTTTCATCTGATATCATATAAATATTAAAAATGTTGTAAAATTTAATAAAAATAAATTATAAAAGTTGAAGAACTGACATCTTTGGATATAAAGATAAATAAGCTGTTTTCCTGAATTTCTCAATATCTTGTTTACTCATCCCACTTTGAGTCACAAGATGAAGAGACTGGGTTAGACAGTCCTGAGCCTTCTGCTCCAAACCTAGGTTTATGTAGCACCTTCCTTGCCTAGTCAAACAGATATAACATGCAATTTGCACTTTGTTTGGCAAATCACATGATATAACACAACTTTTTAATCGTTAATTACCTTTCTAATATTTTGTACTGCATATTTGCTGGGTAGTGGAACAGTATACAAGCCTCACAATCATTTATGCAGTACATGTACTCCCTCTGTTGGAAGTAAACTGCAGACCTAAAGGATTGCATTGTTAAGTACAAGAAGATAGACCAGGAACCTTGGATTGTAGTGTTAAGTACAAGAAAGATAGACCAGAAACCTAGGATTGTAATGTTAAGTACAAGAAGATAGACCAGGAACCTTGGATTGTACTGTTTAGTACAAGAAAGATAGACCAGAAACCTAGGATTGTAATGTTAAGTACAAGGAAGATAGACCAGAAACCAAGAATTGTAAAGTTAATTACAAGAAAAATAGATTAAGAACCTGGGAGTGTATAGTTAAGTATAAGGAATATAGACCAGGAACCTAGGATTGCATAGTTAAGTACAAGGAAGATAGACCAGGAACCTAGGATTGCATAGTTAAGTACAAGGAAGATAGACCAGAAACCTGGAATTGTATAGTTAAGTACAAGACAGATAGACCAGGAACCTAGGATTGCATAGTTAAGTACAAAGAAGATAAACCAGGAACCTAGGATTGTATAGTTATGTACAAGGAAGATAGACCAGGAACCTAGGATTGTATAGTTAAATACAAGGAAGATAGACCAGGAACCTAGGATTGTATAGTTCAGTACAAGGAAGATAGACCAGGAACCTAGGATTGTATAGTTAAGTACAAGGAAGATAGACCAGGAACCTATATAGGATTGTATAGTTAAGTACAAGAAAGACAGACCAAGAACCTGGGATTGTAAAGTTAAGTATAAGAAAAAAAACCAGATACCAAGAATTGTAAAGCTAAGTACAAGAAAAATAGACCAGAAACATAGGATTGTAATGTTAAGTACAAGAAAGATAGACCAGGAACCTTGGATTTTACTGCTTAGTACAAGGAAGATTGACCAGAAACCTAGGATTTTAACGTTAAGTACAAGGAAGATAGACCAAGAACATATCTGTTACATATATTTTTCAGTTAATGTTTAAAAATCTGTGAAATATTTCAACTTTTTCATAATTGTCGAGATACAACAAGGGTATTTTGAGATTAGGCATTTGATCTATTCCCATTTTACTATATATAGAATATGTACATTTCAAATTGCTACGCGCACGCACATATGAATGCCTGGATCCTAAGTATAGCTTCAGTAAGGCCTAAACCAACCATGGACGCTGATGTAAACTTACTTTGATTTCTTTCTTAATAGATGACATTCGTGTAAGTAATTATATGAAATCATTCTAAAAATTGTTCTTGTCAATGTTATATTGTTGCAATAATACTTCAATCTATTTCAGTTAAACATCCAAACTCTCTTCAAACAAATAACACCATCTGAATAAAGAATTAAAGAAAAAACAGTTTATATAGTGAGAGTAGTTTGAAACCGGTCATTCTAAAGAAATCAATATAATACAAAGGGTGGCATTACCTGTTTGCAATCGCAAACCCTAGTTCGTCTCCCCTTGATGTTCTGATTGCTTGGTTATAAAGCACTAATGCTTTACTAAATTCACGTTTTTTAAACTCTTTATTTCCATCTGCTCGGTAGGATGAGATAGAACTGTTATTGTTGTTGGTGTTGTTAGATTCGATGGCAGGCCTAAAATATTATTATTTTAATCAGAAATGGACGGGAACTGCTACTTAAAGCTAAAATATTATTGTTTTAATAAGAAATGGGCGCGAATGGCTATAACGTAAAGCTAAAATATTATTGTTTTCAGCAGAAATAGGCGCGACCAGCTACTTAAAGCTAACATATGCTTGTTTTCAGCAGAAATGGGCGCGATCGGCTACGTAAAGCTAACATATTATTGTTTAAAACAGAAATGGACTTGATTGGCAAGGCAAAGATAAAATATTATTGTTTAAAGCAGAAATGGGCGCGATCGGCTACGCAAAGCTAAAATATTATTGGTTTAAGCAGAAATGGGTGCGATCAGCTAAGTAAAGCTAAAATATTATTGTTTTAAGCAGAAATGAGTGCGATCGGCTATGTAAAGCTAAAATATTATTGTTTTAAGCAGAAATGGGCGTGATCAGCTACGTAAAGCTAAAATATTATTGTTTTAAGCAGAAATGGGCGTGATCAGCTACGTAAAGCTAAAATATTATTGTTTTAGCAGAAATGGGCGCGAATGGCGTAAAGCAAGTGATTTTGTTTTTCTAAAATGTCTACAAAAATTAAACTAAGTTAGTAAGGTAAAATTAAAAGACTACTGGTTGCAAAATTTTGACAGCTGTCCTGTCTTGGAAATGAATGCAATTTTTTATTATTTTTATTTATTTTTAAGTCTGGATCTATTGGACCCAGTATTTTACTTGGCATACTTTTGGCGGTATCAGTGGAATCCAGAAGTTTTGTAAACAAAAGCAATGCAGTTGGGAGATGCTTGTTATATTTTTAAACCTTTCTTCAAGGGCCATTCTTCTTTCACGTCATTTCAAAACATAATGGTCTAAAACCCTTTCTTCGTTTTTGACTTACTGAATAACAGATTGAATCTTCAAATCCAGATGAGAGTTAGTTGAAACCATTTCACCGATACATTTAACCTGGTCCCTAATCAAATTAATGTATTGATTGATTGATTGATTGATTGTTAACATTGATGCAATGAAGTATCATCCAATAAGATGTTTAAAAAATAATTTTAACAAGTATTGCTTGAAGTAGTTTTCGTTTTATTCTTGCTTCTAAGGAATTGAGTCTTTGCCACAAACTCTTATTTTCTAATCCTTCTATTTTAATAACTGTTATGTTGTATGCGCTATAGATATTTCAAACTATGAACTCTGTTATACCAAATGATCCAAATTTTAAACCATCAGATTGCATAGAGATATAGGGATTAGAAAATTTGAGTTTGTGGTACAGTAGAACCCATTAAACAGTGGAATAGGAATATTATGTACATTTAATGTTATTGTACACTGTACAGCGAACAGTATGAAAATTTATTTATCAAACATAAAGGGTCTGTGTACAGCGCACAAATGTTATGCTTCTTGTGAATTGAATTATTTAAATCATAACTCAATTTTAACCGTCGTCCTCTTTTCTTCGGGTTTTACTGTATTGTAAAAAGTTAATAATATCAATTATTAAATCATTAACTAATCCCTTATTGAATGTAATGTTTGAAACTTCTCCCATACTGGACTTGTCTTCAAATATTCAATAGCCTAAACATTAAAATAATAAGGAAATATTTGTTTAACGTATTATCATGTATAAATGGTATAGAGGGTTAACCGCAGAGAATGAAACTTCAGATAAACTAGGCGAAAGGAATTGAGTCTTTGCCACAACTGCAGATTTTCTGATCCCTATATCTTTGCAACCCAATGTCGTAGACCCTTTAATTTCAAACTAAGAATTATGTTGAACCAAATAATCTAAGGTTTACCACCACCAGGTTGCCAAGATACAGAAATTAGAAAATTTGAGTTTGTGACAAAGACTCAATTCCTTTATTCCGTTTTTTTTTTCATATATGCCTTGCAACTTCTTTCCTTCTTTGCCATGAATCATTAAAGAAGCCATTTAAAGAAAACATCCAAGACAGAAGACTTAATTTAAACTTAGGATCGTCATATTCGAAGATATTAAAGTCGTCTTTATAGTCTCATCCTTTGTGGTTTACCCTGTAGCACACCATATAGCATACACGTCAGGACAATAGCAGTCATAAAGGAACTGCAGCATCGTAGGTCCTCTAGTTTTGATTTTACGCACGAGGATAAGAGATGAAAATGTATTTTGTTACACATTATCAATTCAAAACTATTTTTTTCTAAATATATCTTTAATAAAAGCATGTTTGCTTTCGATTTAACGTGACATTTACTTTAATTTGAGAAGATGTTGTAATTATCGTAGCTCTTGTAGCAGATAAGAAATAGATAAATTATTTTCTTTCTCAATTAGTTGCTTGTTGAATTTTTAATTTAAATAGATATTTTCCTTGTCATGAGTGTAAGAAAAGGTGTAAAGCCAGCATGCTCTGGTTGTACCTGTGTCATGAGTGTAAGAAAAGGGGTAGAGCCAGCATGTTCAGACCGCTGAGCTACCTCCAAAGCATCCTAGGCCACACAAATAAATAAATATTTGTACTGCAAAGAGTAGTTGTAAACATTTCAAGATATGGTATTATGGTAGATTAAATAATCTAAGTTTGAAATATCAAAGGTTTACATCATCAGATTGCAAAGATAAAGCGATTTCAAAATTTGAGTTTGTGACAAAGGACCAATTTGTGTCAGTCTTTAAACAAACAAGAAACAGTGAATGATAATCAAGTGTTTATATAATACCTGTATATGGGACTCTGACACACCTAAACCCCCAACATCAAACAATAACAATTAAGAATAATAATTTTTTCTCGTTCCTTAACTTATTTTAGAGTTAGAAATACAAAAAATATTTTTGGTTTTGAAAAATGTATTATTTGGTTCCTAGCTGCTGCATAATTTGCGCCTAAAAAATTATAATAAATATTAAGGAGAAACATAATAATATGTTGGTATATATTCAAAATGTAAACAATAAATTTATTCGACCTAATTAAAAACATGTTTAAGTATACACCATCTTATAATAATTCATATGTGTGTGTGAAAATAAAAATGTTGGTATATATTTATCCCTATAATGTAAACAATAACTTTAATTATTCAACCTGATTAAAAACATGTTTTAAGTATACACCATCTTATATTAATATAAATTTGTGTGTGAAAATAAATAAAAAATAAATAAAAATAAAAAGAAGAAAATGTTTTAAGACCAGAAACATAAATGTTAAAAATACCTTAACACTGTCTGGAATATTCAAATTCGAGAGCATTTTTACTATTTTAGTAACTTTTTCTGAAAAGTTGTTTTCGAAAAATTATAATCTTGCATCATATTTACGGAGACAGTATTTTTACTTTGCTAGTAATTAGGAGTGTTGTTAATATAAAAAAACCTGGTTTTAAAAAAAAATCCATAAAAGATTAAACTTATATTTTTTAACATTTAAAGTTCCCTGTAATTGTAAACTTGATAATTTCTTCAGCAACTTGCATGGTGAAACACAAAAAGATAAAATTTAAGGCAGATCAAATCAAGCGGCATAATTTAAATGTTATTATTAATGTCGTATCTTTTACACAGTGGGAACCAAAAAATGTGGTTTAGGAACGACATTTAAGCTCCTGCAATGTTTATGAACAAGACAGTAATTGTGTAGTGTACACAGGCTCATATTAAATAACAAGTTGATGTTCATGCTATATGACAACATATTAAGCGACATTTTCCTTTTCCAGTGTTTTATGGGTCTTACTATAGGTAACCATATTTTTAAATTTTTTATTTGTTTACATATTTCAACTGTTAAATCAGCTGACATGTATATATATATATATATGTATATTCATCAACAGTATAACGGATACACAGTGTACAGTGTATTCACTCTGGCTGAATGGGTCAGCTTTCCCAGTTGTTGAACATAGGAGTATGTATCAGAGATATATAGAGATATAAGACGTACCAAATAGAAATAGAACCAAAATACATAATGATATAATACACCATGAGATTAATTACTATTTCAAGTAGATAGATGAATAGTAAATAATTGTAATTCTCTATGTGTCAGTTTAAGTTTATACTCTAAGTTCCCTGCTTTCTTTTTATATTATGCAACACAGCATGTTTATAAATAATAACTCCACATGGAATAGATCATAAGGAAAAGAGGAAATAATGAAAAAGAAAAAGGAACAGTTAGAAATGAAAAAAATGAGATTAAAAAGAAATGAATGATAAGAAAGACAACTGATACGATGATAAAGAAAACGAATACATCAATAAAAAAAGAAAGAAAAAACATAACAACAGAATGGGGAAGAATACAATGATAGAATAAGAAAGGATACAATAATGGAATAAGAAAGAGTACAATGATAAAATAAGAAATAATACAATTATGGAATAAGAAAGAATACAATGATGGAATAAGAAAGAATACTAGGATAGAATAAGAAAAAAATACAATTTGAATGGGAAAGAATACAATGATGGAATGGGAAAGAATACCATGATGGAATAACAAAGAATACAATGATGTAATAACAAAGAATACAATGATGTAATATGAAAGAATACAATGATGGAATAAGAAAGAATACAATGATGGAATAACAAAGAATACAATGATGTAATAACAAAGAATACAATGATGCAATAAGAAAGAATACAATGATGGAATAAGAAAGAATACCATGATGGAATAACAAAGAATACAATGATGTAATAACAAAGAATACAATGATGTAATAAGAAAGAATACAATGATGGAATAAGAAAGAATACCATGATGGAATAACAAAGAATACAATGATGTAATAACAAAGAATACAATGATGTAATAAGAAAGAATACAATGATGGAATAAGAAAGAATACAATGATGGAATAACAAAGAATACAATGATGGAATAAGATAGAATACAATAATGGAATAAGAAAGAATACAATGATGGAATAAGAAAGAATACAATAATGGAATAAGAAAGAATACAATGATGGAATAAGAAAGAATACAATGATGGAATAAGAAAGAATACAATGATGGAATATAAAAGAATACAATAATGGAATATAAAAGAATACAATAATGGAATAAGAAAGAATACAGTGATGGAATAAGAAATAATACAATGATGGAATAAGAAAGAATACAATGATGGAATAAGAAATAATACAATGATGGAATAAGAAAAAATACAATGATGGAATATAAAAGAATACAATAATGGAATATAAAAGAATACAATGATGGAATAAGAAATAATACAATGATGGAATAAGAAAGAATACAATGATGGAATTTAAAAGAATACAATAATGGAATATAAAAGAATACAATGATGGAATAAGAAAGAATACAATGTTGGAATAAGAAAGAATACAATGTTGGATTAAATTAAAATCTTAAAATTAATATATGTACTTTTCCATTTTTTAAATCAGAGCGAAATATTCCCACAACCTCCTTTTTGGATGTTTTTCAATATTTTCTCCTCAAACATTTTATTTTTGTTATTTATTATAAATAAATTATTTACTTACCAATTAAACGGTTTTTAATTATGAAGCACCGCAGTCCAGTTTCCACGGATCCTAATTTCTCAAAAGTATTTCCTCAGTTGCGTGCTAAGGTTCAAGGTATCCACACCTAACGCGCGTATATTGTTAAACGTGAAATTTCGCGTACAGCGCCCATGTGAAGATTTTGTGATAATTAAAAATGATTTTGTTTTCTACAATATTATTGTGTTGCATGATCTTTAAACCAGTAATGGGTGAGTAGATACATATCACCCCGGATTAACCAGAGTGAGAAGCATTCGGTTTTATCTATTTGAAATTAAACGTGCTTTGGTCTATGAGGCACAAATCTTTGAATTTACGGATTTGGTGTTCTATACTTTTTTACTCAAAATGCATATGCCGACTAAAAAGTATTTAAGAATAAAGGCTAAAAATTATGTTTAATGGGTCAAATTGTGATCGAATGTCACAGTTATCGGGAGTATTGGCAGAACCTTTAAATCCACGTGATATCAACGTATCGGGAGTATTGGCAGAACCTTTAAATCCACGTGATATCAACGTATCGGGAGTATTGGCAGAACCTTTAAATCCACGTGATATTAACGTATGTGTCTGTAAGTTCATTTAAAATTTTACTTGTGGGGCAGAATAAATAGTTGGCGCTTTTTTTTTGCTGCCGCTTTAACATTTATGTAAAGGTGCTTTAAAGAGTCGCAACGGTTTTTTTTACACCGATATTTTACGTAAAAAACAAGAACAACGAAGTGCTAATGTCTGCATCAAAATAATTAAGTCATATTTTAATTTTTTATTCAAAATCCGTCAAAAATACACCCTTCCTGTGGGGTTTTTTAAATAATTGAAAACGTTTTACGGACGCTTAAAATTCTTCATTTTTTCAACATCACAGTTGTGAACAATGGTTAATAACTTTATTATTAACTAAGCTACATGGATAAAATTTATATAATTGAAAAGCCTTTGAAAATTAGATGTATTAACATGTGTCTCATGTTAATATTTGGTAAAATTAAAAATAATTATTTTTAAACATTTTTCCGACGTAGTTTTTGAACTTATTTATTGGTAATGAGCGGCCTTGAAAAATTGGACCAAGGACATGTTTCACACTCCCCTATCTTAACTCTAATGGCAAAATCATTGTGGGGGGTGGGGAATGGAAAACCCCTCCCCCCCCCCCAAGCCTATTTTAGTTAAAAATAGTCCAATCGGGAAAGGGTTATCTCAGTAAAAATATATGAAATAGCAAATACGAAAATTTTAAAGAAGAAAATTTTACCAACGAATTTCAAAACTTAAAAATAAGTGTTTATATTCTATAATTGTATATGTTTAGGGCTACAAAAAAATAAGAGCGTTCTTGCAACACTTTAAAGTCATGGCATATAAATCTTTTTATTGAGTCACTATTTCTATCTAAATATGAACTTTCCTAAATCTTCAGGATGTGAGGGAAAAAGCTGTGGATCAATTTACTGCAAGGAATCAGGAGCAAAATATTTGTTTTTAAATGGATTATGAACATAAGTTTCCGACCAAAAATTAGAATTTTTAAATTTTGTTCCGGTGTTTTTCTCGTCTCAGAAGTTAGAAAAAAGTTTTGAAAAAATGGTTTTAAAATCAATTTAAGCATGTTTAAGACCATGTTGTTCTTTTTTTCCAAAAAGCTTGTTCAAAAAACAGATGCTATTCATGAAAACTGTATCGATCACCTCTAGATTTGTATGTTTACTCTGCATGTCTCCATTTCTCTGTGATAATTGTCTAGGGCTACAAAATGTGCTGTAAGATCAAAGCCCAAGGCGTTGCGACCGTTCAAAATCAATCCAGTCCTGAACATGTCAGAGCAGTCTAAATCTATGTGATTGTCAGCCGCTCTAATTGTATCTTGTTTCATAACGTTTCCCGTTTGCGATTCTTTGGCAGACAAATAGACACACAAATATCAATTTTAGGATACAATAAATATTACCCTTGAGTTGACAAACATGGAAAAAGAATACGCTTGAAAACGTCTAAATAAATATATCTTCATGTTATACAATCCAATATTGGGGTATTTACAATACGCAGAATTAGTAATATTTTTTTCGCGCATTTTCAAAATTTAACAAATATCTAAGACTTTTGGATTCAAGTTTTGTAACTTTGAGCATCCATAAGCCTTCCCTGTGGTCTTTTGAGGTCCACCCATTTGGGGCCCAATCGGCTCAGCCGTTTCGGCGTTTATTGGATACAAACGGACAGACAGACAGACTTGCAAAGTATATGTAAAGATGTCATATGCTGATGAAAGTTTTAAGCCCTTTTTGATTTGTAACATTTTTTAGCCCCATGTTATGGGGTCAAATTAGAATCAAAAGACTAATAAAATTTTCATAAAGAACAATCTATATTTCACAAACAATCTATTGCCCCGAAGAATCATGAAGAGAGGTTTGGAACATGTCTGGACTCTGCCAACTGTAGTCCCAAGGCTGGATCTTTTTCTGAACTCTGTCTTAGAAAAAACCAAGTTTGCTGTGTCGGTGAGATAAAATGGATTTTCGTTTGGGTCTGAATTGATATGAGTAAGAAACGATGCAGACTTCTTTTGAAGTCATTTTTGTGGGGGGACCGGGGAAATCAACTCTGTCAATTTTCTTTTGGAAGATTTTTCGCTTTTCCACCAAAAATTTCAAAATGTAAATCTGAAATTATCCAGGGCTACAATAAAGTTTGAGTACAGTAAATCGACTTCAAAGTAGATCCGACTTTGGTAATTGATGCATAATTTTCATGTCTGTCCGATCTCTAAGTAATTTAAATTTGATTGTTAATTTTTGCTTTATTTCCAGCTGAATATAAATGTGGATCTATAACCTCTGATCTAGTTTCTTACTTCCAGGTAAGGAATAATATATATAGTGTAATTTAGTCGAAAAAAAAGTGTAAAACGACCATTTTGTTGTTCCGGTATAACCGTATTACAAGTGTACTGGTATAACCGTATTACAAGTGTGCTGGTGTAACCGCATTACAAATGTACCGGTGTAACCATATTACAAGTGTACTGGTGTAACTGTATTACAAATGTACTGGTGTAACCGTATTACAAATGTACTGGTGTAACCGTATTACAAGTGTACTGGTGTAACCGTATTACAAATGTACTGGTGTAACCGTATTACAAATGTACTGGTGTAAAAGTATTACAAGTGTACCGGTGTAACCATATTACAAGTGTACTGGTGTAACCGTATTACAAGTGTATTGGTGTAACCGTATTACAAGTGTACTGGTGTAACCATGTTACAAGTGAACTGGTGTAACCGTATTACAAGTGTACTGGTGTAACCGTATTACAAGTGTACCGGTGTAACCATATTATAAGTGTAATGGTGTAACGAAATTACAAGTGTACTGGTGTAACCATATTACAATTGTACTGGTGTTACCGTATTACAAGTGTACTGGTGTAACAATATTACAAGTGTACTGGTGTAACCAAATTACAAGTGTACTGGTGTAACCATATTAAAATTGTACTGGTGTTACCGTATTACAAGTGAACTGGTGTAACCGTATTATAAGTGTACTGGTGTAACCGTATTACAAGTGTACTGGTGTAACCGTATTACAAGTACACTGGTGTAACCGTATTACAAGTGTACTGGTGTAACCGTATTACAAGTGTACCGGTGTAACCGTATTACAAGTGTACTGGTGTTACCGTATTACAAGTGTACTGGTGTTACCGTATTACAAGTGTACTGGTGTTACCGTATTATAAGTGTACTGGTGTAACCGTATTACAAGTGCACTGGTGTAACCGTATTACAAGTGTACTGGTGTAACCATATTACAAGTGCACTGGTGTAACCGTATTACAAGTGTACTGGTGTAACCGTATTACAAGTGCACCGGTGTAACCGTATTACAAGTGTACTGGTGTTACCGTATTACAAGTGTACTGGTGTAACCGTATTACAAGTGTACTGGTGTAACCGTATTACAAGTGTACTGGTGTAACCGTATTACAAGTGCACTGGTGAAACCGTATTACAAGTGTACTGGTGTAACCGTGTTACAAGTGTACTGGAGTAACCGTATTCCAAGTGTACTGGTGTAACCGTACTTCACCCATTTTTGCTCTAAAACATTTGTGGACCCTGCCCCGGTAGTCCTTTATTACCATTTAATTACGAACAACAATTAATGCGTTTAAATTTTTAATCAATTATTGATCTAGGAGGAACTTTGCTCGAATAATAAAGTTACCCTCCTTTGTTACAGGGGCGTGTTTAATTTACAACGGTCCCATTTAAAATCATATGAAATCTTTTTTTAATTTTTTAGAACTTTGAGTTTCCTAGAAATATTGAGTCTGCCTCACTTTGCAGTCATATTGTCAAGGTAAATAGAAAACATTCACTTTGCAGCCATATTGTCAAGATAAATGGAACATTCACCTTGAAGCCATATTGTCAAGGTAAATAGAGCATTCACTTTGCAGCCATATTGTCAAGGTAAATAGAAAACATTCACTTTGCAGTCATATAGTCAAGGTAAATAGAGCATTCACTTTGCAGCCATATTGTCAAGGTAAATAGAAAACATTCTCTTTGCAGTCATATTGTAAAGGTAAATAGAAAACATTCACTTTGCAGTCATATTGTCAAGGTAAATAGAAAACAATTACTTTGCAGCCATATTGTCAAGGTGAATAGAAAACATTTCTTTGCAGTCATATTGTAAAGGTAAATAGAAAACATTCACTTTATAGTCATCTTGTAAAGGTAAATAGAAAACATTCACTTTGCAGCCATATTGTCAAGGTAAATAGAAAACATTCACTTTGCAGTCATCTTGTAAAGGTAAATAGAAAACATTCACTTTGCAGCCATGTTGTCAAGGTAAATAGAAAAACATTCACTTTGCAGTCATCTTGTAAAGGTAAATAGAAAACATTCACTTTGCAGTCATATTGTAAAGGTAAATAGAAAACATTCACTTTGCAGCCACATTGTCAAGGTAAATAGGTTACATTCACTTTGCAGCCATATTTTCAAGGTAAATAGAAAACATTCACTTTGCAGCCATATTTTCAAGGTAAATAGGATACATTCACTTTGCAGCCATATTGTCAAGGTAATTTTTATTCTCATTTTGTAGCAATATTGAAAAGATAATTTTTACAATCTTTTTGCAGCCATATTGTGAAGGTATAACGTTACAATTACTTTTTTGCAGCCATATTGAAAAAGTTAACTTTACAATAACTTTGCAGCCATATTGAAAAACTAAACTTTACAATCACTTTGTAAAGGTAAATCTTATTCTAATTTTGCAGCCATATTGTAAAGTTAAACTTTATTCTTTTTATGCAGTCATATTGTAAAGCTAAACTTTATTCTTATTTTGCAGCCATATTGTAAAGGAAAACTTTATTCTTACTTTGCAGCCATATTATCAAGATAAAAAGTTTGCAATCAGATTCAGCTTCAAAGGTGGGGGTGGGGTCTCTCTAAAAACAGACGGTAGTTGGGGTAGTTGGGTTTAACTACCCTATCTATATAGAAACTACCCTCACTACCCCAACTACCTTCAGTTTTTAAAGAGACCCCATCCCCACTCTTTGATTATTCTTTGCGCATGGTATACAATAGACAAAAAAAGGCATTTTGTACATACAGATGCAGCCTCCCCCGCACATCACCCTTGAAGCTAAATCTGAATGGCAACTACCCTTACTACCCCAACTACCGTCTGTTTTTAGAGAGACCCCACCCCCACCCTTGAAGCTAAATCTGTATAGGAACTACCCTCACTACCCAAACTACCTTAAGTTCTTAAAGAGACCCCCCGCACTCTTCTTTACGCATAGTATACAATATGGGTATCGATTCTCATTAAATCAATTGTTTTAAGCGTTTCTGGCATTCTTAACACTCTCCGACCTTAACTAACCTCACCATACACCTTCTGAAGGGTGCACATTTCGTAGTCATATTATACATACAGCAGTTCCTTTGCACCCATATTGACAATGTAAATAGGTTGCAGTCCCTTTGCAGCCCTATTGTCAAGATAAATAGGTTGTAATCCCGGTTTGCAGCCATATCGTCAAGATAAATAGGTTGTTATCCCTTTGCAGCCATATTTTCAAGACAAACGGGTTATAATCCCTTTGCAGCCATATTGTCAAGGTAAAAAGGTTGCAATCCCTTTTCAGCCATATTGTCAAGGTAAAAATGTTGCAATCCCTTTGCAGTCATATTATCAAGATAAATAGGCTGTAATTTTTTGGCAGCCATATTTTAAAGGACAAGATATCAAGTTTGTTTTAAGTCAAAAAACAAAAAAGCCGAGGAAATTATTTAAAACTTCAGAATAAAAAAAAAAGTTTATTATTTTCTCTTCGGATTAAAAGAACAGATGAAACCTTTTCACTAATATTTTTGCAAAAATATAAAAAATTACAAAATGGTTTTCCGTTTCTTATTGAAACCATGTTAAATTTTTAAAACTTTAAACGATCATTATAACCTATTTTTAAGTGAACAATCTCTTTAATTATAATTTCTATTTAGATTCAGCCTGGTATCTGTAGTGCTCAACTATACTTTGACTCATTCTCTATAGGAGAGCGTGATCCTGGAGGTAGAGATAGACATCATATCTTTATTTAAAATTTTTTTTTTTTAACTAGAATTTGAGCAGCTTAAAGGGACTGTAGGCCTAAAATCTGAGCAGCTTAAAGGGAATGTAGGCCTAAAATATGAGCAGTTTAAAGGGACTGTAGGTCTAAAATCTCAGCAGTTTAAAGTAACTATAGGCCTAAAATCTGATCAGTTTAAAGGGAATGTAGGTCTAAAATCTCAGAAGTTTAAAGTAACTGTAGGCCTAAAATCTCAACAGTTTAATGGGACTGTAGGTCTAAAATCTCAGCAGTTTAAAGGGACTGTAGGCCTAAAATCTGATCAGTTTAAAGGGACTGTAAGCCTAAAATCTGAGCAGTTTAAAGGGACTGTAGGCCTAAAATCTCAGCAGTTTAAAGGAACTGTAGGCCTAAAATCTGATAAGTTTAAAGGGACTATAGGCCGAAAATCTTATCAGTTTAAAGGAACTGTAGGCCTAAAATCTGAGCAGTTTAAAGGGACTGTAGGCCTAAAATCTGATCAGTTTAAAGGGACTGTAGGCCTAAAATCTGAGCAATTTAAAGGGACTCTAGGCCTAGAATCTAATCAGTTTAAAGGGACTGTAGGCCTAAAATCTGAGCAGTTTAAAGGGACTGTAGGCCTAAAATATGATCAGTTCAAAGGGACTGTAGGCCTTAAATCTGAGCAGTTTAAAGGAACTGTAGGCCTAAAGAATGAGCAGTTTAAAGGGACTGTAGGCCTAAAATCTGAGCAGTTTAAAGGAACTGTAGGCCTAAAATATTAGCAGTTTAAAGGGACTATAGGCCTAAAATCTGAGCAGTTTAAAGGTAGGCCTAAAATATGAGCAGTTTAAAGGAACTGTAGGCCTAAAATCTGAGCAGTTTAAAGGGACTGTAGGCCTAAAATCTGAGCAGTTTAAAGGGACTGTAGGCCAAAAATATGAGCAGCTTAAAGTAACTGTAGGCCTAAAATCTGAGCAGTTTAAAGGAACTGTAGGCCTAGAATTTGAGGAGTTTAAAGGGACTGTAGGCCTAAAATCTGAGCAGTTTAAAGGGACTGTAGGCCTAAAATCTGAGCAGTTTAAAGGGACTCTAGGCCTAGAATCTGATCAGTTTAAAGTGACTGTAGGCCTAAAATCTGAGCAGTTTAAAGGAACTGTAGATCTAAAATCTGAGCAGTTTAAAGGGACTGTAGGACTAAAATCTGAGCAGTTTAAAGTTACTGTAGGCCTTAAATCAAGTGGCCTTTCGTTTTGTTATTCACTGAGCAGTATGAGTTAAATATCCTTGTCCATCTTTTTGAAATATGATTATTTTCAGTTGAGGTTTATAAAAGTGATTTGCGCATTACCACTGGAAAACAATGGGGAACTTATCAGTATTAAACACTTTTCAAGAATTTTAATTGTATGCTAAACAAGTTTTGGTTTTACCCACTAAGCTGGCACAAAACATGTTCACTTTGACAGAAGATTTACGCCTGAATGATTTTTCAAATCGCTACTTCACTATAGTTTCAGTAGAAGTAAATATTTCCATTTACTGATAGTGCCGATTAAAGGGTTCATGTCTCTAATTAGAGAATGCAATAGATAGAAAGATAGATGTTACTGCCATACTATTTCTATTGGTTCAGACATGACTGAACCCTGATTGGATCAGGCACTAATGGACTCAGCATACAGAAGTGACTTAGGTTGCTTTGTAAAAATTATGGTTTCTCTGTGCAGTAGCAACATTAAAGTTAAAATCCTAAGTGTAAAAAGGGACTGTAAGCGTAATTTTACGTGACCGTTTCCATACAAAGATTGCAATGCCATTATCTGATAAATGACCGGGGTTTCTAGACTTTAAAGTGTTTGATTGTGATATTTCCTATATAATTTACTGCAGTAGAAATGTGGAGAATTCACAATCAAGAATAATCAGTTTTTAAAATTATAAACATTAATATCTAATAAATACTTGATTTGAAAAAAGGTTTCAAAGTACCGATGTAAATCGGACATGCCACTTTATCAATGAAGGAATACCTTTAATCAAAACGACAGTCCCTTAAAATGTTTTTAAAAATGGTTGAACTATGATGACTAAAAACTACCTGTAGGTGTCTGCTCCCATGACTGGTTTACTGTTATTGGATCAGCTGACCAGCAGCCGGCTCCACTACTTTGCGGCCAGATGGATTCATACTCAAGTAAGTCAAAATAGGGCTGCTAGCGGAAACAAATTCCCCGAAAAAGTTGGCGCAAATTTGCTTACAACTTCCGCAAATTTTTGCATTTTTGTTTTACAGTAAGTTTTGCGGAAGCATACGCAAACAGTGCACAATTAAGCGCAAAAAAATCTCGGAAATTTTGAAGAAAAACACTTTTACCAAAGTTGAAATTTATATTTTCCGTCCAGCATTGGAAGCTAAAAAAAATATCTTAAAATCTGATTCAAAGTTAAACTACAGGAGTTTAATTGATCAGTTGTAAAAGATAATTGTTTCCTAGTTGGCCGCTCTTTCTCTTTTAAAGTTTTGTCTGTTTTTAGTTGAGGATTTCTGAGTTTCTTTTAAATAAAAAAATTTGTTGTTCAGCAAAATACTTTCCTGGGGTCATGTGAGTTCCCACAGAAAATTTGTTTATTAACGATCCAGCTGTTTTGACGGTTATTGGAAACAGACAGACAAACGGACACACCACGTACATAGATTTTGTTCAGTGATAGTTCCTGTAGTGGAAGATCAAAATCTCATAATTAGCGCTGGAATTCAGAGTTTAGGTAAACCATTCATTTGAGATAATATAGATATAGATATAGATATAGATATAGATATAGATATAGATATAGAAGATCAAAATCTCATAATTAGCGCTGGAATTCAGAGTTTAGGTAAACCATTCATTTGAGATAATATAGATATAGATATAGATATAGATATAGATATAGATATAGAAGATCAACATCTCATAATTAGCGCTGGAATTCAGAGTTTAGGTAAACCATTCATTTGAGATAATATAGATATAGATATAGATATAGATATAGATATAGATATAGAAGATCAACATCTCATAATTAGCGCTGGAATTCAGAGTTTAGGTAAACCATTCATTTGAGATAATATTATAGGATAGGATAGAGTGGATAGGATCACTGAAATTTCAAAGCACAGACCTTGTAACCTTTTTAAACTTTCTAGATATAACCAAAGAGAATAGAATATATTGTAGCAGGAAAATGATGTTTTGATCTTTCCTGCGACTGTAAATAGCATTTTGTTTATCATTATTTTTACCCTTCGTTCGCACTCAACCCCATTTTGCCTTCCCCCCCCTTACCCTTACTGATATTTAACGGGTTTTCTTGTTTATGTTTGGTTTCTATATTTAACCCAAGCCACGCGGAGAAATCCGTTATCTCCGAACCCGGGAGCTGGTGAGCTGGCCGGCCAGCTCACAGGGCGTGGGGTAGAATGCGAACTAAGGGTGGAGCGAAACAGAGGGAAAAAAGGCAGTTGTGATTCAGCTCCCTTGAATTAAGGTTCCCTTGAAGAATTCCCCTATTTGACGAAACTAATTTGATTAACAATATTTAATTTGTGTAAGTGAGACGATGAAAATGAAAATGTAAAATGTCTCCTGTTTGATAGATCTGATTAGATTCATAATATCTCGTTTGTATTAGTATCGTTCGATTTAAAGTTTGTATCTTTTGTATATAAATATATTGTAAGAAAAACCGACGCGTTGAATATTTGAGAAACTCAGTGCATTGCTTTATTGATTTTTATTCATATACTATAATATATTAGAGTGGAATTTACTAGAAAAAAGTGTAAAACAGCCATTTTGTTGTACTGTTTCCATACTGCAGGTGTACTTCACATGTTTGCGTTGTATAACCTTTTGGGCCCTGGAACATCATTTTGTAGAAAATCTAAAATTAATAGAAAACCAAATTATGAAATAGGCTGGTTTCATAATTGACCAATGATCATTTCACCTTTCACTTTACAAACGATGATTTTCCGTTATAGCTACAAATCAAATGATTTTTTTTATTCACCTAATTCATTATAAAGTTTATTTAACAGCTTTAAAAAATTTGAAATTGAAATGGACAGTCTAGGGAACATACTGTATTAATGTACTCTACTGCATATAATTTGTGAACATTTACATGATTTGTACACTTTAAACTCCCTTTCAGGCTGAAAGGGACTGAAAAAGGGATTGTCTAAATTCAACTCTAATATATATTCTATTCTCTTTGGATATAACTATTAATATTAATTGTTATTATAATAATAATATTATTTTTTGAACGTTTAGGTGGTAGATGGAATATTGGTGTTATTCAGTTACCTTGTATCTCTCAAGTTTATGAAGTATCAGGTATATGCTATAATACAGAGTGTTCCAATAAGTATTACAAAAAAATGGCGAATTCAGAATATTCTTATTCGCCTTATGCATATATTTGTAATCTAATAATACTGGTATAACATACTGACAACTGTGCAGTCGTCTCTGAAATGTAACCATATAAAAAGTTTTCTTAAAGGAATTGAGTCTTTGCCACAGACCTTGATTTTCTAATTCTTATATATTCGTAACCCAATGTCATACTCGTAGACCTTGGATATTTCAAACTTTGAATTCTGTTAGATCAAAAAATCTAAGTTTGAAATATCAAAAGTCTACACCCAAAGGTTGCCAAGATATAGGAATTACAAAATTTGAGTTTGTGGCAAAGACTCAATTTCTTTAGATTTAGTTTTTGAATTCTATCTGAATTCATGCTAGATATTCTAATTTGAAATATCAGTTTATATAAGCATCATGTTGTAAGCTAGAATATTGAGTTAGAGAAATTAGAGCTTGAGGCAAGAAATCATGGTACTTTTGTAAAAAAACAGTATATAATATACTGTAGCGACGAAAGGAATAAGACCAAATGAATAAGACCAAATGAATAAGACCAAATAAACTGACTGAATATATATTTATCAAAAACAGTATTTATACTAGATGCAGTATATCATAATCTAAACAATAACATGTGAAGTATGAAATATGCTGTGTACTGCATTCCAGGAATCCAGGGGCGCCACAATACATCATTTAAACCTACACTTTTTTGACATGAAATCATAGAAACGCAATTAAACGATTTTTAAAATTATTTTTTATAATTCTTAAGAAACCTATAATGTATTTAGTTCTGAAATAAAAAAAACTTATTTTTAATTAGAATATTTTTCTAACATTTTTACAATTTGTAGGGTTAAGTGATTGCCTGGGTTCGATACAAGCTACAAACAGGTTAGCTAGCTAGTTAATCTCTTGATAGACATAGGATAAGGTCAAATTTATGCGACATTATTGGTATGACTTTGCGACGCCATGGTTCCTCTAGTTTAGATTTTGTGCACAAGTATGAGTAAAGCAAATTCTTCCGGATACTCATGAGAAATTCATCTGGATACTCATGAGAAATTCATCCGGATGCTCATGAGATATTCATCAGGATACTCATGAGAAATTCATCCGGATACTCATGAGAAATTCATCCGGATACTCATGAGAAATTCATCTGGATACTCATGAGAAATTTATCCGGATACTCATGAGAAATTTATCCGGATACTCATGAAAAATTCATCCAGATACTCATGAGAAATTCATCAGGATACTCATGAGAAATTCATCTGGATACTCATGAGAAATTTATCCGGATACTCATGAGAAATTCATCCGGATACTCATGAGAAATTCATCCGGATACTCATGAGAAATTCAACACATGTTGTGCTTCTCAATAGCTCTTAAATAAGAGGAGTTAAAGAGACCGTAAAGGAAAAATGTAAGTGGGTATAGGCTGAAACATTAGAATTTCATGAGTTGAACGATACCTATAAGACATCATCTGATGTTCTTGTCACGAGAAATTGACATAAAACTGTGTCAAAATTATACCAAAACGTATATATGTTAGATATACGTCGGTATCACGTGACCAGAACTTCCTCCATTGGCAGCGCAGTAAACTGGTCACGTGATACAGACGGAGACATGTGATAATAATACTACACTGCCATTGATTGGAGTTCTGGTGACATGTTCCGGACGCATAAATAATATTATCAATTATATCTATTAAAAATGAAAAGTTATTAAATTCCATTAATAATAGGAGCAAACTTAAGTTTCTCTAGCTCCTCTAAGAGTTCGTTGTTTTCAGATTGGTTGCGTATGTGTTGGATATGATCTGTTTAATACTACGAGAATCTTATACAAAATCTTACATATATACGTTTTTGTATAGTTTTGACACAGTTTTGACACAATTGCTCAAGACAGGAACATCAGATAGAACTCTTATATGTCTGAGATTCTCAGGTTTCAGTCTATACCCCCTTTCATATTTCCTTTACAGTCCCTTTAAGTTCAGTTTGGCGTTGGAGACATTTCATAGAAAGACGTCACATAACATAGATATTCGTAGATTTAACATGGACAGAGACAAATCTGTATTATTTAATCGTTAAATAATCTATAATAAACTATTTATAAAACTGTTATTTTGGTTCGCAGTGTTGTAAAGTTTTTGGACAGAAATTTTCTCTTTATCAAGAACCTTCGAGATATAGAGAAAATTTAAGTCCAAGAACTTTATAACACTGCGAACCAAAATAATAGTGTTATAGGTAAATTAATGAAACGTTTGTGTACTTATATTATTTCAATGGTTTTTTCTAGATCAAATAAGCTTAGAAACAAAGCAGCTGTCAAAATATAAAGTTGATTTCAATTTTATTTTCATTTCAATTGAAAAAAAATAATTTTTCTGGAGAAAATCTGTGAACCATGCAAAACTTTAAAGAACAAGTGCTTTAATGTACAGCTAATTACTTTATAGCACGTTCATTTTGAAATAGAGCCAGGAAGAATGATAAAGTACACATTAGTTTCATAAATTAATATATTAAGATATCGAGAGAGTTAGTTTGAGAAAAAGGAAATAATGAATTGATTCTCTGATGTCATAATCCTTATATCTTTGCAATCCTTATATCTTTGAATTCTGTTGATTAAATAGTTTAAGTTTGACATCTGAAAGGTTTGCAATATCAGACTGAAAAGATATGGGGTTGAGGCAAATTTGAGTTTGTAGCAAGAACTTAGTTCCTTTACTTTGTCGATCTAAGAAAAATCTTCTCTATGTATGAAACGTTAAATCTGAAATGTCTTTGAAATTTCCTTTTTATAAAATGTCTTTCTATAAAATGTCTCAGAACCTGAAAAATATAAAGAAATGCTTATTTTCTTTCTGAAAATTTTTAATTTGCGATTGAGGTTTTAAAGTACAAATAAATTAAGTTCTAGCCACAAACTCTAATTTTGTAATCCCTATATCTCAGCAATCCATTGTTTTTTGTTATAGTTATAGTATAGTGGATGTTGAACTAATATGCGCAGGACAAGAAATATCTAGATTTCAATATTAAAATGTTATTTTTTAGACAAAGTCGTGGTTATGTAGAAACTTTATTCTCACAGCAAACCCAACGACAACAACCGTTCAAGGTAGAAGCAATACAATTCTGAGACGATAAGTTTATGAATGGGGTTGTTAATTTGGTTCAAAGTAGACATAATAATCCAAACATTTAGAAAATTCCAATTTACCACTCTGTTCTGTCAAGCATTTTTTGTCAGAAACACATGCAATGGGCCATACTGAATTAATGTTCCTTGAAATGTTGTGTAGAACAATTGATATATTCCCAAATGAAAATCATTAAAGGTGAAATGTAATGAAATTTATGATAAAATATCATTATTCTAGTGGAATGATAAAATCAAAAGTATTTTTTATCTTACTTTTTTTGGATATACTTTAATGATAATTATGGGAGATTTTGGGACAAAATCTTTGCATATTTTTTGCAAATATCTGACCGTCTCGTTTTTGCTACAGTTTGCAGAAACACACATTTTTAGGTAAATCTTAGATAGATAAATTTAACCAAAAGATTTCTTAAATGTCTTAAGATAATATATATTTAAACTAATTTTCTTTTGTTAAGATAAACTTTAACGGCGCAGAATATATTTATCACAAGTCCTTCGGCCAGCTCCATCCAGAATATTCAGCAAACCTTAGACATCAGAATCCAAGTAACCAAGGAAAAAGAAATATTAAAATAGACATATTTTGTATTTTTAACCGATTTTTAACAGTCAAAACTTATCTGTTAAATGGCGCGAATCTTTAACGATTGATCTGGATATCTATTGTGATAACTTTTGAATTTGATAGTGCTATCCTTTTAATTTAGTTATCCTTGCAGGGTCTAATCACCACGGGATATCCAAGAGGAATTAATGCTGGATTCCTAGATTTACAATACAAAAGTTCAGGATACATTGCAAAGCTGTAAAAGCTACAGATCACTAAATAAGTAGCAGTTATTCTGTAATAATATATTACTATCTTTGGTAGCTAAACTAAAACTAATTTTCCCCAAAACGTCAACTTTCTTTTTTAAATATTTAAACCATGCTAGGAACATTTGTCCATATAAAATTAAGGCAAATCGGCCAAGGGGTTCGTGAGTTAAAAAATACTTTAAATATAAATGATTGCATATAAAAATGTTGTTTGTCAGGGGTATAACCACTACACAACATTCTTTTAAACACCAGGAATGAATATTTCTTGCCAAGGAGGGACAACCGAGCCACCTAAACTTATAACATGGGGCTCAGTGTCCCAGATGAGAGACCTCGAAAGGAAATCCAATACCAGAGAACAATGGAAATCCAGCAATAGCAGACTATATTCTAAATATATTATTCCACTAGGAAAATAGAAAAAAAAATTAAAAATTAAAAAAAATTGATAAAATGAAATTGAATCTTTAGAAAAAATGAAAAGCAATTTTTTTTCTCTTAGTTAAAGGCGATGAACATGAGGAAATTCGAGAGATTGTTTCAAATTTAAAAGAAATGGAACCTGCACAAGAAGGGGATCTAGAAGAAAACAAGAGAAGAACAAATCTATCCAAACAGAAAGGTTAGCTTAAGCTTAAGCATTCTTTTAAGTGAACTTCCATTTATACATCGAGACTTTTTGTTAATATACGGAAATAGCCGCTATAGAAAAGAAATTAACGGTTTATAAAGAAAATAAAAACGGTGTCTTTCGTTAATTTTTCATCCTAAAATTGCATACAACAGAAAATAAAAAATGAATTTTGTGTATTTTGACGTTGTTTGACGTGTTTTTTATTGTTGTCTTCAACGTTAACATTTAAAAATAACGGAAAATACTGTTAACGAACGGAATATTCCGTTTTTAGGTAGATAACGAATGAACGGCTACCTATTAAGTTTGTTTGATGATTTTTAATAACTGTTAACGAACGGAATGTTTCGTTTTTAGTTAAATAGCGAACGATCAGCAACCTAAAAATTTTGTTATTGATTTTTACTAACTTTTAAAGAACGTCTTGAAAAAAGTTTGAACTGTGAAAAATCACGTGCTTTTAAAATAAAAAGACAATTTTATTATTTTAATCAGTTTGCAATCTTTTATTTCATTTTATTTATATTAATCAGTTTGCAATCTTTTATCTCATTATATTTATATTAATCAGTTTGCAATCTTTTATCTCATTTTATTTATATTAATCAGTTTTACTTATTTCCCCCCCTCCTTTTCCAGATAACCTAGGCTAAATCCCCACAATTTTCACTATTCCCTAACCTAAACAATCTCCTCATCCCCCCCCCTCAACCCTCCTAAATATTAAAATAAAACCATCTACTCCCCTGCCACCCAAACATAAATCTAAGCCTTGAGACCATATGGTTTGATATCAAAGCAATTAATGAAACTATACATTATGATGCATAATTATGATTCAAAGATTTCAAAGATTGAACAGTAACTGAGTTGCAGATAGCAGATTGAAAGAAGTAATTGATGAAGATTCGGATAGTTGTACTACTTCTATATTCTGAAGTTTATTTGGGCAAACGTTATAATAAAATTCGATAAAATAAATGTTACGATGCATGTTCTAATAAAAGTTAAAAAATGTAGAAAACTATTCCAACACTATCTGTATTATTTCTGTTTTGATAAAGCCATGTCAAGGATATGTTAATATTTTATACATTTCATATAAATGTATATTCATTAACAATTCCTAACAATTTCAGTTTTTAATTGTATTTCTTAAATTTGCGAATTTAAAGCGTTCTAAAGTGTTCGGGGAATTTTCTTTTAAAATTGGCACATTTTGAATATTTCATAAACCTTCTTTTGGTGTTATTTGTTTGCTACAAAAACATTGAGCCTAATCCGTTCAACCGTTTTGACGTTTATTAGACACAAACTATGTAATATAGGGTTTGCGCACTTTTTGCTAGCGGTCCTAATACATTATTGCAAAAGTGCGCACATCCCCTTATCCCCCTTTTAGTATACTCACATTGTTTGACTATAGTTTTATTCAACTGCTAAGTACGCTTTAATCTATTTGACATATGGTTCATGATTGCGCAGAATTTTGAATTAAGTATTCAAATTTTTTATTCATTCTTATACAATGGTCGGACCAGGGTCAAATAATAGTACAGTGAAATTAATCTTTTAGATAATTAAACTCTTGCAGTTGCACACCGCACTTGGGTGTATTATGCAAGTATTATGCAATCAAAATACAAGACAATAATATTTTGGGGAAAGAATACAAGAGCAAATGATGTCATGAAAAATTGTAGGTTATAGTTTAATTCTTAACATTTTCAAATTTCACCAATATCTTTAAAGTATAATTATCTATCTACTCTATAGTATATTTATTAGGCATTTATAATGTCTGTTTTATCTAACAAACATTAAAACGGCTGAACCGATCAGGTCAGAATTTTCCAAGGCGAATATTGATTTTTGTAATCTGCAAAATATTTAGTTTTGAGATACACACAATAAAAGTGGCTAGAAAACCAATGGTCTGTCTAAATTGAAAAGCGTTTCCAAACATATTTAAATTTCCTAAAAATGTTGGAAAATCACGAATGCGGAAAAATGTGCAAAATTGTTCATTAATATTACTAATAATGTGCGACAAAGAAAGAAATCAAAAGTGAATTGTCTCACAACCACATTTTGCCAATTTTACAATCTTTATTAAAATAATAATAAAATAATATGTAATAAAACAAGACATTCATATATATGTTGCGTATAGCCAAACGGCTGGACCGATTGGGCTGAATTTTTGTGTGGACACTCATAGGTGGTCGGCAAATTTTTTTTTTTTCCCCCACGGGCAACACCGGGCCCTTCAGCTAGTATTTCATAAAATTATAAAATCAAATTAACACATTTAAATGTTTTTTATTAACTTGTAGGATGCAAATATTAATGGTGATATATCTAACAGACTTATCTTAGATTTGCTTTAATAAATTGTGGATAATAAAGAACATAATGAAATAATAAAGAACATAATAAAGGATATAATAAAGAACATAAAAAAGAACAATAATTGGATAATAAAGAACATAATAAAGGATATAATAAAGAATATAAAAAAGAACAATAATTGGATAATAAAGAACATAACAAAGAACAATAATTGGATAATAAAGAACACAATAAAGGATATAATAAAGAACAATAATTGGATAATAAAGAACATAATAAAGGATATAATAAAGAACAATAATTGGATAATAAAGAACATAATGAAGAACAATAATTGGATAAACTAATCAGCTCCTTCTCCATTTACTGCAATATGATGAACAACAACACTCTAGTTTTCCATCAATTTGGTTTTATAGAAAAAAATGGAGTTCTCTGCCCACTGATCAGTCAAATGTTTAGAGGGTAACATTGTTGAAAATTTACATGCAGACCCTTTAAGTTCGTATCGGTGAGAGGGGGGGGGGGGAATAATTTTCTCCACTATTTACGTCTAACAAGCGGAGAAAATCCTTCCCCCCCCCTTTCTCTCCAACAACGTTGTCAATTCATCTTCTGTCAATAATTAGTTACTTCATATAAGGATGTTGTGTGTCCATTGCATTGAAGACGACATTTTTAGTACATTGGAGCACATCCAGAGATCTGACCTTACTATGCAACCTTGGTGCCAACTGAGTATAGCAACTCAAAACCTAAGAAACGTTAAACTTTTTATATTATTTTTTTATAAAGTAACTTTTTTCAGTTGCGGAGAGAACCTTAATGAGTAAAGGACGGAAGGGAAACGGAAACAAAAAGAGAAGAGAGGAAACTAAAAAGTGCGATTGTAACAGAAAGGTAAAGTCTTTTTATATTCAGTTAAACCCTAAATAAGCAAAAAAACGAGAGAATTTATTAAATGTCGTATTCTTCACTTTCTGATAATGGAATGTTGCAGATATTTAGTATTTAAATTAAATGATTATATAGAGCTCTTTAAAACCATTCCCACATATTCATGGTTATATCTTTATTTTCGCAAATACCGAGATTTACGTAAATAGTATAAAACCCATTAAAAAATTTACAAGACGACCTTTGATAAATTCTGTCGATCTATGGAGATAATTACGGGTTTAACTGTATAAAGTTGTAATTTCTGTTCGTCTGTTCGTTTGTATGTCCGATCATAACTCATGAACCCCTTGACCAATTTTATTTGGGAAATCAGGAATACAACAGAAATGTTCATTGCTTGATTTTGAGGATCTAAGTTTAGTGGATCCACTTTTAAAGGAAAAAATAGCTAAAATCGTAATTTTCGACCACGCGGCGGTAAACGGCGGGAGTATGCGTCTATGAGTACCCTGGGCAACACTGGGTTCTCTATTTGTTAAAAGAGAATATTTATACATTATTATCAATATGTATAAAATGAGTCTGTGTACAATTAACAATTTGTATGTTTCTTTTACATATTACTGTTTACAATCAAAGCTTTATAGCATCATAGCTTCGTTTCCTATTCCACTGGTTTTTTTGGCGTCTTCCTGGAGAATATGGAGATATTTTTTTCATAGACAAAAAGATCAATTGACTGTAATCTCAATTCATTTGATTATCTGGTATATCTTTATAAATTTAGTTTAACCCAGTACTGCTGAGACATCAAAATAAAATTTAAAATTGTCGCTTTTTAACTTACTAATAATGGAATGCTGCAGATATCTTTTTTAAATTTAATGATTATACTGAGCTCTTTTAAACTGTTCCTGCGAATTCATGTCTATTTATTAATTTTTCAAACTACTGAAATGTAGGTATACTAGTATAAAACCCCAAAAAAAAATAATCAAGACGACATTTTATAAATTCTTTCGATGTCTCCTATAAGTATTGGGTTAAACTAAATATTATTTTTTTGCTGCATAAAGATTTTTAGTAAATTAAAAAATCAAAAAATGCATAATAAAAAGATTTTATAATATTCAATAGTTTTTTATATGAAATCTAGACTTAAGGGAAAATTTTCAAGGTGCTCTTTTTCATCTTTCTCAAATAAACACAAACGTTTGCCGATTTTTCTGTTGAAATGGCAGAATTTTAAAAATAAAAACAGTGTTTGGTCTAATTTTTTCAATTTCAATCGGACATAAACCATACCTTAGGTCGTGTTAGTTACCAAAAAATTGGGTCCGTTCGGAAAATCGTTTTGACGTTTTTTAATACAAACGTCAAACAGACAAGGAAATTATACATATAGATTAAATTGTTATCCTAGGAACGACGACCGAGTACTTATGAAAATCTGCGTGGGTTTCCTAGCTCTGAATTTCCTTGGATTGTAAGTATAAAGTAATATTGATAAATACCTAATGACCACATGAATGAAACATCCGTTTTCAAGTCTATTATTTAGGTTGGAATAATGCAGAATGGATTTCTGATGTGTACAGGTAGAAATGAGGATCATTGGCCATTTTTTTCACAGTTTTCTGCTTATTTTTTTTGGCATATTTAGAAGAGTTTAATTCTGTAAATTACGCTCTTTACATCTGCTGCTAAAATTCCGAGATTAAAAGTTATTAATTTTTAGATTTGAAAAAATTAGGATATTTTAACAATTTTTTTTTCGAAAAAGTTCACTGGATATTTACCGTTTGTGAATCGGACATGGTAGCCTTTGAATGCATTGTTATTTGAAATTAAGTTAATTAGTCTCTATTAATGTTTGAAAACTTAGGAAAAATTCCCCATTTTTGTTCACAGGCCACGTGGTTTCACAAACATTCATACTAACCTCAGCATCTTGTATTCTATCCGGGAACACAGGACAGGTAGGTTGTGTTTATCTTATGGGGTAGACAATAAAACCTGGACATCTGAATCACCTTGTTCATGTTTTCCCCATTGCACATTTTTGATTTTATGTGGGTTTCTGTAATATGAGTAATATAATAAGTAGTAATCATAGATTAATAAACAATACAGATAGAACAATAGATTAATAAACAATACAGATAAAACAATAGATTAATAAACAATACAGATAGAAAAATAGATTAATAAACAATACAGATAGAACAATAGATTAATAAACAATACAGATAGAACAATAGATTTCGTCTTTCCAAGATTTAGGAGTGACACAGCTTTTTAGGGAATTTCATCATTTCAATTATTATTCAATTATAAAAAAATTGTAAAACAATTTTATGACAGCATTCAAAAAAATTTTGCCACTGAAATTTGATTTATGAAGTAATAAAAACATAATTGAATTTTACAGTTTTCTTTATAAATGATATTTCTTATCATTATTTATTTTCAAAAACACAGTTATCCCTGTCAAACATATTTTTGTTTAGATTCCATATATTCAACACACTGAGGATAATTTCTCTGTCAAGAAAATTATCATTCATCATGGTTGGGATAGGTAAACATCATGGTTGGGATAGGTAAACATCATGGTTGGGATAGGTAAACATCATGGTTGGGATAGGTAAAACATAAACCAATTGGTTGCTACATCCAGATTAAAAAAAAATGTGTAGTGCAGTACATTTTTTTTTTTGGGGGGGGGGGGGTTTCAACATTTTGTGATATTTTAATTTTATACAAAATAAGAAGTTTGGGAAGAAATCATCATCATTGAAGCTTCTCAGACTTTATAATGAGCTGTTTATTTTTTTTACCTGGGCATAGGGACTAGGGAGACATTAGAACTCCTTCCAAAATAGATGCGAGATTCAAGCATTTAAAAATATTGAACATTTTGTTCGAAAGTAAAAGCAGAATATTGGGAAGTTAGGAAGAATTTGTGAGAATATTTAAACCTTCTGTTCAAAATTTCCTAACAAAATGTTCGCAACATCAAAATTAAAAATGCTATCGGTAGTTCGATATCATACGAACATTTTTAATAGATATAATTAATAATATTATTGATATCTATTAAAAATGAAAAATTATTAAATTCAAATAATAAAAGGAGCAAATCTAAGTTTTTCATGCTTGTCTGGGATATCGTCGGTTTCAGATTTGTTGCGTATTGATGAATATGATCTGTTAAAACCTACGATTTTTACACAAATATTTATATTTATATAAATTTTCGTATAAATTTGACACAGTTTTATATCAATTTCTCGAGACAGGAGCATTATATAGAAAGAACTCTTATGGGTCTCGATTAACTCCTAAAAAGCTTAGGTTTCAGCCTATACCCTCTTTTATTTTTCATTTACAGTCCCTTTAAGATATGAATTTGTGAGAATTCTCAAAAATTCTGTTCATAATTTCGAAGGCAATGTTTGCAGTGCAGTAACATTTGTTTCTGAATGAATTTTGCCTACATTTCTTATTCTTAATATTATCTAAATAATATTTTTTTAAGATTAACTGGACTAAATGATTTTGCTCTGCTGGAGATTACATCTTTTATAAATTCGACCATTTGTATCAAAACCCAACAAGGTAAATTAATGTAGATAGAAGTCTGTTAGATCATGATTAATTTTACAGATAAAGCTTTATGTTCCTGTTCTGTGATTGAGCGGAAATAAATTAATTGAAACATTTAAATTTTAACCATAATTTCTTAGTTTATTTTTTTTTCTTTAAAATTGTAATTTTGTACATTTTTGTTTTTTGTACAGTTTAACCCAGTAGTTCGGAGGCATCGAAAGAATTTAAAAATGTCGTATTCTTAGCTTACTGCTAAGTGTTAATAGAATGCTGAAGATATTTAGTTTTTTTTAATCTAATGATTATATGGAGCTCTTTAAAACTCTTCCCGTGTATTCATGGCTATTTACATATTTTTCCAATTACTGAAATTTAGTTTAAAAAGTAAATTTAAAAATTGTCAAGACGACATTTTATAAATTCTTTTGATATCTCCGAAGTACTGGCCGGGTTGATCTGTAGATAAAATCTAAAAAAGTAACAAAAAAGATAGATTTTTTTTAAATAGGTCTAACTTTTTGTTTTTTATCATTATTTTCTAGATAAAGAAGCTGATGAGGTGGATGAGGTCCTGATAGGTCATTTTAACGCAAACCCTCGTAACTCTGTAGACACTGTTTACAAACAATCAATAACCGGTTCCTCGAGTCTAGAGGAGAAAAGGATCTTAGCAAACTTTCTGGTGAATACATTTTTAATTCAAAAAATATCATCATTGATTTATTAAAATTCTTATATCAAAAACCTTCTATGCATATAACTTCAAAGACGACTGGACGGAATTATTTCTTTTTTCTACATTTTTGATTTTACTGCAACCATAAGATTGTTTGTTTGTTTGTCACATCATTTAGTTTAGCTTAAAAAATAATTGTCCAAATCTTTGTGGCAACTCACATGACGTATAAAACAAAAATTTTGTAGACATTTCTATTAAAAATGCACCAATTTAAACAGAAAAATCAGAGCAATAGTTAGAAGCTAAAATTGTTAAAATTGAAGCGCCCTAAAAGCCTAATTTGTATACAAACAAGGTCCTCAAGGAATAAGGATGTAATGCAAGGAAAGTTATTTCAGAAGTATACACATATGTTGTACTGCAGTGTACTGTCTCTGGGCGGTAATGTAAACACAAAATGGATGTCAAAGCCTGGCGTGATCCATCTTTCACATAAAAAAATCAATGAAATATTCTGGTCATAGGAAACTATTATTTGAATTATCAAAATTATCAAAATTTAGTGCTTATAACCTCCTCGGATACTAAACGAACACTGATGCATCTATTCTTGTTTACAAATTCCACCCAAAGAGAACTGGTTTCAATATGTTAGCAGAGTATACACGACCGCGATTAACTTTCCTTGCATCATAACCTTGACTGTCCCTATGTTTAGGTTGGAGGAGGTGGTCTGGTGAGTAAAGTTGGAGATAAATATGAACTACAGGCACAGATTTAATAGTTTAGATCCATCCACATTTCACTCTTTATAAAAGGTTATCATAATCATAAACAAATATTAATATCAATTCACTCTTACCTAAGCTTTAAGATTTGAGAAAAGTGATTTCGTTAAAAATTGGAATTTTTGCAAATGGAGATTCAAAATTAGAATTGTGTCTACAGTTTCTTTGTGCCTTGTCATTGTTCCGTGTGTGTTTATAAACCTCAGTTCGGTAGTGGAATTTTTAGCATTCGATGAATCTGTGACTTGAACAGGGTATTCTGGCAAATACTTACAGCAGCATTCAACCTACACAATCGATAGGAATAATATACAACAAAATAATTATAACTTTATTATAAAGGATACTTAAACTTAAAAAGTCCTCGAAACTTTGGGGGTCTAAATTTATCAAATTATTTTCTTTCTCTTTTATTAATGCCAAAGTACTTTTATTACAATAGGCTTTCCTTTTTTCATTTTATGCGCGTCAATTAAAACTAAACATAAATAGATTAAATAATCTGAGATGGAATTTAAAGAATTTGAGCCGCGGTTTAAATATGCCAAAACCCGGTTTAAATTAAGCGCCGGCTAAAATCTTGAAACATTTGATACATTTTTAAGTGCAACCATATTTAAACCGAGGCTTAAATTTAAACCGCCGCTCAAATTCTTTAAATTCGGCCAGAGGTTGTAAAGTTATAGGGTAGGGACTATAAAATGTGAGTAGGTGGCAAAGAATTAATTCCTTTCTTTAAACATTATTTACAGTGAGGACTAATGAAACTGTGGAATAGGAAGACGAGATGCACGTGCATTCAAAATAGTTATTAACCAATATATTATTGGGTCCGTCCTAGTATACGTCCTATCAATTTTGTACATGACCACTTATTTTTTCAGCAAATTTATTATCATTTGTTTTTTATTATTAGGGTGACAATTTCAGGGCCAAGCGCTGCGGCAAAAACAGGCTAGAGGCCTAGCGCTGCGGCTAGGACAGGCTAGGGGGCCAGGTGCTGTGGCCATGACAAACTTTTTCCATGTGTTAAATATGAGATGCATGTACAAAATTGATAGGAGGGGGGGAAGGGGGGAGGGGTACACAATTTCGGTGTTTCATGTTCATTGGGCAATTTAAAGCCAAAACTTGAGTCTAATATTCGTCTTCCTGTACCACAGTTTTATGGGTTCTACTGAAGAAAAATAATATAAATTTTTTGTATATTTTATGTATTTTCAGTGACATTTACAAACTTGCATATATCCTGGATGTCGTCTTCTATACAGAATAATAATTTATTTATGTGGAACAGCTCTTAATTTGTTAATAAAAGAAATAACAAAATTAGTTTACTCTCCATGTGCATATAGTTTCAGTAGAAGTAAATATTTCCATTTAATGATAGCGCCGATTAAAGGACTCATATCTCTATAATTGGATAATGACGAGATGATAGAAAGATAAATGTTACCTTACAACCATACTTTTCCTATTGGTTCAGAATAGACAACAAGCACATGACTGAACCCTGATTGGATCAGGCGCTAATGGACTCGGCATACAGCAGTGGATTGCAACATAAACCTTAGTACAATGGAAATAAAAATAATTGGATTAGAAAGACGACATTAAAGTAATCTTCTTCATCTTTTTTGCAAGTCTGTGGATTTGTTTGTATCAAATTAACGTCAAAACGGATGAACCGATAGGGCCAAAGTTGCGTGTGGGACCTCACAAGAATAAATTGTTTACTCCAAAATATTTCGATTTCGTAAAATTTGGAAAATCCATTAAAAAGATAAATCTACTAAATATACTTTTTTAGCAGGCCACATTTATTAAATATTTACTTTTAAACCTCTAATGCATTACTTCTTCTCTTAGGAGTTAAGTTATTGCCACAATTGTCTAATCCCAATATTTGTGTAGATGATGGTGTAAACGTTTGATATTTCAAACTTAGAATATTTGAACTGACAGTGTTAATAGTTTAAATTACCAAAGGTTTACAAAATAGAGTTATCGGATTCAAAATCTGAGTTAATGGCATCACTCCATCATTTGAAGCATGAGGCTTAGTTACGAAGCTGTTTTCATTTTTAAAAATTTGATAAAATTGTGAAAACAAAAACCGTTAAATCAAACAGCTACAGGGTCCCACGAACTCAAAAATGTTAGAATTGCCATTTCCAAAATATGTTGTCTGTCTTATTTTAATTGTTTCAATATTATCGGATTCATTCAGATTCACCAGTTCATGGTTTTATTTAATATTATTGAAATCTAAAGAAATTTTTAATTTTGACAGCACAAAACTGCAGACCACATTATTGAAATGATGACTTGAAGAATTTTGTGGTTCTTGTTTCAAGAATCATATAAAGGTTACAAAAGTAGGTTGACTACTGAATGTCACAAATGAACTCAGATTTTGAAGACGACATTTAATTCGTCATATTTCGTGAGATATCTTGCAGTTTTTATTTAGAAAAATTGTCCTATGCGCATCTTTTAAATATACACATTTGAATATTTTATGTACATACAATGTGTCTCGGCGTCATATTATATTTCTTTGCTAATTTCTAGGTCTCCTAGGTCAAGGCATGTAAATTATAATTATGTTGATTGTTAATAGCAAAGATTAATAAACATATAAATAGAGCACTAGATGTCGTCTTTTCAAAATTTAGCTCAAAGGAATTATGCGTTGAATGACAAGACAGATAGAGAGCATGCGCGAGCGATTCATGGTTTACATCCATTTTTTTCAAATATATAAACTTTAGCTCTGTAGCTTAACTAAAAAAAGTTATTAACCATATCTTATTTTTTAAAAAACCGACCCGCTGCTTGACTGTCCTCCACCCTACCCTATGCATCAACAAAAAAAGTGTAGTTAAAAAAGTGAAGAAGTTTTAGAATAATAATGTCTACTGTTTAAGGGGTCCACCCCCACCCCCATTGTGAAAAGGTGAAGAATGGAATTACATTTTTGAAATCATAAGTAACCCCTAAAAAATCTTAAAGACGCGTGTTTCAGCGTTTGTTTACCTTATCACGATAACGTGAACAAAAGCAAAAAGATGTTTTTCATGCATAGGGTAGGATGGAGGACTGTCAAACGGATGATCGGTGTATAAAACAAATCAGGAAATAACTTATTTTTATTATTAATTAAGCTACAGGTCTAAAACTAATTTGACTGAAATTGGTTGTAATTACATGTGTCACATGTTAGTATTGTCAAAAGTAAAATTAATAGTATTCTTCAACATGGTTTTGGCGTACTTTTAGTAACATGTAACACGCTCCCCTATCTAAACTCTAAGGGCAAAATCAAAGAGTGTGGGGAGGGTTTACCCCCCCCCCCCCTCAGGATTTGGTTAATTTTTCGGTGGCATCGTTCTTGGGCTCGGGAAATCCGTTCGTTCTCGTGAAAAAAACCGGTTGAATCCAAAAGAAAACTAATCTTTTAGACAAACAAGACCCGGTTATTAGCTATTTTGCTATTCTGCAAAACTGAATAACGATTGTTTAAGCAGTGAGATGTCTTATCCTTGAATCTTATCTGATAGATGATAAACAGTAGACGTCTTAATTGGTCGGCCATTGAGGTATTTACCCAAAAATCAGAATTGAACTCAGTGGTATGGAAGACGACAACTGAGTGAGGCTCTTCCATATATGCTAGAATTACAGCGTCTATGGATAAATCAGATTGTATGATTTATCTTCAAACATTGTTTTAATTAGTGGTAACCAGAAAACATTGTGTTTTGATTGTCTTTTTATTTGTATAAAGTTTTGATTCTGACGTCTAATAACAATTGCAGATTTCCCAAAAATATGATTGAGAGTGAGACTTGACATTCTTGATTAGTTAGTTGCAGGATTTTTGCCAAGGGGAGGTTGCGAGAAGACTTGCCGAACACTTGCATATTGCATCAATGTTTATCAAGGGGGTGGGTGGTAATTTTAGTTGACAAAAAATAACGTTAATTTTGAAAATAATAAAAACAAAATGTAACTAATTTATTTGAGAGAAAACATCCCTTTTCAGATGGGGGTAAGCTCATCTTTTAACCTTTGCCCCCTAATTGAGGGCTATTGCCCCCCCCATGTGTAAGTTCGAGTAAAAGGTTAAAGAGAAGACATACGCTGAACTCCAACCTTCGAGTGAGCGAGGTAGGGAAGACTTCACTGCCGCGCTTAATTAAAAGCATGATTAAGGGAGGATGACATTTGTAGATCGAGATTGAATCCTAGCCGCAGCGCGATCGGCCCAGCAAGAGTCATAACTTAACCTAACCCGTGGCCGCAGCGCTTGGCCCCCTAACCTGTCCGAGCCGCAGCGCTCGGCCCAGAAAATGTCTTAACCTAACCTAACCCTAAATAAAAGAAAGTGTCATAACTTAAGCAAACCCGTGGCCGTAGCGCTCGGCCCCCTAGCCTGTCCTAGCCGCAGCGCTCGGCCCAGAAATTGTCTTAACTAACCTAACCCGTGGCCGCAGCGCTCGGCCCCCTAGCCTGTCCTAGCCGCAGCGCTCGGCCCAGAAAGTGTCTTAACCTAACCTAACCCTAAAAAATACTAATTTAATTGAAAATTGTTGAAAAAGTGGTCATGTACAAAAGTAAAATCTGCAGTGAAGTCTTCCTCACCTCGCACACTCGAAGGTTGGAGTTCAGCGTTTGCCAACGATTAATTGAGAAATGTCATTTTCGTTTATAGAATTCCACGGAATTGGAAGGAAATATTAGTAATCATTTGTAATTTGCAATATTTGAAGCACCAATCAAAATTCAATTCAATAATTTACGGTTTGACTAAGTGTTATAATGGAGAGTTAGCGGTTTGCCTAAGTGGTATAATGGAGAGTTTACGGTTTGACTAAGTGGTATAATGGAGAGTTTACGGTTTGACTAAGTGTTATAATGGAGAGTTTATGGTTTGACTAAGTGGTACAATGGAGAGTTTACGGTTTGCCTAAGTGGTATAATGGAGAGTTTACGGTTTGACTAAGTGTTATAATGGAGAGTTTATGGTTTGACTAAGTGGTACAATGGAGAGTTTACGGTTTGCCTAAGTGGTATAATGGAGAGCTTACTGTTTGACTAAGTGGTATAATGGAGAAATTACGGATATTAAACTTTTTCAACTATTTGTTCATTATCGATCGACGATGATTAAGGTTGATTCTAATGAAGAAAATATTTATATAGCAACAATTAAATGTAGATAACAAATCAACACAAGAAAGTTCTCTAAAAAGAGTTTTTTAAAATAAGGTCTTAAAATTTAAAAGTCCTCAAAATGTCTGGGAAAAATGTTTATTTTCTTTCCCAAGTAACCGACACAGCCTCACAGGACTTCATTTCCAGGGTCAGGTTATATTGGAACTTTAGTAAATTGCAACTTTTTACCCCAGTGGACAGTGCTTACGATCCGGATCCACATAATATGCGGATCCATGGATCCTGATCCCAGGGTCAAATATTAACAAAAACTAAGAAAAAATATTTTCCTCTCTAAACCAAAATCTGAACTGTTGAAAAAAGAGAGTTTGTCAAAAAGTCCCTTCTCTCTTTGAGGTTCAAGTTTTAGCATTAAAATAATAATAAATAATAAACAAAGGTGAAAGTTTTTTCAATTCTTCTGATGTTGTTACAAAAATTAGTAAATTTTAAAGAATGTTAATGGCCTGGATCCATTTTTTCTAGTGCGGATCCAGGATTCGTATCCGCATCTAAACCAAAAACAAATGGATCCTATGCACTGCCAGTGAATTATTTCAAGAAACTTTTTTCCCCATGACTGCAGATTCGTTTGCAATGCAGTACATTTTTTGCATTATTATTTTTAAATATTTTGTTAAAAAAGACTTATTTTCATCACATTTTATTAATTCATTTCAAACATGTTTACAGTTTACGATATAATGATTGAAAGCTAAATTTCCTGATTTCTATAAGTTGAATTAAACTCTGTCCTGGATATGCTGATTTCTATCACTTGAAAACACGAGGACACCCCATCCAAACATCTTAGATTTTTAGCAGTTTATAGCACACAGAACAATAACATACTTTTCACCCTTTCAGCGTGGAGGAAAAGGCAGATGGACTTTCTGGTCCCCATTTTCTTTGTAACTGAGATAGATTAATTTCAAGGCGTTCCAGACCACTTCCGGTTCCCCCACGTGACAAAAGTTTGTAGCTGCCTACACTTCCGGTGAGGGGGTCGCCGCCATTTGCTTTTGTTGTGGGACTGTCCTTTTATTCCTATTGTGTGAGGTGTCAGCGCAAATTTCTATTTCCTTCCTGGATATCTTTACAGAGCCTGAACAGAAAAATTATAAATAGTTGATCAGAAATGTCAAGAGAAAATTATGAAGGGTTAGAAAAATAAGGTCAAATGTTTCATTTAAACGTTATCAATTCAAAATAACCTAATCAAGAGGGTTTTTTCTTTCTTTATATTTTCAATCTAAGCAATGCAAAATTCTAAAAGTCAATTGAAGAAAACCCGCGAAAACTATGTGTACACTTTACAGTACACACTTTACAGTATACACTGTACAGCTGATTTTACCTGATATTTATCCTGATATGCCTCGTATTCTGACATATTACTGGAAAGTCCAGGTCTGAAGAAAGCTTGATGATTCCCCATATAATGAGATCCAGCGTAACCCTGAAATTATTTTTGAAATTATTTTGTTTTGATAAAAACCTTATAAAACAGACTTTCTATCTGTCTTGTAATTCTTTAGAGAGAGGTCCTGTTCCACGCCGACTACGCGTAACCTCAGGGTTATTGTGAAAAAAATACTTATAAATCTTGGAAAGCCGACATAGAGTGTCCGTTTCTGTTATTTTAATCAATCTATGAGCTATACAATTAGTGGTTGTATTAAAAAATTGTTCGATTTATTTTACATCTTGAAAGTCCAGACAAACAGAGTTGCCCAAAAATGGATGAGAACTGAGACTTCAATAATAACATTTAACTAATTTTGTGTTAATGTGTTATTAGAATTCGTATGCATTGAATACAGCTGATAAATTAAAAAATTGATGAAAGTACAAAATCAAATCTGTACTATGTATCTATCTACAGCTAGGGATCAAGTTATGTATTTTTCATGCACAATGTATATTTGTACTGCGTACATACCTGGTAGTATGGCAGTTCCATATTGTTGTACCCAGGGTAACCGGAGTACCCATTGTAATTGCACAGAGAGGGAGGAGAAAGGTTTCCAGTCTTAACCTATACAAATAAGAAAAAACTAAGTATTATTGATATTGAGCTATTTTTATTTTAAGAACTTAAAACTGATCAATTTGTTTTAAATAAAAGTGTACTGCAGTCTCTAGGAGGAATTTCAACATGGCTGAGTAGAACTATTTTTCATTCCTCCCTGAAATGCAGTGTACACTTTTCCTGGGAACAAACACTTTTGTTCCTTTATCTTACATACAACCAGAAATTGATTGTATCGAGGTTGCGTTATTTTATTTAGAATTATCACTCAACCTCGAATACAAATATACCGCCCGACTTCAGGAATAGAAGAAGACGCCATAGAATCGAGAATTATTATTATTTATAAGACAAAAATAAATTTTTTAAAAATGCCTTGGAAAGGCATAACATTAAGAAAAAAGTACTATACCTGCATCTGAACTAATGTAGGTGGGGCTCTACTATTCCCATCTTTCATTTCTTGTAGACGAGAATCAAAAACACTACCAGGGCCGTCCAGGCCTTCAGGCGGAGTTATCGGCGACCAAAACGACGAAACCGCCGTGGGGGTTGGGTAGTCTGACCCGGGAGTGAGAGCGGGTGAAGGATAATCGCCGATGGAAACTTTTTCTCGTCCGCTGGCGGAGAAAATATATCCTGAGCTGCTGTCGGCGGCACCGGTTGGGGATCGAGCTTCGGTTTTAATGAAAGATGTGGATGAAGGCGGGGTAGAGGCGGGGACAGGACTCGAGGATTTTTTCAATTTTGGCGGGCTTTTCGTCGAGTTTGCCGCGTCAGATTCTGAATTGGTTACAATAGGTTTTCCTTGGGCAGCTTGCTGGCGGATCTTAGCACGACGGTTTTTAAACCAAACCTGCATTAATCAAAGCTAAAAAATATTCATTTTACAATTTACTAAAAAAAATTAAGTTAAGAAAAATGAATATACCTGTACACGCGATTCAGGTAGGTTAATCTTCAGTGCTACTTCCTCTCTCATAAAAATGTCTGGGTACCTGAAAAAAAATTTTATTTTTAAATTATTGTATAAAACAATTGTTATACACATATTTAATGTGTCACTAAACAGGTTATATGATTAATAAATAATAATCATAAATGTTTCAAAAGAATTTTGATTGAACATTTTGATTTAATTGTAAATATTTGAAACTTTACCTTGTTTTTTGAAAAAGTGTTTCCAGAACATCTAATTGTTGTCTTGTAAATGTTGTTCTTTCCCGTCTCTGCTTCTTTCCATGCACTAAAAACGAGTATATAAAAAATCAATTCAGTTTTTTGTTGATTTTACTTGTTTTTGTTTACAATTCTTACTTTGATTGCTGTACTGTACTGCGTGCATTGGATCCAGACCCATTCCTAGAGGTCCAAGGCCCATGTGATAAGGCATACCTCCACCAGACTTTAGGTACATAGAGGACATTGAGGACATAGATGAGGGGGAGAAGGAGGACGGAGAGAAGGATGAAGACGAAAAGGAGGACTGTGAGAATGGGGTTGAATACGCCATGATACTGTCCTGAAACAAAACAGAAATTATTACAAATTCAATGATTATGATTGAAGATTTAGAATTTAGAAATATAAAACATGTTTAAGAGGCTTTAAACAAAAATATTATTCTTACAAATATATTTATTGTTTAAAATTTATTTCCTATTATTATGTCCCCTAAGAACCATATGTTCTATCTAAAAGTTCCAACTCCCAAGAGTTCTTCTTATGTATAGTTGAACAAGTTCTCAAGTTTCAGATAGTTAGACAGAGAGTTAGTTCAGAGTAAGATAGATAGATAGATAGGTCTCCAGGGAGTGTATATCTAAACCAGCGGAAAATGGTTGGTTTGCAAACAGAGTTCTAAACCATCTGGAACCAATGGAGGGGGGGGGGAGTGAGGGGCTTAAACAAATACACTGGAGTCATTTTTAGACATGCATTAGTTAATAATATCTTATATAGGGACAAAGTGATTACATCTAGATTTTAATTTCTTTTTCAAAATCGTATGTTTCGACTAACTTTTCTATCACTCGCTACTGATCTTGATGTACATTTGTAACAATGTACATACCTAGCTTAATAGTCCATATACAGTATATAACCCTACTCCCCCCCCCTGTATAATGTATAAATGTTCTGAACCTGGTTGATTATATTATCCGTGATATCACTTATACACCATCACTATATCGCATTAGCAGTATCAACACTAGACCGAATTCCCCAGTAAGCAGCTAGGAGGGGGAAATTTATCTAAAAAATCCTGGGGAAATTATTCCCAGGACAGTGATAGAATTATCACTTGCAAGAAAAGGTGGATTATTGGCCGAGTTGTGTATCCGGGTTGGATTGGTGTACTGTGTACTGTTGGCGCTAAGGGGTGGAGAGCGCAAAGAGAGCTCAGAGATGTGAACGGTAGCGTGGTTCAAAACCAACTAAACTTCCAACCTTAACCCTATACAGTAGTCCACCACCTGAACATGGTAAGTAGGGAGGGGGCGAGGGGGGGGCTGGAATGAAAAAGGGAGGGGGGGGGCTACCTGTCAATCATCCCCTAATTTTAACCAACCCCCCCCCCCTCTACTCTCTCATCAAATTTAACCCTTCCTTGCCTTCCCCCCTTACTCCCATTTGGACAGATTGGACAGTAGGATAATCCATGGGAAGGGGGGGGGGAGGTAACCTGTATTTATCCAAATTAAGATGTGAAAATAAATGAGTCTTGTTGAGGAAATATTGAACAGATTTTAGCAAGCAATACAATAAAACCTTTTAATAATTAATACTATTGCACTAGGTTTGCAAGTCAATTTCTGTTCTTATTTTGAAATTTAAACCTAAAATGTATTTTTTAAAGCTATGTTTATAGTTCTCAATATTAATAAATGCATTTAATAAATTTTGAAATGTATTTTACTCTTAAAGGTCAAGTTGAACACGCAAAAATGTTTAGCAAAAACAACTAATTAAAAGACCAACATTTCATTTGCAAGAATTTGTGATTTATAATTGTTGCCCTTCTATTCCATCCATATTTTTATGAAAATTTGAACAAAAACGTGAGATTGAGAAAAAAAAAATTTTTTAAATATTAGTTTTTGATATTGAAGTTAGTTTTAATCAGACGAAAACAAATTTTAAATATTAATATCTAGAATATCAAAAGTTTTCTTTTGAACTTTAATCCTAGCTTAGAAAGTATTTTACCATGTCATGATATAAATTAAAATTTGAAAATTTTACAAGTTTTCCTCCGAATCCTGGAACCAAAACTCGGAGAGCGGAAAATTGAAAATGGGCAGAAATTTGGGATTAAGTGATTAAAGGGGGGCGGTGGTAGGATGGAGAGGGAGAAAAGGGGGTGAGGGGGGCTACTGGTTCTGCATAGCAGGGGGGGATAGCTACCTAGCCACCTTATTATCAGCTTGTTGTAACAGTATATCATGATAACAAATTATTAGCAGATAATCCGCCAGTTTCCACCATTTTGTTTAGGACGCCATCTTTGTTTCTAGTTTTAGGTTTATCCTACTTAGTCCTCATATACTTGTCACCATAATACCAACCCAGGTTATTATTCAATTATATTAATCTATAATAATCTTAAATAAGCAGGTAGCAAGATTAGGCCCCACACCTTGTAATTCCCACAGATATATATATACATATAATAGATAATAGGAACACAGAATTATTAAAAACTGTTCCAAAAAATCGTACAATCATCTGAATAATATAATGTCAAATATGGCGAAAGTAATTTTCTGGGAAAAGGCATGATACAATACAAGTTTTCAATGTTAAAAGAAAGCCAATAATTTTGTTCAAGTTGTCAAAATTACTGAAAATATTTCAAAATTGAGGACGTTTTGTTCCAAACAGCGAACAGAATGTTAGGGGTTTAAGGAATGACACAATAGAAAGATGTTTCTAACATTTAGTTCATATTTTTGAACAAAATGCCCTTGGTTTTATAATAATTTCGATATTTCGAAATTGCGATCAAAATGTCAGGGTTTTCTGACAGTTAGGTATGTTTTGTTTAAATTCCCAGTTTTCGATAAATTAAAATAAAACTCCGCCAGAAATTGATATTATGTGTGCGTTGAAAAAGGATTAAAAATTGATTTGAAAAATGAATGGTAAAAGGAATAAGATTTAGCGAAACCCCCCACCTTCTCCATCCTTACATTTTGGCTCAACAAATTTTCTTAAAAAATTATTTTTTAAATATAATTCTTTGATATTTCAAACTTAAATTGTTTGATCCAACAGAATTTATGGTTTGAAATATCTAAGGTCTTTGGCTTGCAAAGATGTAAAAGATTTGAAAATCATATTTTGTGGCAAAGGCTCAATTTATTTGCTCTTAATTCTGCGTGCACTCGATTGATTTATATTGACAATATCTATTTTGTACATCGGATTTTGCCCCAAAAAATTGCAGTAGATTGCTTTCTGATTTTGGTATATTTGAATACGTATAGCTCTCAAATTATCAACATTATTCGTTTCCTCATTTCCTATTCTTCTACAATTTAGTCCAATTCTGGGATAATCTCTTCACCCCGCCCTAAATTTTTGNCCCCTACCCCATCCCAATTTGACAACAATGTGTAAAAACGTAGGTATTTTGATTTAAATACACTCTAAGAAATATTTAAAATTTTCATCAAACTTTGCTAGATGAAAATTTGACATGTCTTAGAGTGTAATAAACAGTGAAAAATAAACATATTTTATTTGTTGCGAGAAAAAAATTTGATTTTCTATCTACTGTTCTTCTTAATGTTTTATACCTTGAAATTAAAAAGTGGATCTATGTAAATAAAATTCTTGGATTTTGGACAATTTGTTGGGTTTTTTCTCCGAAAAAAAGGTTAAAACACAAATAAAAAATGAATTTTTAAAAACAAATGGTGAATTAAGTATAAGATTTGTCAACGATATTCAGGAAACAAAAGAATTTAAATAGATTCATCAAAAAAGGAGGGGTGGGGGTGTTAAATAGGCAGTTGTTCTTGCGCGCGCCTCATTTCAATGAAGAAATAAAATATGACACACACGAAAAGAAAATTAGTTCATTTAAAACAGTTTTGTCTTTTATCGATAGCTCTTAATGAAAACATATAATATTTCAATCTTACGTGAAATTTAGTTCAGTTTGAAGTGTTACGTCATATTTTACAAGAACGTTTGTTTTAACTTTGCATGGAGTTGGATTTAGTAAGATTATACAGAGCGTCCCATATCATATTAGATTATTTCCAAGCTTTAACGCCAAAATAAACACATAATACTCGAAAAACCTAGCATTTTTTAGAAGAAAATTTTTACATTAGTCTTATATAATTTTACAAAATGATTCAATCTATGATAGGGGACACGCTGTATTAAAAGACGCGTTAAACTCAAAGCTGGCTTTATGGCATTACAAAATTCTTTGCCAGTACGGCTAAAACATGTTTTAAACAGGGGGCGAAACGTCATAGGGGTGTGTCTGTACCAAAAGAGTGTGTGTAAGTAATAACGAACCGAAGGTATGTACTGTTAGTTTATACAGTACATCATAATCTTGGCATTTGTACAGTCTAGATGAGTATATTTGTTTATTGTTAATTGTTTAATTAAAAATAAGTTTAATATACATGTATTTAAGTCATTTATATATTTAAGTCAACACTATAAGCCACATTTTCATGCAAAGAATATAATTTGATTAAAGTTTACAATAAGCTACTCGTTATTCAAGTTTAATTATAATTGATGACATTGTCTGTAATTTCCTTGACTGTAGTCATGTTGTGTGTCTGTGCCAAAAAGTGTATGTGTGGAATAACGAACTCGTCTGCAAAGTAGTGCGACTGGCTTTCTTATGCCAGACCAGCGCCATTTTCCTTCCCTTTATTCTTATTCCCTGGTTTTAAATTGTGAGCATTGAATAACTTAAAAAAAACGGACACAATAATATCCAAAAATGTATCACTAAGCAAAAAAAGCGAAGAATTGTTTTAATTTTTAACTATTTTACCACGATCACAAAAGCTGCACTCTTAATTTAACTTAAATCTTTCTTTAACTGTTTAAGAATTTGTTATTTATTTTGATTTATATGCGTACTACAGATGTACAGTATATTCTTATTCAAGAAATATATATAAGGAAGATTCATGTTGACTTTTGTGTACTGCAATGTTTATTTACGTTTATCCAACTAAAATTCAAATAAACTTGAGATATGAAATTGGATTGAGATTTTTAGTTGATGAAAAGAAAATAACTTCACTGTTAAAAAAGTTTCCTAGAATTTTTGTTCGAACTTGAAAGAATTTTGAAATTATGAACTTACTTTGGTTCGAAATGTTATTGATGTCTATAATGTTTGTCAATCTGTCTGTCTATTTATCTGTGTAAAAGGATGTATTCAAGATTTAAACAATTCTCAGAATTATCTGTTTTTAATCGGTTTCAATCCTTTTGTTTTGAATACTTAGTTCATAGTTCTCAAGTTCGGGGAATTAAATAGAAAAACAAACAAGAAAACAAATTTCCTCCTAAACCCAGCAAACACCACCTGCAGTTCTAGCTGCAGCCTAGCATAATGCAAACTGGGTCCTCTCAACCATTATGGCTTGGCTTCAATGCAACCATGAAAAATATGTCAATAAAAAAAAGCATGTTAGCATTAGCAATTTATGATTTGAAATATTCTTTTTCTTACACCCCCTCTTAAGCGAATAAAAAAACTATTTGCTTAGACACAGAGAAAGTAATTATTACTAGACACACTTTTAAAAATACCTTTAAAAGGTATTTTTTTCTTAATTTTTCTGCTGAAGCCACTAGAATCCCTACAACAGAATTCTAACCTTCCAAAAATACCTACAATACCTTGGAAACTCCTCTAACCTCCCTCCAACTAGGGTTGTTAATCGTTTTTAAAAACGATCAAAAACAATGGGTCACAATGAACGAACCATTGAACTTTTTAAAAGTTAAAAACAAAACAACGATACGATCGTTTTCTTAAAAAACGGTCGTTTGAAAAAAAAACGCTAATAAAGGTGTCAATTACTTTCAATTTGTTTTTTTTTTTCAGGAGGATAAGTTTTTCAATGTTTTATTTTATAGAGAGAAATTTCCTGAATGTTTCTAAGTTTTTTTCTGATCAAAGGGTTTTCGACCAAAATGTGTCTTTTGTCTAATGACCGTTAAAAATTAAAAACGACATACCTTCGTTAACGAAACAACAAACTAAAAATTAAAAGACGACTTCTTCGTTTTTAATTTTATAAAACGATCTTCCTCAAAAACTATCTTCTTCAAGACGATCATCTTCAAACACGACCGTTTCGTTTTTCGTTTTTTCTTCGTCGCTAACAAAACGAAACGATCATCTATCAAAAAGTAAAAATTATCCATAACTTGGCTACAACCTCCCTCTGAC